AGCTGTGCCATCGACTTCATTGAAACTGCCCTCGGGCACGGTGTCTGTGCTGGGTGTCTGTGGCACATCTTCCGAATCCTTTTTGGACATGCTATTGAAGTGAAAATTGATTATCTGTATTATCATGTTGTAAGGCTTATCGCTGATCTTCTGCTTGAGGTGTTTGATTTGTGTGTGTGTGTGTTAATTAGTTGTGTCTGGTGTCTGTTTAATTTTGTGGAAAATCTGCGCTTCAATAATTTTCTAACAGTTTAAAATTTGGATATTTTTTTGTTTTTTTGGCACGGCTCTAAATAGAATTAAGCTGCATATGCCTACCTTTCTTGACTGTTTTAAATTGAAACCAATACAGCAAATGGCAGAGAGAGACTCTTGAAAGCAGCTACGAAAGCTACTACTCCAAACTATTAATATTCTACATACATATACTGCCAGAGAAACCTTTGAGTCGAATCCTTGTGCCCTGGCAATTCCATTTCCATTAACCCAAATTGTACTTACTTTTTGCGACTCAAACTCATATAGCCATCATCCTCGGATTGATTCTCGCCACTGTTGCAGTGCAAGGCCACTGGCTTTGTTGCTGCTTCCTCGAACTCCGATATGATGTCGTCGAGGACTCTGATGGGCTCAGGTATGTCATCCAATGAGATGGGCTCCAGGGATTGCAACTGAAGTTGTTCGCTGCAAGAAATCAAATGAAAATGTAATTGACTGTGCGCTGGCCATGTTGGATGGCCCCCCTCCGCTCCTCTTGCTCTTTGCAACATTTCCCAATACCCCCACACAACCTCTGCAGCACGAGCAGAAGGAAGGGCAGGGAGTATTGGTTCAACAATTTGATTTTAATTCAGTTAAAAAAATTGCGACATACTTTTGCTTTTGTTGGTCGCTGCTGGGCATAGCTGCTGCTGCTTCTGCTGTTGCTTGCTCCAATGCGGGTTCGGTGTCTGCTGGACCATCAGCGACAACAGCATCCGCCCGGGCATCACCAGTCGCTGCTGCTTCTGCTTCTGCCTCTGCCTCCACCTCCAGTTGCAACGCCTCCTCGGATTCAGTTTCAGCCTCAGTTTCGTTTGAATCGCGTGCTCCACACGATTCAGGTGATGCTGCCATTATGCGATTTTCATTGGGGACCTCTCCTCCTCTCCTGCTCCTGCTCTTTCTCTTTCTTTTTCTATAGTTGCTTCTTCTTTTTCTCTTTCTGTGCGCCTCCTCCGCCGCTACGTTGATTATGAAAATGTAATCAATGCGCGCCCACAGATTTCAACGTTGCTGCTGCTGTTGCTGTTGCTGCCTCTGCCACTGTCAACGTCGCTGCTGCTGACGTTGCTTTGTTGTCGGCTCTTTCAATTTTCATCTATGCAACGTGAGAAAGTGATTGCTCTCTCTGTCTCTCTCTGTCCCTCTCTCTCGCGGACTGGCTGTCCTCTGCTTCTCTCAATGTTTTCAGGTCATTAAATTCGTCATCGAAATGTTATAGATGGCGATGCTGTCTGTTTGCTGCCTCTGTGGGGGTGGAGAAACAAGAGGTTATGAGATTTACAGTTTGTTTTTGGTATTATTGACTTTGGCTCGCGCTCCAAAGCTCCGGCTTCAGGCTCCGGTTTGAAGGGACGGGCATATTCGCCATTTACTGCCGCCGGAGCTATTAATAAATAATTAATATTGATTTCGTAGCGTGATATCCAATTATGGAGCTATTAGCTTTGCGTGCCCATTTTCAAGCTCCACCCAAAACAGGGAAAGTCGTCCCTCCAAAGGATATGGATATTTTCCGCTTAGTTGTCTGAGGAAATTGACATTGATTGGGGGCCTAATGGCAGGGATAAGATTGCTCTTTGGATTATTTGCCGTCAAAATTGACCTTGATTTGTCTCCATGATGTTTATGCAGTGTGGATTACATTTGTTTGCCCTGAAATATGTCCGTTAACTGCCAGACTATTCAATATCTATATTATACGAGTATTATCTTTGGGAGCAGCTACGATTTATTGCTGCAAGATGTGCTTTGTTGTCTCGACATTAACTTAATCGCTCATTAACTTTGCATTGATGGTGAAACCCTCCAACTGCTTCTCTGTTGTTCTTTAATTTAAGGGGATTTCCGTATATATTTAGTTCACTCACTCATCCTCTCTCACTCTTTGTTCCCAATTGAAAAAATTCGTTTACATTATTTTTGTATATTCATAAAATTTAAACATATTCGCACGCACGCACACACACACACACGCACACACACCACACACCTCCAGGCCAATTGTAAAAAAAATGTTTAATCAAAAAATGTTGTGCATTGATTTTTCAGTTTGAGTTGTTACCGTTAGGTCGGTCCTCTTGACTGAAAGAGACTGGAGAAGAGACTGAGCAAAGAGGTGCGAAGAAACAACAACAGCCACAAGATGATGGAAAAAGGAGAATGAGAACAAGAACAGCAACAACGTGAGGCTGGCTGGCTGGCTGGACTGGCTGCCGAGAGTGTGAGAGAAACACTATTCGCGCACTCCCTCTACTCCTTCCCACCTAAGCTTCCTTCATTCATATTTTCTATACACCGTGGGGGCCTGCCTGCCTGCTGGGAGAGCGAGGAGTTTGGGTCAGGCGCATTCACACACAATTTTCACATGCCCCCCCATCCCGTCTCTCTCTCTCACTCACTCTCCCTACATTCGCAAGCTATATATAAACATGGTTTTTAGTTGAACAGAAAAATGTAGAAAACTTTTTGCAATTGCATTCTAGTTTGGCCTAAAAAAAGTTTGATTTGATTGCAACGGATGCGATGCACTGACGATAATAATAAAAGTTTTCAATATTTAAGCTTCTAATACGGAACAATTCCATTTCCGGTGTAAACGGCCACTGTCTACACGAGTTCGAACTGCTACAGCCCACCCACTCCACTCCACACCACAGCACACCACACACCGACTCCCACACAGGGCAGGCAACTTTGTCTAACTGTAAAATTTACTGCGGCTACGTCGACGACGTCGTTGCTGCTTATTCCCGATTCCCGTCTTTGCCGTTGCTTTCCTGAATGAAGTTTCTGCTTGGCAGGGAGTCTGGCATCGATTTTTTTTTCCTATGCAGACACACACTCACACATACACAAAACACCCACGCACGGTGAGTCGCTGAAGAACAACGAACTGACTTTTTCGGCTTTGGATAATAATTACAGTTAACAGTTAAAAAGCTTTTTCTCACTGACAAAAGGTCAAATCCGAAATCTTCCAGTTGGAAATGTTGCTAAAAATAGCATAATTCAGCAGTGGCTGAACGGGGGAGGGAGGTACACGAGAGAGAGACACGACAATTGTCGTAGGGGGTGGTGTGGTGGATGGTAGGCCAATTGTAATGACAGACGCCGCGGCGGCGACGACGGCGGCGGCAATAACAACCAAACGGTAACGGAAACGGGAACGGGAACGAGAACGAGAGACGATGAACAAATCAGAATTTTGTTCGCAATTTGCTTATGAATTGCACGAAAACACACACACACACGGACAAACATATATACCTTCTAACTTGCTACAGAGTGGGTTTTAATGAAATTTTGGTTGTTTTTATTCGTTGGGCAGTTCACACATACACTTCACTTTTCTTCATCCACAGTGCCATTCAAAAGGCTATACCATTGCATTATTATACATTATTTTTAATATTTCCGGATTTTTCTTTTGTCGTTGCTTTCGTATTTAAATTTTGTTTACCTGCGGCTTAAAAACGCAACGTTATAAGGGGGAAAGAGTCAGATCAAACATGAATTCGGATCTAGAACTTCGCCTGCGTGAGGGCATGTGAACGCAGGGTATAACCACATTAGGTAGGGTTCAAAAGAGTGCACAACTTGACGTCGGTTAGTTAAATATAATTAAACTAATAACTAATCATTGTTTCAGAACTTACAAACGACTAGTAATAATGTGCAATGTAAGTGCCTCAGAAATAAAGCGAATTTAACATTATGTGTATCTTGCATCTATGGATTACTTCATCTGCTTCAAGAGAACTATCAGGTCTACCAAACTGCAGTACATTGATAACAGTAGGTGGCTGGCTTTTCGTCCAGGGCAAGGTTCATGTTTTAAAGAAGGTATTTTCTCTTTAATCGAAGTGGGTAGACAGGGTTAGAACCCTTGTTGGCTGTTCAGCTTCCGCAGACGCGCCCACTCCCGCCTCTTTGTTACTGTCGTTTCCCACTTTCCCCTTAATATAATTTGAAAGGGTATGCGGGCGTAATTTTGTACAGTTCTTCCACATTTTTATACCCGCCAGTTAGAACCCTATGCAATGAACATCATTCAGCAGATTTTCTAATTTAAGAACTCCATTTTATTGTATTGTTTATAAACGAAAGGATATTTCCACCGCGTTGTTTTGTCTTGTGTGGGAGGGAGGTTGTGTCTCTGTTAAAAGTCTGTTAAACCAGCTGACGATGACATTTTTAAAGTTTGGTGCTGCTGCTGTCGGCGGGAAATTTGAATTCTGTTAATTTTGTAGCTGAGCTGGCTTCAGACGAAAGGAAACTTTGTGATTTGGTTCATGCAATACCAATACAACATTAATCTATATATTCGGCATATACACCCTTAGCCTGCGACAGATCGCACTGACTACAGCTACATTTCCCTGACCAGTTATCCGCGTCTGAGCACTCTCCACTCTGCTCGGCCTGTACCTGCATCTCGGCTAGCTCATCGGCAATTGATTCCATAGCTTTTCGCATGCGGTGCGTTTGTCGAGGTGCTCTGTAGAGAGCACTGAGAGATCTTCTGGGAGGAAACTTCCCACGGGCTGGCTTCCTCCTGGACTGTTCAATGGCCTTCTTTACTGGCTCGGTCTTTTGCTTTTGTTTTCTCAGCTCCTCCAAATGCAGTTCCACAGGGGTCTTCTTCTGCAGGGCAAAGAAATTGCTCCACTTTGCACGCTGCTTTGCCACATATTCGTTGTCCACATCGGACTGTATTTTGTGTTTGTATTTGCTTTCAGCCGATTCGTACCAATCGATGGGCTTAAAGTCCATTTTTGTAATTTGCAGTTTGTCTTTATTCATCCTGGACGAATCATGAACGGCAGGTCTTTTGTGCTTTTCCAAACCATTCAAGAAATCCTTTGAAATCGATCCCCATCCTTGCTCCTTTATGAATTCCGTAAATGACATATTGTTAGTCTCGTTGTCTCCATCTAATTTGCACTTGATCTCGCTTACATATTGGAGATCTCTCTGCTTCGCTTCCAAATGAGTTTCTGGCAGTATCTCGAGTTCGTGTTTCTCTGTGGTAGCTTCCTCTTGGTGGCGTTTAAATATAACTTTAGCTTCTGGCATGCACTTCTCTTTGCGCTCTGGTATATTGACTTTACTGTGGCTCTTTAGAAGCTTTCTTAAGCGATCCTTGTTGGTGTTCAGCTCCTTCGAGTGTCCATACATGATTATAACTTATGTCCGTATTATGTCCTTATTTTAAACGTGAAATTTTATGCTCTATATATATGATAGAAACTAACCTTGTGGGTGATGTTTATTTCAATGAAAGATGAACCCAATCTGGAGTTTAGTTTTTGTTGTCTTTGGCTGCTGCCTTTTTCAGCACTTCCGCTGCCCTGGCCTTGTTCAGACGCATCTGCTCGAGGTCTCTTTCCCTTTGTGGTATGATCTCTGTCGTGTCTGGTATCCTCGGACATTTGCCCGGCTTTGGCACCGCCTGCGATGTGGATGGCTGCTCTTCGGGTGTTTCAGCTGTCGAAGCCTTTCGTTTGCCACGCTTGGGACGTGCGGGCTTGGCTTCGGCTTCGGCTTCGACCACATCCGCTGGCTCATCCGTCGCTGCAGCTTTCTTGGCCCGCCTGGTGCGAACGACCTTTTTTGGTTTCTCCGGCGTCTCTGCATCGATCTTGCCCGACATCTTGTCAATGGCCAACTGAACGCGCTTGCTGACCTGCGGCTGCTGCACTCTCAGGGCACTCTTGGCCGTGAAATAGTTGAGAATGGAGCCTTGAATCTTTTTCTCGTTGATTTTCTTAATCACCGGCTGGAGGATGTCGTCGGTCTTGGACGTGGTCCAGCCAAACGACTTGCGTGCAAATTCTCGTATCGACTCCACATCCGGTGCGCCCCAGCTGAAGGCATCGCGATTGTCGTCCACCTTGGGATCCAGATACGCCTCCACCACGGCCATGTTGGGGAAACCCTCGTGCAGTTCAATATTCTTCAGCTTTTTTCGCAGCGCCAGGCGTGCGGAGCTGCCTGGCGGTAGGTTGCTGCTCTTGTGCGCCTGCCACCAGTCCCGAAACCTAACCAAAGTGGCTAAAACCGATTGGTTGCCGCTGGCGACGGTGCTGGCCGCATCCAGTGTCGAGTTACTGGCACTCGAGAAGGAGGCGAGAATTTCCAGCGCCGTCACAGCGCCAATGCCATGAATGCCCGTGGTATAGTCGCTGCCCACCAGGCAGGCCAACTGTATCAGCTTGCCCCGATTGCAGTTGAATGTCTGTTCGATCTGCTCGGCCCGGAACTCCAGCACATTCTTGTTCTGGGCAAAGAAATTCTTGTAGACAGTGCGGCCGCCAAAGAGCCAGATGTCGCTGTCATCCGTGATGGTGCCGTGCGTCAGTTCGGTGGCATTCAGGAAGGCACATTGCGCCTCCGCCTCCATGGGCGCCACAATGTATGGGATGCCGAAGAGACGCAGCAGCTCCTGGCAATCTGTGCTCATGCGTTGGCTGATGGACATGCCCATGCGGTCCTGCCGATTGCGTTCCATTTCCAGCTCCCTGCGTTCCTGTGACAAATTATCGGCCATCTGCTGCAGCTCCTCGGAGGTCTTTTGCGCCTTTAACGTCTCTGCTGCATCTCTGATGAGCTCCTGCAAAGGCAAAGTGATGGATTAGCTAGGAATTTTGGTTGCTTACCTATTGCTTACCTCGGCATCCACAGTCTTGGCCGGCTCTGGCTCTGGCTCAGGCTCGTTTGCCTCAAAAAGCGACTTGGAAGCCTTGCTGGACCTTTTGGTGGGCGAAACGCCCTCATCACTGTCCTCTGCCCCATCAGCAGCCCGTTTGCGATCCGATTTGGGTGTTCGCTTTCTGTAGAATGGTTGCGGCACCTTTGGTGTGCCCGGCGGCGTGCCATTATCAGCCACTGGCGACTTGTCCGGTGTCCGTTTCACCACATAACTGGTCTCGAAGAAATCCCTTATGGATTTGTTCTTGCTGGGTGTTTTATTGGGTGAGATGCGCTGCTTGTGATTGTCATCGCTGTCGCACAGCTCAATCACTTCTTCGTTAGCGTTGACTGTGGGGACTGCTTCTTCGGTCTTGGCGTTGACCTTGGAGACTGCCTCATCGTCGGAGGACAGCTCAATGATTGTGCTATTGTTCAGCTTGATCTGCTCCAATTTTATATTCTTCACGGCGGCGATTTCTTTCTGCAGCTCATCCAGAATGGAGCTTAGAACTGGCTTGGCTTTTGGCTCGAGATTGGAGCTTGGAACTGGCGTTGGTTTGGGCTCGAGACTGGAGCTTGGAACTGGCTTGGCTTTGGGCTCGTCCACTGCTAGTTTGATATCCTTGATTGACTCGGTTTCCTTTTTTAAATCGTTCAATATGGAGTCCAAATCTGGTTTGGTCTTGGGCTGTGCTGTCTCCTTGTCTTCCTGCAGTTCGGTTAGAATTTCTTCCTGGCTTTCTTTTACCTCGATTGGTTCATCTTCAGTGATCTTCAATTCCTCACGCTCTGGCACTTCTATGAAATCTTCATCATCTTCGCTTTCCTCGGGCGCTTTTTCCTTGCCCGATTCCACTTGGAATATATCCGCAAACAGATCGTTGCTGGGCATTAGCTGCTCCGTGATGTCCACACATATTTCTAGACCAGCCGCTGGCTTGGGGTCTACCACTTCCTCCAAGTCAGAGTCCGTATCCGTGTCTATAATCTGCACTTTATCCTCTGTGGGCGTCTTTTTGCTCTCCTCCATGAGACTCCTTTTGCTCTCCTCTATGAGACTCTTTTTGCTCTCCTCAATGGCCCTTGAGAGTTGCTCGTCCTCCTGCCGGGAATCGTTTGGCATATCAGCAGACTGGACTGCAGTTGTGGCCAGTAAGTGCTCCAGGCTTTGCGTATCGTTCAGCTGAGTGGACTCCATTATGTTGCCCACCTCCTCATCGTTCATGCCGCCATATTCAATCATGTATGCTCGGGCCGGACCCTTGGCAGCGTGTCGCAGTTGTTTGCTTTGAGCGCGATTCAGGCGCAACTCCTGATCCGAGTCATAGTCGTAGTCCTTCTCGTCATACACCTTCTGGGTCTCCTCCAGTGAGAGGGCCAAGGCCTGTGCCAAGTCCGCGTCGTATTCGGTGCCCATATCAATGGACTCCGCCTTGCTGGATGTCGTGGGCTTCTCTTCATCCACCGGCGGCTTTGTCTCTGGCAGCTCCTCAATTGTCTCCATCTTCGCCTCGATTTTGGTGCTCTCCAGCGCCTTCTTCTTGAGATCCCTGACCAGCAGGAATCGCGTATGCTCATCCGAGCTGATTTGTCGCGTGCTCTGCTCAATGGCCGTGGGCGTTACAATGCCCTCCTCGCTGAAAAAGTCACACAGCTCGGAATAGGTAAGCGTGTGTCCGCCCATTTCCTGTACCGCCTGCTCCAGGCTCTCCTGGACGGCGCGTCGCTTCAGCAGCCGCTTCATCTGGAAGGAGCAGAAGTCATCGCTGCGGGCGGGCAACTCATGCAGGCGTCCCCAGGACGACTGCTTGCGCGTCTCCTTGATGTCGGTGAGTATCTCGTGACGAACGTCGGCGGGCAGGTTCTTGAAATTCTGACTCTTGACATCGATGGCCTGCAGACTGGAATTGTACGCATGCCGAGCGGTTGACTCATCAAACGAGCTATCCGATGTGGCACTGGCACTGGTGTAGTCCAAATCCTGATCGCTTTCCTCTGGGTTATCCTGCCCCGCGGCCGAGGCCGGCAATTCTGGCAGCTTAAATAGATCGTCCTCATCGTTTTTGGATCTGCTGGGCGGCGCGCGTTTCACTGGTGATTTAAGCAAAAGCTCCGCATTCTTGCCCAGCGCCTGCTGCACAACCTTCTCCCTGGCCAGGGACTGCAGCAGCAGAGCCTGTATGCGATCTGCTTCGTTGCTAAGTTTATTGCGCTGCTGCTGGCGCCGTGCCTGGAAAGAACGCAGCAACAATGGTCAGTGTGACAACTGCAAGACAAAGCTGCGACAAAAGTGTAACCCACAATCGTATCCCTTTTCAGCTGAGGCGTGCATCCATCGAATATGAAGACGGGACGCACCCGGTAGTAGAGCAGCTTGCACAGGCGATGAAACAAGCCCAAGAGGTGGGCATTGTTCAGAGCGGAGCCCTTGTTGTCCTGGAAACCCTTCACAACCTGATGCAGCCAAATGGATATGTCTGCAGGGCCGTGGTTTCAATTGCAATCAAAAAGAATTTCACAAAGCCAAGCAATCGCAGACTCACCCACGGCCAGTATTTTGCCCTCCAAAGTATCGACCGGCACAGGCTTGCCGCATGGCTCGATTAGCTTCCACAAGCCCGTGACTCCCATGCTTCATGCAAAAGTGCAATTCCAATATAAAACATGCAAACTATAAATAATAAAAATCAAGCACACCGGTTTTTGAGTGTTGTAAGCTGCAACGAATAGTGTTGTGAGGCGCACGTGAGTACAGTAGACATTGGAAATGCGCGATTCATTGTTTTGTTTACAGGGGAATAGAAAGAGGGAAAGGATAACCGATTGCAGTTTTCTTTGTTAATGTAGATTGATTTATAATGGATACCATCGAATATGATTTACACACATGTTGGTGAATTAATGAACATATTAAACATTACTTAAGCTTAAGTTTACAGTTACATCTGCTTTGTGATTCGACGTGGGGTTAGTTTGCCTCTTCGGTTGCCCCACTGCCACTAGCTGTGGCGTCTGCGGCACCACTCGCATCCTTCTTGCTGGCCTTGCTGTCCTTTTTGTCCTTCACCACTTTTCGGTACACTTCCAGATCCTGCGACAGCGACGGCACGAAACTCTCAAAGTCCAGTTCTGTGAGTGTCTGCATGATATCCTTGGCCGTAATGGTCTTGTGGTTCTGCTTGTGAGCCAGCGCCGTCGATGAGGATGTCACAAAAATGGCAAAGACGGAGGCCGCTCGGGCAATGGCCGCACGCGCCTCCTTGCTCACGTTCGCTCCATCGGGCAGAGCCTCCTTGATTAGTCGCGCAATCACGGCATTGGGCAGATTCAAATCCTCAATACGTTCAACCATCTTGGCAGCAATTCCTTGTCGTTTTTACGTCTATTCTATAATGTTGAATGTCGGCTGCGAGATCTGTGGCGTCCGTCTCTTCTCTCTTCCCGCGCAAACAAAAACAGCTGACTGTGTTGGGTAACAGCAACGCGCATGCACATGAAATGCAGCGATCTGGTAGCACTAATTCTGTCCACATTTGTTTGCGCTTTATTTTCGCATTCAATTGTTTATATATTTTTGGTAAATTATTACCAAAAAGTAATACATTACCATAAATGTGCAACCAGCTTCGGCGTGACTTTAAATATATTTTCTGCGAACACAGGTGATAGGAGCCTTGTGCGTGAGCCAACGATTTAGCAGCGCCGCGCACAGCACATGGAGCAGAGCGCGCCAGCGACGCCAAAGAAGCGCAAACACAGCGAGTACCACGATCCCGACTATCTTCCAACCGGCCCAGCCAGCGAGGACAATGAGGATGCAGCCACCAGCCAGCAAAAGCGCGCCAAAGTGGAGCCGGAATCGGCGGCCGAGGAGGATACATCATCACCATCACAGCCACAGACGCCCGTGCCAGATGCAACGGCACGGTTGGGACGCATCTGTGAGATTGTGCGCGTCGAGTTTCAGAGAGAAATTTCGGTGAAGGATGAGCAGCTGGCCGAGATAGATAGACGACTGCTGCAGGCGCGTCAACTGCTGGACAAGCTGCGCTTTGAAGTGGTCAGCGAGTACTATCGGAAGCAACAGGTTCCCCTCACGGCCGGCGACGTGGCCAAAGTGCGTGGTGGCGAAACACTGTTTGGCGATGAGAGCGCTGGTCCGCAGCTGCCGCTGCATCCGGCCATTAAGAAGATTGTCGGCAAACGGCCCATGCCCATACAGAACCACCTGCCGGAGCGCACGGCTGCCACTCTGGCCAAGCAAACGATTAGGCAGCGCAATCCGGCTCACCGTCGGGCCGAGCGTCGCCGACAGCAAAAGATTCGCGAGCAGGGCATTGTGATCGATCATTCAAAAGATCGGCAGCAGCAACCAGCAATCAATATCAAGGTGGAGGATGAGCAGCCATGCACCAGTCGTCAGGCATACGAACGGCAGCAGCAGCAGCAGCAACAGCTGGAGCTGAATGCCTCGCGCTTGAACAACAAGAATAAGTTCCACTTTGTGGTGGGCAACACGTCCAAATACATTGGCGGGGATCAGCGGCAGGAGAACAGTGGCCAGGCGCTTGTCTACAAATGGCTGGTCTATGTCCAGGGCAAAGGTCTGCCGAAACCGCTGGAGACATACATCAAGAAGGTGAGTCTACCCCTGGCAGCCATGCAGTGCGATGTTTAAACCGATTCCATCTTCGTTTCAGGTGCGCTTTCAGCTGCATCACTCATACCGGCCCAACGATATTGTGGATGTACATGCGCCGCCTTTTCAGTTGAATCGTCGTGGCTGGGGCGAGTTCCCCATGCGGATACAGCTGTTCTTCCAGGAGCACCTGCGCCAGAAGCCTGTGCAGCTCATGCACACCGTCGTGCTGGATAAGACAATGTGTGGCCTGCATACAATGGGCGCGGAGACTACTGTCGAGATTTGGCTGAGAGCGGAACAAGCCAAGGTCAAGCAGGAACCAATTGAGCCTCCTGCGAGGCCGCTTCCAACGCCTGTGACTCCTTCACCTCCTCCTCCTCCTGCTCCTGCTGTTGCTCCCGCGGCGCTCTTCACACTGCCCCTTGAGGGTCTAAAGCCCCGAACGATATCCATCACTCAAAACAAGGAGGAACTGGATGACAACCTCTTTGCTGGCATCAACAAGATCGAAATGAGCGACGACATTGAGCAGATTGAGCCCACGGTTTTGGTCACGGAGCCCCTGAAGCTCAGCTATAGTCCCAAAATGCAGCCGCCGCCCACGGGAACGATGCCGTCAAGACCCCCCCTGCGGCTGAATGCAGCTCCCCTGAGCGCCTCGCGTCCATCCGTCGTCTACCTGCCCGTCGTCAATGGCAAAAGTCCGAGCCCCATCAAGAGCGAGAAATCGGTGCAGCTGAAATCGCCGATGCAGCAGCCCCAGAACGGACATCGCGCCAAGCAGAACGTAGTCTTCCAGAAGGAGGGAAAGCTGTACATTATCGATCCGCAGCAGAGCAAGCTGAAGCAGGCGACACAGCAGCGATCGCTGCTGAAGCCGCAATTGAGTCTGTTGAAGTCGCCGCCGGTCAATCGTCGTCAGCAGCTGCTGTGCATCCAGCACGATCATGGCTATGCAGACATGACCAGCGTTTACATGAAGGAGGAGCTGCAGGAACTAATCAACGCGCTGCCGAAACGCTGGACAACATCTCTGGTAGCGGCTGCACCGATTAGACCCCGCAAACTGGATCAGATCTTTGGCAGCGTTCAGTTCAAGAGCATGCGCAGCGCTGTCGAGTTCCTGCTGCGTCGTTTGCCGCTGACAGGCAGTCAGAAAGTGGATGAGGAGCCCCCCTTTGTGCGTCCAGCCAATCTGTTGGCCTTCCAGGAGCAGCCTGCCCTGCGGCAGCGTTGCTACGAGTACCTGCGGGCACGGCACTTGCGTCGCTGTATGCTGCAGCATCTGGAGTTGCAGCAGTTGCACAACAGTGGCAAGGAGCCCTACTGGAGTCTGCGTGAGATCGTGAGCTTTGCCCGTCTGTATGGGTACACGCCGCCGCTGAAGACGCTGACACCCATTGAGAAGCGGTCAGCGAAGCTGGGCAGCGAGGAGCAGTTGGCACAGCGTGTCCAGGAGCAGCTCAAGGAGGATCCACAGCCGCATATATCGGCCTATTGCAGTGTCAGCTCCGCCAATCGTCTCGACGGCTGGATAGCACAGCAAACGGGTCGCCTTCGGGGGCATGAACAGGAAATACGGGATCAAGAGTTCATCGATGTCCTGGGTGTGGACTCGTCCAATCCGCGACTCATCAGCCAGCGGCTGCCACGCTGCGTGCCTGTGGCAAACAATCGCCAGCTGTTGTACCTGCCGCCACCGGAGCACCTCGAGACGGCAACGCAGCTGGTCCAGGACATGTGCAAGGACATCAACATCAGTCTCGAGGCAGAAGAGTGTATGCCGGGTGTCACACAGTCGCTCTCGCTTACGCTGCTGGGCCGTGTGCTGAGCATGTTCGTGGAGCGTCTGGTGCGCCGCTCGGTGGCTGCCAAGCTGCAGCAGGATACCATGGAACAGCTGCCACCACCGGCCGCCAATGTGCCGCTCTGCCTGCAGCCCTACGACATTGGTCGGGCGATTGCGCAGTGTCCGGAGCTGGATTTCCTGGGGAATGGCCACCTGGGGGTGACTCCCATGGAGCCGCAGACGTAGAGCTGTGGGAATTTATTTGCTTCTAGCACCACGCGCAATTCACAGTTCAAATTCTCCTGGGATATTAGTCGATATCTACGTGTAATTATTTTATTGAATTTTAAGCCTAAAATAAGGAATTAAATTAACTAATTTAACACCGACAGGGTATTTGATGGTGCGACTTTTATGTGTGTGCTCAGAAGTATGCTGCAAAATATTTCACATTTCTGCTTTGCCATCGATTTCCGCTAATTACCGAAATTCTCAATAGTACGAAAAAACGGGAGCAAAAGAGATCACATCACTCCATGTTGTGTGCATCCTCTTCGTATTGCATTTCTCTTTTGGGCGCCCATTCTCTCTCTCTTTATGGCACACGCGCTACTCTCTACTATTTTCATTCATACGGTGGGAGCGCGCATGCTGCTGCTTCTGCTGGCTGGCTGATCCATCTGTTGATCCGTTTCTGTCCTCTGTTTTTCTAAATTTCTTTTAGTCTCTTTTCCAACGTTCGCGCAACAACTTCTGGGTAAAACAGAGAAGGAGCTCGCTTCCCGCGCTGTGCCGCGGCATATATTAAATTTAGTCATTTTCAAAATATTCTACTCCGTACACAAATAATGATTCATGGCTAATTTATAGTTGTAAAGGCTTTTTCAATGCGACATTGCGGTTCTCCAGTACGTGGTTCTATAATAAGCTTCCCCCCTCCCTCACCCACACCATGCGTGTGTGTGTCTCTGTGTGTGTCTTTGTGATCGTGTGACAGAAAATGTGAGGCGCTATAAAGTTCTATTTTTATTTTGCAGTAAAAGCCCCAAGTGTCTGCTTGAGATGCAAATGTGTAGTACGAATATGTTTCGGATTCTGTTGCGACGACGCCAATTTGTATTCGCGGCCCACACGCCGCCGCTCGATCCTTAGATCTCTTTCTGGACAAGTCCACAAAAACCCCTTCCCATCACCACTTACCCCGTCGGAGCAGCAACAGCTTCACACACAGACTTTCGAAACGCCCTTGGGGCGTCTTCCAATGATGCGAATCCCGTTGATTCAAATAATCAAAGTAATTTTCGTGCTCTCAACAATTGTCGCCGTCACAGGTAAGCTAAGCTAAGCGCGCGCCACAGCCCACAGTCCACCAAGAAAAGCCGCCGAAACTGTGCAGGTGCTGCCGTATCGGTGCAATTTCAACCGGGAGGCTGCCAGACTGTCCTTTCTCCTACCTGTACTCCCACTCTCTCCTGGCAGATTGTTGTTCGAGCCGAATTCTACTACTCCGCGAGCACACGCTGAAAATTGTGCAGCATCAGCACAATTTTCACAATCACATGCACGAGCATGCCCACGAGCTGCAGCAGCAGATAGAGGAGCATGTGGTCCAGCTGGTCAACCAGATGGAACTGCAGCAGCAGCAACAGGAGGAGCAGCAGCAGCAGCAGCAGTTGCAGCCAACGGTCCGGGAAGTGCCACCGGAGCCGGATGAAGACGGAGAACTCCTGCCCAATACGGTTGAGGAAGCCTCCGTGGAACCCATGCTAGAAGAACAGCTACTGGGCGAGCCGTCGGCCAGCAGTACAGAATCTTGGCTAGCCGGCGAGAGCACCACAAAAACCGATGCTACCACGGAGACGACGACGACCACACTCACTACAGTCACTCACACCGGCGAACCGCCACCCGATGACAGCTCGCCCAGTAGTGCGGGGGCCACGTTTTCGACTGCCATCCCAATGGACAAGGTCAAGGATACGGCCGACATCATCATGCTGCCCTGCAGCGACTCCTTCAAGACGAACTTCTGCCTGAATGGCGGCAACTGCTTCCGCTATCCGCTCGGCAACAATAGCCTTTACTGGTGCCGTTGCGCCGACGGCTATGACGGACTACGATGCGAGTTCAAGAACTGGAATGGTGAGACCCAGCGGCACACTTCTCTCTATTCGAGTTGACAATTCTACCTACGTTTTGCAGGCGACTATGTGAAGGCACCGCCAGCACTGGAGGCACACCCAAAGATCCGGATGGCACGCATCGTCTTCTCCTTTCCCATGCTCATTCTCCTATCGACGATCTATGTGCTGTTTGCGGCCGTATTCATGCTCCGCAATGCGCCCGAATATCGGCGGAAGCAGCAGCAACTAAACTTGCACAAGCAACGGTTTTTTGTCAGATGTTGAGCCAGGCCCCCAAGCGTGGGGCTGCCAACTTATTGCGTTTGGCGTTTTTGTATTATTAATTTTTGCCCAGTTGGGGCAACTCTGCAGCTTTTGTATATGCAGCTAATTTTGTTGATTTGATTTGATTTGGAAACGAATTTTGGTTTCACAATACTCGGAATTTTTTTTGGTAGATTTTTAGGACTCTCTCTATGACTTCTATATCTTTACGTTGCGCAACGCAAAGTTAACGCTTTAATTTATTGAATACATTTAGTATACTTAGTAGGATTTTCTATTTAGTTGCAAAAGACGCACACATTAGTAATTCTCATATTTTCTCATATTTGTTCGCTTTTGAAGCTTTCGTTGGAGCTTTTGTAGTAGTTTTTTGTTTTTGTGGTAACATTTTGTTACGTTAAACGCTACGCTACGCTACGTACGTTAAATTAACCATAACGAAATATTTAGAAATGTACTTAGAACATAATCTTAGCGCCTACTCCTCCAGTTACCGCACAACTGCACATATTTCCGTAACACTCTGTTACATCGACATCCAATCGTATTGTATGGAGAAAACGTATATATTTTTTTTTGCTTTCGTTTGTAGTAGTGCATTAATTAAAGAGAAATGGGACTCGAACAACGGGACAACCAACCAAACAAAACTTTCTCAGCTGTGTGTGTGCCTTTTATTTTTCTTTGTTTCAGCCGGGATTTTGGTTTGCTTTACCCTGTGTGTGTGTGTGTGTGGATTGGTCTGGTAGTGAAGCACGCTGGTTGGGTGTTTTATATTTTATAATATATATTTTATCCAATATTTCGTCCAAAAATTCTTTACAAATTTCTTCGAACTTACAGTTAAATGTATAGTAGAAATTATTCAAAAAATTCTCCTCACATTCATCATCATCATTATCATCGTTTCGCGTATGGATTGGATTGTATGGTGGTGGTGTTGTTTCCTCTTCTATCAAGATCTTCAATATGAGAATGGTATGTATGCGCGTGGTGTGTGTGTGTGTGTGTGTGAGGGGAGTACGAGTATACGTGTGTATGCGTTTAGGTGTATGGGGGGGGGAGGGGAGGTGTATGCGAATGAGGCGAATTTATTCCCATTAACTGGGGGAATGGAATCCAGTCCCCCCCTTATATGGAATTCAGATGCACCAACACGGAACAGTGGCTGCCGCGTCTATTGGTGGGTGTGGGGGTGTGTGTGTGCAGTGTGGGTGGTAGGTGTGGTGGTGGTGTGGTGTGTGTGTGTGTGTGTGTGTCAAGTGCAACTCTGACTTTTATCTTGGATTAGGGATATGAAGTTCGTACAAAAATTATTAAAATATGTAAATGTTAAAAAATGTATTTTTACTTTTGTTTTTTTGTTTGTTTTGTTTTGTTTTTTGTTTGTTCTCTCTCTCGTTTATCTTGTAATTGTTTTTTACGTTGCGTTCTTTTGTTTCTTGTATCGTTTTGTTGTTGCTTTCTTATTTGTTTTTGTTTTGTTTTGTTTTTTTTTTTGTTGGTTTTCTGTTTTAATAATATGTAATATTATATATAATAATTATGAGTAGGATTATTCGCATGTAACGGGCAGTTCCTGTGTTGTCTGGTCTGCCGCGGCGTTCTTCTCCTTCAGATCCTTAGCGATATCCTGGCAAATATATATAGAAATATCTGAATTAGTAATATTCATATACAAATGGGACGTACTTTTCGTGTGTATGTGTATGTTTTTTTATGCAAACAGAGTAGGGAAAAAACTTAAAGCACAACAACAACAATAATTAAGGTGATAGAGTAGGGAAGACGAGGCAAAGAGGATTGCCCCCCTTCGCCTACAGCCAACGCAACAACAAAACAAAATGTTACCAAAAAAAAAATGAATCATTATTAATTAATGTAAGCGATTTTTTTTGGGGGTGTACAACAATTATAGATGTGTAGGTACAGTTTGTGTGTGTGTGTGTGTATGGTCTGGTGTGTGTTTAGTGTGAGTGAGAGACAGAGACAGAGAGAGCGCAGGAGTAACGCGGCAGCCAAACAGATGAGGGTGTGGTGTTGTGTGTGGGGGGGGGTATTAGAACAGAGAGTTATTGTATATGGGGGAGTGGGGGGGAATTGTCACTGGTGTGTGTTTGTGTAGGTGTTTGCTTGTAACAGGATTAGGATGTATGTATGCAGTTTTCATATGTGCTTGGATGGGATTTCTTTTTTTTATTTGTTAATGCCAAAATGCAGCAGTCCCCCACCCAAATACACTTAACACTCTGTTTTGGTTATCCCCCCCCGATTTAGTAGTACATCATTCCGTAGGGGGTGTTACATCACCAAAGATTCATGCAATATGGATTGTTAACCATCATCAAAATCAATGTCAACACTAAATGAACTACATATTTAACTACGGCAACAAGCGCGCGCGCAATATAAACTGTGGTATTCCTCTGCAAATGTTGCTGAATTGCTTGCAATCAAATTTTGAAAAAACAAAACCATAATGATATCACGTTAGATTTATATATTTAATTTATGCTGAACATTATGCTTGTCAAATCAGCAACATTTACTCGAATACCACTCACAACAACAAACAACTGATTTATGTAGGAATGCAAATGGGATTAGGACACACAGAAGAGAGAGACAGAAAGCAAAAGGGGGAGAACGTGGAGAGAGCGCGCGACTGAGTGAGAGTGGCTGAGTGGCTCCAACCATAGAGATGCAAATGGCTCACGATGGACGATTGCTATTCACCTTGTTGTTGCTCTCTTCCTCTGCTTCGTTCACTCGGACATCCACCTGTGGCAGTTCCCCAATTTTAGTGATGAGCGTATCAGCCTGTTCGCTGATGATGTTATCGACAGTGCTGTCGTTATCGCTTTGCGATTCTACGATTTGCTCCTGTTCTGGCGCTCTTAGCTCTTTATCATCCCCATCCAAATCCTCATCATCAACATCCGCTGGTGTTGGCTTAGCTGGCTCTTCATCAAGATCCGTAGACGTGGAAGATACGACTTCATTAGTTTCTCCGACGACCAGCACGGGCTCCAGCTCCTCCACTATGTCGAGAAGCACTTTGCGGTCTTCGGTCACAATCTCGGCTGCATGTTCGGTTATTTCATCCACAATGCTGATGGCCTGCTTCTCAATTTCCGAGCGTTCTGTCTCAGTTGTTGGTGAGGGGCAAGTGCCTGTTCCTGTTCCTGTGTCTGCTCTGGCTCTGGCTCTTCACTCGCATCCTCGGCTAGGATGAAGGCAGAGACACGGGAGGGTGGCGGCGACTTGGGCAACGGTGGTGGACTGCTGTTCCTTGCCTCAACAACTACAACGGCATCGGCATCGACAGGATCAGAGCTGGGCTCTGAAACGGACTCTGTATCGACTGGAATTTCGGTCTGTTCGCCTTTGGACACAGGAGAAACAACGGGTACAACAGCTTCACTGGGGGACTCATCAAGTGCGGATGCGGATTCGGTTTCAGGTTCAGTTTTGGGTTCAGTTTCGGTTTCGGGATCAACAACAACGAATCCCTCGGAATCGGCATCGGCATCGGCCTCCACCTCGCTACTAACCGCTTGAATGATTGCCTCAACGACTTGAGCTTCTTCATCTGCTGCTGCTGCTTCTGCTTCTGCTGCTGCTGCTGCCTGGAGGATCGTGTTGGTAGTGTTTTTGGTGGTTAGGATTGTTTGGGTCTGAACTAACTCTGCGGCTGCTACAACAGTCTCGGTCTCAGTGGTTGTTTCTGTTGTGGTTGTTGTTTTGGTGGGGTTCTCTGTGGTTTCGGTTTCGTTATCGTTTTCGGTTGTTGTTGTTGTTATTGTTGTACTTGTATTTACAGTGTTGTTGTTGTTGTTGTGTTGTGCGTTGGAGGAGTTGAAAGTGGTGGTGTCTGTGTTGGTGGTGGTGGTGGGGTTTACCTCGATTTGCGACTTGTTCTTGATCTGTTCGGCCTCAGAGGACTCGGCGGCGGTGACGGCAACGGGTGTGGGCGGTGGCGTGGCACTGCCGGAAGAGACACCGTTTGTGCCATTCTGGTGTGGCTCCTCATCAACGCTGCTTGGAATGATCTCGGCTGCTGCTTCTGCAACTGCCTCAACTACGGGTGATGATTCGGACAGGCCATTGCTATCGCCATTGGTCAGCGCCTCGCCGGCAGCTGCTGCACCATGACCATTGGTCACAACCTCAACGGGCTCTGGCAGGCTCTCTTTGACGGCTTCTTCGGTGGTAGTGGCGGCAGCGACAACAACATTCGTCTCGGTGGTGGTGGTGGTGGCGGCAATGACAGTGGCAGTAGTGATTGGTTCTTCGGCGGTCTTGGGCTTTTCCGCTTCTACGACTGTTGCTGCTGGGGCTGGCGACGCCTTCTCCTCCTCTCCGTTGACCTGTTTCTCCTGCTCGCTCGCCGAACCGTTCTCAGCGGGCTTTACTTCAGCCTTGGACGTGGACTCAGTGGCAGGCGCACCGCTAGCATTCTAATAATCATAATACAAAAGAGGATTAGACACATCCCCCACATCCAACTGAATTATTATTCCGGTCACTTACCTCTGCTTCTGCTGCTGCTGCTGCGGGCTGCTCGGTTTCGCCGTTTGTTGTGGCCGCTGGCTCAGCGGCGGCGGCAGGAGAAGCTGCCTCAGCCGTGGTCGGTGATGTTGTGGCCGATGTCGGGGAGACGGGCTCCTCGGACTTGGCTGGCTTTTGTTTGTCCTTCTTGCCAAACGAGATGCTTCGGAAGGACCACTTCTTTTTGACCTTATCCTTCTTGGACTTGGACTTGATGCTCTCGTCGGCCAGTGGTGAGATATCCTCTCCAGCGGCTCCCTCCTTGGGGGACGAGCCCTCTGGGGAGGCAGCATCGCTTTTCGGCGTTTCGGCTGCTGCTGCTGCTCCCACTTCTCCAGAGGCGCCCTCACCTGCTGCTGCGGCTGTATTCTTCTCGGTGGTCAGATCTTTATCGTTCTCCGAGTGCTCCTCAGTCTCCTTTTTCTGGATATATATATATAAAGGAATTAGTTTAGTGACTGGCATTGGGATGCATCATCATCATTTCATTCACTTACATCGCCGCCAGCTGCCTCCTCGCCAGCTGCCTCCTTGGGCGTGGCCGCATCACCATTCACTGCCGGCGCTGCCGCCTTCTGGTCGGGATCCTCGATCTTCTCTACCTTCCCGGCCACCGCATCCCCCTCGCCGACCTTCTTGGGATCGGTGGTAATGTCGATCGAACGCTTGCTCTGAGCTTTACCCATATTCCTGCTGTTCCGCTTTTATCTGTTCGTTCCTGTAAACTGTAGAGGCGAAAAGTTTAGTTTATAATACATACGCGTGTATTCATTATTTATTTTTAAATTTGCTTCTGTTCTTATTTATTTATACATCTGACATTTACACATTGTAGTCGAACCACAGCTAACCAATCGATCGGTCGATCGATTGATCGTTTCTTTTCTTTTTGCGCACCCAATTCGATGACCTCATTAACAGGACCGGTCAGGGTGGAGCTATTCGGGCTTATCTGGGATCCGGTCAAGCCCATTCAATAATGCAATTACGGAAAAGCAAAGCAGCAACTAACTGGACTGGCGTAATCGTAAACGATTCGCAGACGTCCGTCCCATGAATCATCCGACGCGACCCACTTGAACGTTGTGTTTTTTTTTTTGTTATCCGTATACTGACAAATTTAAATGAAACAACGGCACCCGACCCGACTACGGGCCCTGAGGAGGGGATGGCATGCAATGCGTCACTTTTGAAGAAAATCGAATTACACACAAAATATTAGCGCTCAAGTTGTGGCAACGAATGTAATATACCCTTGTTTTTCAGCGAGCCAGCTCTATTTCCATAATAATATGTAATTACCCTGTCGAAGGGTATTTTAAGTTAACCAAAAGGGAATGAAACCGAAACCGTAGCAAAAAAAGAAATTTTAAAGTCAGTTCAGTGCAGTACAGGAACTGCGAGGGAGAGAAGAGAGTGCTGTGCTGGGGGAACAGTAGAGACACACAAAAAGTTTGCATTTTTTAGGGGTTGTAAGGTAAAACACGATAATAAGGGAAAAGGGCAGGCGGGCGGGAGGTAGGGCTGGTCGTTCCGTTAGTCAACAAAAATGGCGGCAATTTCGCCACACACCTACACCTACACCCAACCCAACCACACACGCACACATTGAGCGGGAGAGAGAGTGAGGAAGGGAGAGTGAAAATTGAGTTAGTGCTCACAGCACAGACAAAAGCAGATGTTGCCCCCGACCATCGCCGCCTCTTGCCCATCAACAGCAGCTTCCTCTGTACATTCCGTATATCCGCAAGAGCACGTGCGACGGGCGCCATATGCAAATAAAGAATCTCTGAGAACTAATAAATGACTCACACTCACTCATCATTAAACTACAGCTAGTGGAAATGAGTCAAAAGCATAGACCAAAAACCAATGCAGTACTCGTCATACACAAACACACACACAAACACATACTTGTGTAAATTAAAATACGTAACAAGACATCAAGTTTCATGGGAGAAGGGGGAGGAGGAGGTTCAGTGAACCCAACAACAGCAATTCAGTTACGTATTTCGATGACAGCGATAGTAACAGAACAGAAACAGAACAGTAGACAGTTAAAATTTGATGCTCGGCGTCGAAAGAGAGCGGGAGAAAGAGGAACAATTAATTCCTTGCCTATTCAAACAACAGCAACAACGTTGATGAGTAATTGCCAAAATATGCCGGGAAACTACCAGACACAGGCACAGGCATAAAACGTAATACAACCCCTCTCTGCCGCCAGCCAGGTACTATACCTATACTCGTACATATGTATGTGTGTTCCATGTGTAAGGTAATAGCATAAAAGCGTAAGTAAACTTGAGCGCATGACGCATCAAGGCAAAAAAGGACATCGAACAGAGCAGAGCAGAGGGCAGAAACAGCAGCTGCGACAGAGGGTTGTGGCCATTGTTGGTTTTCCTGCAAGCAGCGCAAGCTTTAAGGGAACGTAACGTAACGGGGATCGGGTCTGCTGGTCATTGCACGTTGCCATGGCAACGCTTTTAGTTGCCGCTCTCTGCCGCTGCTTTCGTTTCTCTGCCGCTGCGAAAAAGCGTCCGACAAATGCGGGGGCGTGTGAAAATAATTGAGTGGGGTCCAAAATATGTTGGGATGCGGATAGAAGCGTTGCCAGAACGGGGAAAGTTATGCATTAACCCTAGGCTGTTCATCCTTTGTCGTAAAGCTACCATGAGAGAGGGTATCAAATAAACTGTGAGCTCGTCGCTTGCGATGCTTCTCTTTTAAGGGGCCGCCGCCCTGCTCTCCCTTGAAGCATTGCTAAAGGGGCCGCCCTGCTCTCCCTTGAAGCATTGTGCCTTGTTTCTTTTTTTTATTTTATTAGTTTAATTCAATTTAGACATGACTTTTGACATGCCGCACTCACTCTTACACCAATACAGAGACACAACATGCTTTCACACGCATTCAGCTCAGCTTGTAAGCCTCCACCGCCACACCTCTGACAAAGAAGAACGAAGAGAGCTGAAGAAGCAGAAGCAGCCGCCAGTCTATAAATAAAAGCGCATTTATCAACAATGAAGCAGCAGCAGCAACAGCAACAGCAGCAGCTACACAAAGCGCCGCTGCTTGCATGAATGTGAGTTGTGAGTTGTAAGTGTGAGTGCGAGTCTGGGTTTCAATTCTCTGCGCTGCCCATCAATTTTGACACTTCAAGCTGTTGTGTATCACTCACTCCTACTCTTACTCTTGCACTCCCTCTCTCGCTCTCTCTCTCTCTTGCACTCTCCCTCGTTGTACAGTTAGAGAGATGCGCCGTAAATTAAATTGATTGTACTGGAATGTGCCGGCTGAGTGACTGTGTATCTCTGGACTGGCTGTCTAGCCGGCCGGCCGATGGGCCTGCCTCCCATCCTCTTAACTGGTCAAACATTAATTTCACGTCTCTCTGTCTGCCTTCTGGGGCTGCATGGCTGCATGTCAAAGCGCAGGCGCGCGAGCATTCCATTTGCAAGATCAGTGGCAGGCAGGGCACAGGCGGCTCTGCCACATTGTTGTACAATTAAAATTGAAAAGTGCCCCCCCATTTAAGTGCATGCGCACTCTGGGCCGCACAATTGAACTTTTATAAACTAATCAAAAAAGATCGTTAATAGCTCACAGTCTCTGCCTCTGCCTCTGCCACGGCCTCTCTTCAATTGAGTGGAAAGTTTTCTTCAATCAGTCGTCTCCGGACAGAGGCTCAAGTACGAATATGTAGGAGAGGCACACACACATCTACAACAATAGCAGCAACAATAACAACAATCAGAATAAGAAAGAAAGCTGCTGATAAGCCACGCCTAAGCTACAATCATGCAAGCAGCAGCTGCTGCTGGCTGCAACTGCAGTCGAATGATCTGTATATACTACATTTCATACAGAATTATATGTGTGTGTGTGTCGGTGTGTTTGTGTGTGCAGTCGCAGTCCACTTTAATTGTCATCAAGAGACAGCCACCCACGCAACTCATTCTCCCACAAATTGCACATAGCGGAAGACACCGAAATCCATGCGAAAAATACAAAAAAAAAGAGCAGAGAATGAAGCCTCAGAGAATAAGAGAGAGCATTGAGTGAGGAGCCTCAACAATGTCTCAAGTAATCCACCGGATATAATTGTTGTTGCTGTTGCATGTGTGTGTGTGCTGTACTGAAGGAGGAATTGAGCGGCGTTGTGGCAAAATGAAAATGATACGTAAAATGAATGCATTCCATAATTAGTAACAAGTACAATACACATCACTCATACGTACACACACACCCACCAAGTTGTCACAAGAGAACCCAGAAGAAAAGAGAAAATATTTTTTTCAATTATCATTTCCGGTCAATTTTGAATGTTCTGACGGTACTAAAACTCTACACTCCACAACCTCACTCCCTTTTTTGGGTATGATATGATATGATACATTCCACATGGCTAAAAATAAATAACGGTAAAGTATTCCCCGAAAGAACTTGATTTGCTGCTGCTGCTGCTACTCGGATATCTATCTGCAGTAAGCACCGCACCGCACCGCACAGCACAGCACAGCAAGTGATAGTAATAGAGAGGAAGTAGAAGCAGAGGGGGCAAGAAACGACGAAAACGGTGGGTTGTACAGGAACAACACGATTACTAAATTGATAAATCGAATGGGAAGAGGAAGAGTGAGGGTCGGGCGCACATAAGAAACAAAGAAAGACCCATATCAGCCATGCACAAGTGATTCAGAATAGTCTCCCGGAACAGCAAAAAAATACAAAAAGGGATTTCGACTTAAGAGTGGGTGCTACGTGATCTAGGCTGGGTGCACCACACTTGTCTCCGGTCTTGACTTGTACCCAACCCATGTTTTATTTTAGTACATGCATGCGTATTAAAGATACATAGTAGTATATCTTTCGTGCAGACAACAACACACAGCTACTACTCGGCAGAGTGAAGCAAACATTACCTTTCCCCACATTGTAGACGTGCTCTAGTCAAGTTTTCACTGCCTGACAGCTAGATACCGGGCTTATCTAGCCGGTTTTTATCGTCCCATCTTCAAGATATTCTTGTGTATGTACGTACTTCACTCTACCGCCAGGCACTCTGCATACACACGCACATGTTGTATCCATTGGGACGGGGAAAGGCAATACATGGCAGAATGGGAGCGGGGGGGGCATCCATCCATCGATCGTAAAATTAGACGCACTTGAAAATATCTTCTTTCCCTAGGGCCATGCCATTCAAAAACTATCAAAACAGACAATCGCACAGATACAGATACAGATACAACAGCAACAGCAGCAGATACAAACTATAATGAGAGACCCAAAACGCATAAAATCATCAGCAAGAACCATCAAATTTTATGAGCTCGTTGCGAACGTCTCTCATATTGCACGCGTGTATTTGTGTAAGCCAACAACTTCTACTTTTTTTTTTTTTTCGCAAACGGCATACGAATTGTTGCCTATTTGTTGACGCTGTATTGGAGCGCGAGCGAGCGGCGCACTCATCAAATTCTTGAAAATATTTCAACAATGTGTAATGCCCGTCAGGCCCCCTTATAAGAACAACAAGGAAATACCAAATATCAAGTGGGAATGCTATAGCCCAGTATTTCGACTGCACGATACCCATATACCCCCGCCCGCCCGACCGCTTATGGCGTGCTTTTCGTAGACTTTTACAATATGGAAATTGAATGATTTACATTTGAAAAGGCAACAAACCATCACTTTTGAAGTGAGAGGTAAACTAGGAATACAAATATCTCTCGAATTGTGAATATTACTGGGAACCAATATACCCTACGCACCAAATGGGTGTAGGGTGTAGGGTATATAAAAAAAAAGCGCGCACTTCACTCCACACTCAACTACTGTGGGCCGGCCGATGAAAATAATTACAATAAATATTTGAATATTCAAAGCTATGTCTATGTACGCTGCTTCCTTTTCAAATAAGAGAACCATGAAGATGGCAGAGTGGGAAAGAGAGCGGGATGGACAGAGAGTAAGTGCCAATAAATTTGTCGCCCTGCCCACGCTTATTCGAACCCCACTGTAGACGAAAGGATAAACGAACATAAAGTAAATCAGAAATCAGCAGCAACAACAACAACAACAGAAAAACAAGAAGGTGTGCTGCTGCTCTGCCTGCAAGTCCAGCAAACCGGTTCGGGGGCTCTCCTCTCTACTTGTTTCTCTCTCTCTTGAAACTCTTTTTTTTTTACTTCTTTTGCTAGATTCCCGTTCTCTCTCTCTCTCTCCGTCTCGTTGCGGTTAATTAAAACTCCAAAGCGTGCGACAATTGTAAGTTGTGTATTAAAAAGTAGTAACAACAAGAAAGGCAGCAAGTCAGCAGCAGCAACAGCAGAACGGGCCAATTAGTCGCCTCGTCGGTCTTAGAATTAGCATTCCGAAACAAAATGAGTAGAGGAGTATGGGGTAGGAGGATTTTGAGTATTGAGTGAGTTGTCCCAAGTGGCGCGCGCGCGCCCGCACTTTTCTGATTAGAAATTCACAAGGGGCAACTCTGCGAGTCCGTCTTTGTCTGTTGTAAACGTCTTTTTAATGCATAATTCATAGTTTAGCGGTAACTGCTATGCCCCTGCCCATGCCGCTGTCCCTACCTATGCTTCTTCGTCAGCTTCCGGTACTTACTCAGCCAGCCGCGGGTGGTCTCCTAGTGAAAGGCTATCTAGCTTCTGTGTCTGCACTTATCTAGTGAGAGTGCTTTCTTAATTAAACCGTTTAGCTGTCGCACTTCAATCTTTCGTTTATTCTTTTTGCTTTTTAATCAACTGGAACTTCTTGAGAGCACAATTTTAATGGCGGCTGAAGTGAAGCACAGAGTTTTTTTTTTTCTTTTTATTCCGGGAGAGCGCGTTACAAGCAAATGCGAACCGTTAAGTCGAGCGACAAACGACGACTGGCTCGATCAATGGGGAGCAACTTCTGTTGCACTCAACCAAAACTCGACAGCGAAGTCAACAGAAGCAGACAAAGAGCAGAAGCAGAGGCAGCAGCAGCGGCAGCAGCAGCAGCAGTGGCTGGCCGCAGGCAGAGGCGACGCTTGCCGGAAGCGCTGGCAGAGCAGTCACCGTCATCGACATCGACAGAGCGTCAGAAAGTAGCAGTAGCTAAAATGCGGGCGGGCAAAGACATTTTACACATGCATTGACCATCATATCATCATAATCATCATCAGTAACCGATAAAGGCAAGAAGAGGGAGGTCGGTCTTCTCTCCTTCTTGCTACCCCGCGACCCAGCCTTAGTCAATAACAAACTAATGAGCCTTGGCGGCGTCAATGCGTATGCTTTATTGCTTTATTTTGCTGTTGCTGCTGCTTCTGCTGCTGCCATTCATGCCTGCGCTCTTCTCATACACAATGACCCCACATGCCAGCTCATGCAGCTCAGTCCACTCCAGACGCAGGCCGCTGTGGCAGAATAACAGCAGCAGCAGCCACCAAGCGGGCATAAACCATATGCATACACTTTCATACATACATACAGACACACAGATGCATGCTTGGATGCATGCGCTATTGTTGTTGGCACAATGAAAGGGAGTATGGGGAGGCAGGCGTGAAGAATCACCGAAATTCTGTGCCACTACCCCTCCTCCTGATGTTGCTGCTGCTGCTGCTGGTTTTTATGGTGTAACATTGAACGGATTTCTGGTATTGTTATTTAATTATCGCTTCGGATGGGATAGTAATTGTGTGTTATACATAAAGATTCCAGCAACAATTGTGGGGGCACACTAATTGAGGATATCACTGGCTATTTCTTGGGCATTGCCCGCAATGAGTGAGAGAGTGGGAGGTGGAAGTACACACTTCCATGCATGTGTGATGGATGTCTTCCAGAAAGAACAACAGTTACATGTTCCATATTGCAGATAAATGGTATATCAAAACGATCTACAGCCGAAGTGTTAGTGATATTTATCATATCAGCAAGACGATCAATTCAAGTTTTCTTCAAAAGGAAGTAGAAGTATTCAAAGACCGACACTCCACAACTCACATATGCAAATTTACATCAGATGGGAGAGCGAGAGCAAGCAGCACAAAGTCCGAAGCTCAATTGTGCTGAGAGAGAGAGGAGAAGTAAGCCAAAGTGTTGAAAAGTCTCTTGTCACCGACATACGACGACCACAGAGTTCTTCTGTATGGTATGGGAGGGGGGGAACCAGAAGAAGAACCACACACAGGGGTACAACATTTCTCTCGTTTAAATATATGCAAACATCTGTGTGAAAGATGTTGCGGAGGCCATCGCCGGCCTGTAGCCTGTAGGCGGCACTGGATGGATTTTCATTCTCCATTCCGTTTTTCTTTATTTGAAAATTGGATCCTCTTCTATACACCACTTGAGGCGGCCCAACTACTTACTCGTAATTCCCCAGGAATGTGCCCATACCCCTCATACGAAAAAAAAATAAAAGCAAAACATACATAATTGCCGTTCTGCATATTTTTTTATGAGGCATTTGGCGTGGCCGCGAATGAGAAGCTAAAACTTAAATCTGAATTGTTTTAATGCCAAATCAACAGAAATAGAAAAATATTTGTAATCCAAACGAAAATCAATCGCAAAAGCAGCAGAAAACCAGCAACAAGAATAAACAAAAGCGATGGAGGAGCAGATAAGCGGCCCTGGGATCCGATGCGATCCGATTTGCCGCTGCTACTGCTGCTGCTGGCTGCTGCTCTCTTCCCCCCTTACACTCTCCATTCCCCATTCGGTACCCCATTTAAATTTAAGCTTTTGGCGTAGAATTTCATTTTTGTGGTTTTCTGTTTTGTTTCGTTTCAATTTCAATTTCTGTTTACGCCTTGCTGTTCTGCTGCTGCTGTTGTCTGTCACTGCTCCCGTCGCTGCTGCAGCGCAGCACTGCTGTTGCTTATCAATGCCGCCCGCAATTTTCACACCCCGCACTCGTGCTGTACAAAGGGTATATTCATCAGAGAAAGGCGTTTTTAAACTCTAGCAATTCTGACTCAGTGTTAGGGCCTACTAAATAGTAGCGGAAACATATATTGGGGACAACGCAGATCAATTATGTAATATTTTAGGTAATATTATCTACTTAAAGTACTTGCTACTTGGGTATCTTTAAGTCGTTATTCGAATTCTTAATTGCTGTTTATGTCTTCCTATCTATGATACATGCGTGGGGCGTTTGTTAAGCTTTTGTAGCCAGAAGGAACCTGCACTGAGAGATTAGACGGCCAGGCCAATTCTGCGTTCGGTCTACTTTAACCACAATTCGCACTTGATGACGACCCACAATTCACGGAACGGTTTATTTGCTGCCACTCCCCTATCCCCTATCTGCCATTTCCCCCTACCGCACTGCTGCTCTGAATGTTTATTCGAGTTTGAGCAAACGTTAACAAATTCACCAACAATTCAATCATTCTCCCAGTTGTTAGAGGGGCAAGCAAATATGTAATTTAAAACGACTTCAACGAAACCGCACGACGCGTCGCATTGGATCCCCTCCACAGACAAAACCTAGACCGATTCGAATGAAGAATGTTACCTGAAACTCTGAAACTTTATCCAAAATAAATACATTTCATATTACGTACGAGTAGGATCTATAATAGAGCACTTGAGAACGTTCCGATGAAAGTTTTACGAGTTTAGACTATGATTACAAAGAAAGGTTGGATTCAGGTGCACTTGTAGATCCGTGCGATCAGATCCTGGTGTTTATAACGCGCATTTAAATTTATTGAAAACTGAATATCGGCTTAATTTATACTCGTACTATAAAGGGTCTTCAGTCCTCTCTGGCATGCCAAACTCCTGTGCTGTGCCTAATTATAATGAGCCTCCTCTGCCAGGGTATAAAAATACATCCCAACAACTGCAATGACAATCAAGGCTCTTCTTCGTCTTCTTCGATACACCCACTCCCTCTGTGGACAACGACGACGACGACGACGACAGTGAAGGACCGACACGCACACACAATTGCACTCTCACCAACAAAAGTGCATTTGAGCGGTGGGGCGGGGTGGAGCATACCCATACGCGTGCAGGGCATGTAGGCGACGACGCCAGGGCGGTGGCTGGCAGCCGTCTGATGAGTGACGACTGCTGGCGCTGCAAAAATGCGACGCAATTTTTTCGTAACAAAACTGTAGAATAAATAAAAAGACGATCCTCAAGTCGGCGACGCCAGCGACGACGATTGGGGCGGCGGCGGCGGTGGCGGTGTATCGATAATCTCGGAGCGTGTAAAACTAAACCGAGACGCAACGAGGGTCGGGGGGGCAGGAGCTGCTGTGCAGGGGAAGATCGACTTCCGTCAAATAACAGTCAACACTGGACAACAAATTTCAGTCGACTGCACCTTGCACAAGGATGTGGCGGCAGCCGTGTCCGAAAAACATGTTAGCAAGTGTAATCAGGCGTGCAGTGCAAACAAAGAACACGATTCCCCCTTCCCCCACACACACAACAACTTCGGGCAAGGCAAGACAACGACAATGAAAAAGAAGTCAAGTCAAGGCAACAGGGAGATACATACATACATACACATGCACGTACAGCACAAAGGAAAAATGAAGCACGCAAAGGAAGAATGTTGATAAGCGGCATAGAGCGCAAAAACAGGCAACAGAGAGCGAGTGGAGTCAGGAAAGAGAGAGTGAGAGAGAGCGAGCTAGCGAGAGAAAGAGAGAGAGCAAAAACGGATACAAGCCCCACCGGCATGTTGGCCTGTTGTCTGCTAGAGACGCCGACGTGGTGGCAACGCCGACGCTTCGAAGGCGGCACACCCAAAAAATTGTGAAAAACGCTGCTCAAAAGTGGCGAAATTTAAAGGGCGTCCAGGGTGGGGTAGGTGTCATAGTAACAAAGGAAGACCGGCTTTTGTCTGTTTGTGGAGCTAAATTTAAACAAATTTACGGCAAAATATCTCTAATTTAATGCATTTCTTGAGCCCACTCGCGCATGGCGTCCTTTTTTCCTGGCTTTGTGTGTATGGGTGTGCGTCGGCGTCTGCGGCGTCGCCACTGTCTGTGTGTGTCTCGAGACGGGACGACACTTGTGCCAATATTGCGAGAAACATGAATTAAATCGCACTTGGCACTTAACATTTAATATAATTTAAACATTTATTTATGTGGACACACAACTTTGTCCTGTACACAGACGCGGAGCACAAAAGCGGGTATAGAGAATTTTAAAAGTACCACTTACACACGCACACACATACACATACAGGCAGACTGCATGGCTTGGCTTTTTAAAAATTGTTTGCTTGTTTAATGAAATGATTACTGAAATTGAAATTTACCTGGCTCAATAGTCTAGCTAACACACGCACTTTGTTCTTTCGTTGCTCTGCGAATAATGTAAACTCTTTACTTTCTTCCCGTTTCGGTTTCTCGTTCTTTTCTTGTTGCGCGCTCCACAAATAAAAAATGTCCGCTTACAGGCAGTGTGACCGCGCCGATAACGATAAAAATACCATCCGGCCAAAAAATAAATACCATTAAATACCATTTCAGTTTCGAGAAATACCATTTAAATACCAAAAATGTTTTAACATTAATTTCGATTTCCATAATTTTGATATTCAGTTCAATATTACTAGCTAGTTGGCCCTCTCAGCCCTAAGCAAATAATTTTATCCAATTCCTCAATAAATTTTGTTCAGGATTCGCCAGTTTTCAGAACTCTCTTTCATTGGATTGTTTACATAAAAAGGTTCAAACAAAAACGGCCAAATCATAAAACGTAAGTGTGTACGAAATGTGACGTCATTGTTGCTGGTCAACCAGTTTATTCTATGCGTATGGTTTTTTGTATACCATATTTCTATTAATTGATGTTGTTCCAAGCTGCTTTGAAACATTAAAATTGCATTTTCCTTAGATTTAGATGTTTTTTTTACCTATTAATGCATATGCTTTGTGTTTTATATATACATTTCATCCCGGTTCTGATACCTATTACTGGTACCCGTAAGCTGCAAAATCTCGTTAATATCTTTAGAACAGACACTGAGTAGTTTTTGCATTAATTGGAGCCTGAAAATTCAAACAATATCTCAAGTCCATAAACATACGGGAAATTTTGAGAACTCTCCACGAATTGAGAGCGAAAAATGTCAGTATTTTTCGTGCGCTAAATTGAGTTTGGCGGTCAATTTGAAATTTGTCTTAATATTTGGAAAAATAAATATTTCACTTAATTTGTTTTTTCGAGTGACCTCAGAAACCTCAGAAACCGAGAAAAAAATAGGTACTGGTACCCGTAAGCTGCAAAATCTCGTTAATATCTTTAAAAAAAAAATACAAAAAATAAATAATAAAATAATTTTAAGGATGCTCTTTTGTTAGATTTTTTTTTTTAAATAAGCTTTAAATAAAAAGGTCAGTAAATATGTAAAATTTTACATTGTAACTACACGGTAACGCCACATTTGCTACAATCAACAACATATTTATTTCCTTGAATTATTATTAAAGTTCTGTTTTCAAAGCTGATCTGAAACCCAATTAGTACTTAATTATTTATTACAAACAAAAGCATAGAACGAGCATTAATGGAAATACATATATCTTTACATATTTTACAGAGTACCGCTACTGAGAGGGTGTTTCTTGCTCGCGTTAGTGCTGCTTACAGAGAGTTGCGCTGCTGCTCACAATTGCGCCATTAAACAGAGCATGGGAAAAGTCGCAAAAGCAAAGTTTTATAATTCTTCCCACAAATCAGTCCACAAATAACAACAATAGACCTATGGCATAACACGTAATAGGCCGAGGATTCAGCTGGTGTGCGTTCTGCAGAAAAGCCAAGCAACTATAAAAAGCCCCAAAAGCTGGCCAGCAGCAAGTGGGCCGTGAGTGGTGTGGCGGGTGGGTGTGTGGGTCCGTCCCCAAGAAGTGTTATCTAGTTGCGTAGGCTCTGATGCCTGCGGAGATAAGACCCGGACCTGGAGCCGTAACCAGGCGGATCAACCCATCCCGGTATTTATCACATATCCCCACTAAATAGAGTCCACACTCATCCATCATGTTTCGCTTAGGAATCGCCATGGGCTGCATCACCAGCACCAACAAGCTGAATGAGCTGCGCCACGACAACGTCTTTCGGGTGCGAGTGGCGCACCTGCAGCCCAGTCCTGGGACGCCCATCATTCGCAGCGGCTACCTGGAACTGACGCCGCGTGAATTGATCTTCCTTACGCCCGGTTGCGAACCGATTGTGTGGGCCCTGCAGCATCTACGTCGCTACGGCCTCAATGCGGACCTCTTCTCGTTCGAGGCGGGGCGACGCTGCATGTCCGGGCCCGGCATTTACACGTTTCGAGTGCACAATGCCGAACAGCTTTATCCGATGTTCCAGCGCTACATCAATGCGGTCAACACGGACGCCTTTGCCCAAGGCGAACGTGAGAGAATCAACTCGGCGCACTCCGTGTCCGTGCTGATGGGGCGCACGGACGCGAATCCACACAGCAACAACTACTTGGAGCCAGCACCAATAATCGCTCGGAACCTAGGTAGCTCTCTGCCAGAATCCGCCAATGCCAATGCCTCCTTTCAGATGCCAATGCAGATGCCGACTGAGACCACAGCCCAGCTTGAGGATTCGCAAAGTCTCCACTCGCCCGTGTTGCCCTTTACGACGTACGCCAATGCCCAGACCAATGTTTATCTCGACCAGCCGCTGAGGGCTATACCAGATTGCTGCAAAGATGGAGGAGCCTCCACGGGGGGCATGCCCGCCAGCAAGGACACGCCGCCCAGCAGGCTGAGCATGCGTCGCCGCACGCTGGATATGCCACCGCTGGAGACGGCACCACCACCAGCTCCCGCCACTCCCATTGAGGGCTTGCACATGTATGCCAATGTGGAGACGCCCGTCTTCGACCTAATCACGGAGCGCTGCTATGAGAATGTGAACCGCTTGGAACTGCCGCTATTGCCGCCGCTGCCACCACGCGAGGTTAGTCGCGAGTCCTCCGAGCCTGCCACGCCCACCAGTCTGGCGGGCAACTTCAGTGGCGTAAACTATATAGTCCTTGATCTGGATCAGCCGCGCAGCCCCGTCAGCCAGTGCTCACCCCGGTTGTATAATGGCTTTGGCAGCGGTCTCTCCTTGGTCACTGTTACCACCGCCGAATCTTTGGCACAGGCCAAAACAGCGCCCGTTACACCGGAGGCGAGCTCCCTGCTGGATGTGGTCATGCCACCGCCCCAGTCCCATAGCCTGAACAGTGTGTCCAGTGCAGTGGCGACGGCGGACATGGTAGACACAGCGCCGTGCAAGCCAGCATCCAAAGCAGCAGTAGAGTCATCCACAACGCAGGGCTATTCCACCATTGACTTTATTCGCACCTACGCACTGAACAAGTCATCGACAGAGTTGCCGGAGCTGCGCCATCATCCGCCGCACGAGGCCGAGGAGTTGAGGATAACGCGGCACAGCAAATGCATCCGGAAAGCCTACTCGATCAGCGAATGAACTGCCGCAGCAGCAGCAGCAGCGGCAGGCACGGGCACAACGAATTTTATCAGCGCCAAGCCAAAAGGGGGGCAAAGCACTACCCCAAGGTATATTAAATACAGGGTAAGGGGTGTGGTGTCCCCACTCTCTTTATATTTAATGTACTTTGACACAAATGGTAAACCAGCAGGTTGTTTCAGTCACGTCACACACATGACTTGCATACGTACTTATTATGTATTTATATAGTGGTATTTAGGCATAACGGGCTGTTTAGAGCTAGTCATTTCGATATTTTATGCAAATTAATCGTAGACAAAACATGACAGAAAGGCTTTTAAAACTTAATTTATATGTACTATATTGTATATTGTACATGTGTAAGGTTTGTAGTTTTTAAGCACATGAAAGAATTGTTGTGGAATGGGGGGAAACGCTTTTGTAGTTTTCTTTTTTGTTGCCAAAGAAAAAAAACAAACAGAAAGCATCGCCGCATTGCATTGTCAGCTGTGAGTTTCTAGTTTTTTTTATATATCGCTAAATTGTTATCCAAGTTGTTAGGTACACATACACACACACACACACATAAGGTTTTTTGCAGTTGCATACAACATACATCCAAACATTAAATATTATTATTGTTAGTGTCTAAGACGAATTTGTGCAATAAAACGAAAGGACCTTGTAACTTGTTTTGTTGATTTTGTTTTGCATTCATTAAGAAATGCAGTTATTTATTTAAAATACATATCTTGAATTGTGGGAGCTCCTTTTGGAAAAGCCACACCTTTTATTAATGTGCACTGCACTGCTACATCAAGTCAGAAGCACCGTTACTTGATTCAAATTGAGAAAGAGAGCACAAAACACTGAATGACAATCAGCATCCGCCTGAGAGTGCTTTAACCTCCGATAAGAAGAGAGTCCCCGGTCCTCTCCGCTGTCACATCATATGCACTTAACAACCGCAATTACACTTACACTCAGTTCTTCACTCTCCCCTCGACCACACTGCACTGTTTCAGAGAGAGAGAGAGAGAGTAAGTTTTCCCGCCCGCCTGTCATTCAATTGATTTTGTAGCGAGGCGCTGCCATTGAAAAATCTGGAGTTGCTGTGATTGTGTTCAAGAACAAATGAAGAAAATATGGATTCTGGCCTTGGCCATTCTAGCACGAGTGTGCCTAGGCCTTGGCCTTGGTATGGGACCCGAGCTGGCCACGCACTTGGCCCCCGATACGCTGCCGGACGTGCAGGAGGAGGCGGCGCGTGCCTTGATCCAGAGAGTGATCGGTCCGCGCTCCTCACAGCTCTTTATAGTGGAAGTCAGCAGACTCTTGGAACTGCGCAGCTTTCAGGTGAGTGCATCCATTCCACTGAAGATTAAAGATGAATACAGAGAGGGGAAACTGCTCTTGAGAGCAGATTAGCATGCTGGACAGCGGGCAGATTCTGATAGCTGGCTGGGATGGCGTGTCCGTGTGCAAGGGCTTCCATCATTATCTAAAGTACGTGCTGGATCGGGACGTGGACTGGTTCAAGATGCGCATTGAGCTGCCGACCAACCTGCAACTGCCCAATGTGACCATTCGCTCCACCTCGGCCAGTCCCATACTGTACCATCAGAATGTGTGCACGTGGAGCTACAGTTTCGCGTGGTGGGGATTCGAGCAATGGCGACGGCACATCGACTGGATGGCACTGATGGGCATCAGTCTGAGCATAGCCCCCGTCCAGGAGGCCATCTGGCAGGAGGTGTACAGCCAGCTGGGTCTCAGCGACGCGGAGATCGCGGCCCATCTGGCCGGACCAGCTTTTCAGGCGTGGCAGCGCATGGGCAACATTCGCGGCTGGGGCGGACCCCTTCAACCGGAGTATCAACGCCTCCAGGAACTGTTGCAGCAGCAGATACTGCGCGCCCAGCGCGACCTGGGAATGAGCGTGGCCCTGCCGGCTTTTGCCGGTCACGTGCCCACGGCTATGCGTCGCCTCTATCCGACTGTCAACTACACAGAGGTGGAGCGATGGAACAGCTTTCCTGATCCCTACTGCTGCGGTTTGTTCGTCGATCCGCGGGATCCTCTCTTTGATCTGGTGGCCACACTCTTCCTGCGGCGCGTGGTTCAGCGCTACGGCTCCAATCACATCTTCTTCTGCGATCCCTTTAACGAGCTGCAACCAGCGGTGGCGCAACCCGAGTACCTGCGATCTACGGCCGCGGCGATACACAACTCCATGAGGCGTGTGGATCCGGAGGCTGTGTGGCTGTTGCAGGGCTGGATGTTTGTGAAGAACATCTTCTGGACGGACGCCATGATGGAGGCCTTCCTCACGGCGGTGCCCATCGGCCGCCTGCTTGTCCTCGATCTGCAGAGCGAGCAATTCCCGCAGTACCAGCGCACCGACTCCTACTACGGCCAGCCGTTCGTTTGGTGCATGCTGCACAACTTTGGCGGCACGCTGGGCATGTTCGGATCGGCCGATCTGGTCAACAGCGGCATTGAGGCGGCACGGCGCATGCCCAACAGCAGCATCGTGGGCGTTGGCATCACACCGGAGGGCATTGGCCAGAACTATGTGATGTATTCGCTTGCCCTGGAGCGGGGCTGGAGTGAGCCCAACTTGGATTTGGACAGCTGGTTCCGACACTTTGCCCGGACACGCTATGGCGTGGATGATGCAGGTCTGCAGCAGGCGTGGCAGCTGCTGAGGCACAGCGTTTACTCCTTCCGCGGCCTACAGAAAATGCGCGGAGGATACACGGTGACACGTCGGCCGGCCCTCAATCAGGATCCCTTCACCTGGTACAACGCCACGGATGTGCTGGAAGCCTGGGAGCTGCTGCTGTCGGCACGGGCCATCATACCGCTGGAGGATGACAAGTTTGCGATCTATGAGCACGATCTGGTGGACATAACGCGGCAGTATCTGCAGATCAGCGCCGATCAGCTGTACGTCAATCTGAAGTCGGCCTACCGGAAGCGGCAGGTGACACGCTTCGAGTACCTTGGCTCCAAGTTGCTGCAACTGTTTGACGATCTGGAGCGCATCCTCGCCAGCGGCTCGAACTTCCTGCTGGGCACCTGGCTGGCAGATGCCAAGCGAGCAGCCTCCAGCGCAATGGACAAGCCCAATTTCGAGTTTAATGCCCGCAACCAGATCACCGCCTGGGGTCCAGATGCCCAGATCTTGGATTACGCCTGCAAGCAATGGTCGGGACTGGTGTGGGATTATTATAGGCCTCGCTGGGCCCTCTTTCTGGACGATGTTACCCTGGCTCTGCACTCGAATCGCAGCTTTAATAGCACTGCCTTCAAGCAGCGCGTGCTGCTGCAGGTGGAGCTGCCGTTCAGCAACAAGTCCGATGTGTATCCGGTGGAGCCCATGGGCAATACTTGGTTTATCTCCCAAAATATATACGAGCGCTGGAAGGGTTACCTAAGGGACACGCACTTTCTGCACAATAATCGGATATCCGTAAACCTCAAATTGGGTGCCCATTGATCACTGGCAATAATTAAATAATTCATTTTATACATGAAATTGGATGCATTAAATATTTTTACACGATTCAAGTAAATGGAGAGAGACTCAAATGCAGTTTCGAAACCCTCTCGAGCCCGGGCGAATAATAATTCCTAAATGTGCTGCTCCAAAGAAATCCTAACACATGGTACATATACATATATGATAATAAAAAAAAAAAAACATACTGCACATCCTGGATTTTGCATCATACATAAATGTAGTTTTAATTGATTTTTATTTAAATTAATGTACAAACTAATTATGTAAAAATTTAAACATGATCATTAATACGCATTTCTATGTTTACTCTTTTGTTTTTCTTGTTTCTTTTCTTTTTTGTTTTTTTTTTTTTTTTTTGTATTTCTTCTTGTGTATCTGCGTGTGTGTATGTTTTGGGGTAATTGCGTTTTAGTTCTATTTTTTTTTTCGCACACACACACCACCACATGACATGAACTCCAAAAATTCTGGTTCCACACTCACACTCGTGTGGCTGTTGATCTGATCTGTTTTCTCCGCTCCTTATTCGTATGCCGTATATTCTGCTTTACCACGTATTAATGCTAATTTTATGCAAACTAATTTTTGCATAGAACTTTTTGTTACACCTGCTGCTGCTTGCTGCTGCTGCTTATTATGAACTCTGCTCTGTCTCTACTATTTTTTGTTTCTTTTAACTTATTGTGTTTATTAGGCTGTGTATATGTTTTTTTGTTGTGTGTGTGTGTGTGTGTGTGTATGTTGTGTTTGCTCATTCATCATTCATACACAATATGCTACAAGTATACCCTCTCTCATTTAAAAAATTCCCAAACAAAACTTTTTTTTATGGTATTCTTACGGTTGCCTTTTAGGTGTTTTAGACTATATAATGGTGGAAAGGAGGAAGGCGGGAGGGAAAGTGGGATCTTGGTTTATGTGGTGTCGAGGACATTGCGCAAAAATATGTTTTAATCATATTAATCGTATATGTAATTGCGCACGAATAACCATTATGTTTGTTTGTTTGTTTGTTTCACTCTCTCATTCGCCACAACAAAACGCAACTATATTTATATGTATTGGTAGGTATATGTGTATGTGTGTGTGTGTGCTCTGTGTATGTGTGTGTTGTGTGTATATATATATATAACGTACTTATATGCATTCAATCAAACAAACATTTATACTCTTTCTCGATGGAGAGAAACACTCATACGTCAATCATTGTCATCAACTGAATATTCAACTGTATCTGAATCTGAATCATTCTCAATCAAGCATCAACTAAAAAACATGCTAATTGGGGTGTGGATAGTTGGGAGGGGGGGCGTGTACACATCCTGACGATCTCTCTCTCTCTCTCTCTCTCTCACTCTATTCATCCTGCATATCCTCGGGCAATTCGTGAGGATTCAACATGCCTGGAATATTCCGCTGCATCTGATGCTTATTGGACTGCTCCTCGGCCAGGGCTGCCTCACGCTCCTCCAGATACAAATCAGAATCATCCTCGCCAGTGGCCTCCTATACCAAATAAAAACAACAAAAATATACAATCAATCAATCAATCAATCTACAAGTGGGGTTGATCCCCCCCCCTTGTGGTACTCACGCGAATCTGTATGAGAAAATCTCTCAAATGCTCCTTAAATGCTTGCACATTCTCGTCCAAATTGAATAGGCCAGTGACAAAGACTTTAATCTGATTATCGGATAGATGATTGAAGGCCGACTTCAGCAGCGATGCGACATACTCCTGTATGAATATCATATTATCGGGTATGGGTCCCAGGTCCACTGTTATCTTTCGATTCTCCACCAACGAAAACATGTACGCCAATATGATGGCATGATTGGGCAGTCCAGCCGTGTGTGAGGTGTCCGTTACCACTGAGAAGATTTGCATTAGAATATCCGTGAAATATGTCTGATAGAAACTCTGCGCCGCATTCGGATGCAGTTCCAGATTTTGCAGCATCTGTAATTAGTCCCATGATTAATACAACAATTTGCTACAGAAACACACACTCCCACTGTATGTTATGTATGTACCTTGAAGAGTATATTCAAGCCCATATCGGCCACATTGCGCATTGTGTGCTTAAAGGCCCACACCACAGAGTCAAAGACCAGTTTGAACTGTGCCGGCGGTATGTTGAGGAACGCCTTGAAACAGTGCGCATTAACCGCCTGCAGTAGCTCATAGAAGCTGAGACGATGCTGTGGAAAATCTTCGAAATTCTTATTGATCATATCCAGTGTGCACTCGAAGACGGCATCGAATATTTTTGGTACTTCATTGGTGATATGCTGGCGCAGTTTATGAACAATTGTGGCCATCGCACTCAGAACTTTTGGCTCGCGTGCCGATGGTACTTTACAACGCTGCAAATAAGTAAAAAAAAAAAATATAACCAAAATTACATATTAATATTCCGATTATTTTGCGTGTGGCTTCTACTCCATATTTGTTAGAGACCTCCGCTCACCTGATAGTCCAGTAATATAGCGTCTAGCAAGGGCGGTATAAAGTTGTCCATTACTAGCTGATTGTCATTGGAGCGCGAGACCCATTCGGCTATCAAGTTTAAAGTCTCTTTTTTGACCACATGCATGGTCTTGATCAGTGGCTGATTGTTCACATTCACGCCATTCACCTCAATCGCCTGGATAATGTTCTCCGATGTGATCTTGTACACATTCAGCATATCCAGATATATGCGTCCCAGTTGAATGACATACGCATGGCCCAGTGCTTTACAGGCGGCCACATTTGTTTTCAGAATGCTGCCCAACTGCTTCACTGCCGTCATATTCTTGAGAAAATCAACATTTTTCGATGCACGCGATATGATGTCGTCCCAGACCTGATTGGGCAGCTGCATATAGCGTTCGATAAGCGCGTCCTGTTGTACCTGATCCACCTGTGCGGAGATCATATAGCCGACAGCTTCGTAGAAGGTGTGTACCTAAGCGGCGCGGTGGATGTTGTAATGGGATCCCATTAGTAAACGTCATTCGGCAGTAGAATTTCCACCACCCGCCCCCCTCAAATTTATGCTCACCTGCTGCGGCTGCAGATCACAGATGATGCTGCTCATTGTGCTGAGAATCTCGTCAATGAATGTGCATGCCTCGTTTGGCTGGATGGTGACAAAGTAGCGGCGGCACTTGATGGCGATCTTAATGAACGTATCGCAGGCCATGTCCTGCACGCCATCGTGTGTCTCGTGCATAAATTCAAACAGTTTGTTAACCACAGTCTTCAGGAATTTCCAATGGGCACGCAGAAAGCGCGGATACTGGCCCACCACATACATGATGTTGGAGGCAATGATGGCCTTGTTGTCCTTGCCCTTTTTCTGCTCGCACAGACCCAGCAGATCCTTGATCACAGTGACCAGAAAACGCTTCTCGTCTTCTTCACAAAATGCACCTAAAACGAAACAGTACGGGGGTAAAACAGAGTGGATGAGCGAAGGTAGGGAGATTTTAAGTGGAGTGAATTGAAAGCTTACCGGAAATGGAGCCAATGGCCCAACACAGCGTGTTGAGGTTCTTCCAGGAGAATTCTGTGCCATTCACTTGATTGAGTAGCTTCAGCGTCATAATGCGATCCGTGTCCACGCAGTCCAAGTGGGTGAGAAAGACGAGAGTCTCGCGCATATTCTTGTACAGGTTAATTGAGTTTGTGTCCTTCATGAACTCTCGCACAACCTCGCCGTTCTCGTTCTCCACCACCAGGACCTCCTCCGGCTTGGCCATGCGCGATATCATAATGAAGCGCACCTTGGACAGAATGGGGGCATAGAAGCGACGTCGCGGATACACTTGCTGGCGCTTCGACGACTCGAGCGTCGGATGGAAGAACTCCGAATTGTACAGATCCTCAACGAGACTGTTCCAGTACTCGAGACAGATCTTGAACACCTCCACATCCTCCACCTCGCTAATCATGACCAAATACATGAGGGCCTGATTCAGAAAGTCCACATACTTGGCATCCTCCACCAGTTTGCCGTGCTCCTTGAGGAAGGTGCACAGGAACATGGACAGATTCAGCACCAGCTCCTGTTCGGTGTCTGTGCCGTGCTTGAACACATGATTCATGTTCATGTTCTGGCCAATGATCTGGTCGAGCTGCACCATCGTGTCCTTGAATAGCGTCGCAAAGTTCTCATCGTAGTTGGTCGCCGTTAGGCCGGCGATCTCGGACAGGCACTTAAGTGTCACATTGCGGAACATGGGCACGGTGAGAAACTTGAATATCAGCGTCTCTATGAGCGTCGTCTCGAATATGTAGCCCAGCGGTATCCAGTTGAGGAATCGGAGCAGGGTCTCCAGTGTGACGTGTATCAGGGCAGCGTTCATCGAGTTCTCTAGCACAAACGAACAGAGCGTAAATATTTGCGAGAATTCCGAGCACATGGTGTCCTTCAGATGCTTGGCCTTGGTCTGCGTTATCTGGCCCAGTGAGAAGTCGAAGACCTCCTCGCTTAGATTCTTCAGTATAACCATATTGTTCATGCAGAGGCTCTCGTTCGTCTTTGAGGCACCGACAATGTCGCTAATGAAGGTCTCCCAGTTGCGGGGCCATTCACGCTTCAGGATCTGCACCAGAATCATATTCAATTTGTTCAGATAGACTTTGTTCTGCTCCATCACAGTGGGATCGGAGGATGTCTTGATGATCAGGCTGACTACATATTTCTTGATGCCCTCGCACTGATTGCGCGGCAGCACCTTCCAGCGGGTCTTGATCACCTCCTCGAGTATTTGGAGGGCATAGAACTTTGTTTGCTGGTTCTGTGAATATTCGAGAATGCTATCGACGCGCGTCCATGCCTCCGGATGCTCCTTGAGTGTGGTCAATATGTCTTGGGCAAGGCGCAGCTGATCGCCCTGCGATGCGTATACCACCTCGACAATCTTATCGAGCAGATTGATGTCGAGCTTCTGCGAGAAGTCGAGGAGTTTGCTCGCCTCTTCTGAGGTCAACATCGCCATCGCTTTGTAGTAGAAGCGGCGTTCGCGTCTGCGTCGCTCAGAGGTTGTCTCCGCGTTAATTTTGATTTCTTTAGCTTATTCCTCCGGCCTGAGGTGAACGGTGTGTACGTTGTGTACGAACGGCGTACGTACGGGCAGGCGGGCGCAAACTGTGATGATGATGGGTTGTGGAGCGGCAAGGCAATGTGGATGTCGATCCCTGGCTCTGGACCGCTGCACTGAACTGGAAAAAATCCAGTCAATAGATGAACGAAACAGTGCAAATTATATTTATTGCGTTTTCGGCATGCAGGCAACCATATTTTTTTTTTGATTTTCTTATTTTCTTTTTTGGAACACACTCATACAACTACAGGGCACACGCTTGCTTTGCTGCCTGCGCGCGCTTACAATTTTTTCGCACACTCACACACACAGGAGCATACCGCACACGCACGCACACAAATACAATTGAACGCATCGTCGTTCGTTGCCAGTCGCCGCCGCGACGAGACTGCGGCGGCATTTCACAACTAATACTAATATTTGCACCTTGCTTTGATGATGCGCAGAAGAATTGTTGTTAAGAGTAACGTTATTAACTTATTTAACTTACCTATTCCAATTCCAGAAAAGAGCAGCGTGTGAAAACTTCTTCTCTTCTTTAAAATGTTGCCCTCAATGTGACCGTATTGTGTGTCGCTCGATAGGCAAAAAAATATCTGATGCTATATCAGATATCGTTCACCCAATAGTGATAGTGATTTCAAAATCACTAGATCGCATGTTAAAGTCATGTAGAAAATGTCATCTGTATGCGTTTCGCATTGAGTATCTGATCGATTTGAGATACAAAAAATAGTTTTGTAAAAGCCTAGTATTCAGATCCCAAAAAAAAGCTCGCGAACAGAATCAGGGTTGCTATTCGTATGAAACCGATAAAAAATTCGTTCGGGCACAAACTGTTTTCTAGACTCTGTACTGAAGGCAGATCAGATCAACAAAAAAAAGGTCGGTAGATATTAGAAAAGTATCCGATGTTATATGCTGGTATTCGTTGGTATGCTGCTAACCTCTCGAAAAAGATATCAATAATAATATATAATTATTATTAATTTAAAATTTTAATTCTTTTGCTAGCAAACAGTTTTTGGATCTGAGTAATAGATTGAGTAAGATTGTGTAGTTATTTTTACATTTTACACTGCATGACACGCCCGTCAGGTGTCGCCTTTTGTCCACTCATCTCTGCGCGGTCACACTGAGGTTTGTGTGCGTGTGTGTGGCAGAATTTTAATTTTTTTTGTTGTTTTTTGTTGTTTGGGTGCTTAAAATGTCCATTTATTTGTTGTGTTTAACCACAAACGGTGGCTTGCCAGTGTTTACACGCAAAAAGGGAGAATGTGACAATGTAAGTTGGATTTGCTTGGGCGCTTACAATACCTAACCTACTAATATCCACTCTTCTTATCCCCCTAGCTGCCGTTTTCAACTGTTGCTTCGCTCAACGGGTTTCATATGTTCTTTAAATCGCTCGGCATTCAATTGGAAGCAACTACAACCAGTAAACAACCGCTTCAGGGTCAGGGTTTGGTTCCCGCCGATCCGGAAGAGTGGACCTACATTTGGCGGGACCGCAATGCGGTCACATTGATTGTGTGCAGCAGCGGAGTGGGTTCGGAGCAGCTCCTGCAGTCGCTGGCCGACCTGGTTTTTGGCGCCATTGCAATGTTCATCACGCGCGCATCTGAGATGGCGCACGCAACGCTGCTGGAGCGCCTCAAGAAGGATGCCAAAAAGTATGTGCCCATTGTGGATGCCATACTGGAGGCAGCCTGTGCTGGCACGCAACTGCTGGGCTACACCGACTGTGTGCTGGCGTCGGATAATGGGCAGCTGCTGCAGTGCCTCAACGAGTTTAGCGGACACTGCGGCTCCTTGTTTTGCTGTCTTGTGGTGGGACATCGCATTGCCGTGGCCACCGAGGGCTGGTGGGATTTGGATACCATAGACAGAGAACTCTTGCTCTTCCTGCTGAACTCTTCCAGCACCCTGCAGCATGATGTGCCTGTCTACTTGCCCGTAAAGAGTCCAAACATTGCCTACCGCTTTGTCAGCATACCCGTGGCTGCGAACAGTGCTCTCTGTGTACTTTGTGGTGCGGAGAATGCATCCTTCAGGGAGCTGCACATGCACGCCATGAATGCCTATCGAAACGAGGGCAATGTGCTGGCAGCCGCCGAGCGCTGTGTGCCCCGCAGCATACCTGAGCATCTGGATATTGATGGCAATGTGTTGGCCATTATCCTAATCAATAGGCATTCCCGCAAGAGCCTCTTCACCCGGAATCTCCACCAGTCGGCCAGTGCCAAGCGCATTATTGTGGGCGATCTGCAGCGACTGGACATGCTCAAGAAGTTCTTTGACCAAACAATGGAGACAATCCAGCAATTCGAGGCTAAGCCATCGTCCAACAAAACAGTGCTGATGGATCAGTACAGCTGCTCGGACTATCACAAGTGTTATGCCTATGCGGATGAGCAGAGCAATGTCATTTTTCTCTTATTTGTGGCTGCTGTGCCCACGCATGCAATGAGGTAGGTAGCATTCAGTATGGGTTGTAATTTGTGTGGAACTTGTAATAAAATGTTTTCTTATTTGCAGATTCCTTGCACAGCGGGTCCATGCAAGCATTTTGCAGGAAAAGTCTGTGTGCTGGTAAATTTTTATTCTCATTCTCATTCTTACAAGACTGATATTTTGCTACAACTATACACTAGCTTATAAGTTAAATGCATCCAATGCAAATGCCCCTTTTCTTTTCTATAATATAACAATATTGTGTGGCTGGCAATACACCATTTGTCCGTTTCGTAGCTGAAGGGGTTTCTTATTTGAATCGAGGTAAAATTCTAGCCTGGAGCCGACACGTACTGCATCTGCCGTGTCCGAGTGTAGGAGAATATTAAACGTAGACACTCCACCGCTTGTCCCTGGGACTGGCTCTACTCGGGCCATATGAACGCCACACTCTGTAGAGATGTCCAGCACGCGGACAGTGTGGCTGGTATCTGTGGTTTTTGGATGGCGCTGGTTCATGCGAACTCGCTTCATCGTTGCCCTGAACTCCGCCACGTAGCCTCCTTTAACACAACGCGGCATGCGCCGAGGATCGGCCGCCTTCTTGCAGCTGCCAGCTGGCAGGTATTCAACTTGGGTTTGTTCCGGCGCTAGTTGTGTTGCTGGCGGGGAATCAATGTAGCTGTCATCGGATGCGTCTGCGTGGGTCGAACCATCCAACTGCTCGTTTAATTCGCTCCAAAGTTCAGATATCTTTCGAGGCGACGCTCTACTCTCCCTTTGTATGCTGGCGGGCCTAGTGGAGTTGTTTGACCAGCAGATTGGCAAGGCTTTTGCCCTACAAGGGTTTGTCGGGCAACTGATGTTCAATAACTCCAAACATGTGGACTGCATGGTGTTCCAATGCGATGGTCTCGGACTGCTGCCTATTGCCACTGAACTGTTCAGCTTTTGCCTTGAGTTTACGAACATGGAGGAAATGTTTTGACGCTGTGAGGACTCGACCAATGGTGACTTCGGCTGGCACTGTTGCTGGGCGCTAGTCCCAGCGCCGGCAGCCGCATTTTCCTGTTGCTCGTAGCCGAAGTCGGCAAAGAGGGAGCTGTATTTACGTTTTGCAAACATTGCAGCGTCTTTATTTCTACATTTTAAATTCTTTTGCAATATTATAATATTTGTTTACATTATTATTATTTGGCAGGGCTGCAATAAATTCGTTTGTGTATTTTACAGTGCTGTACAATGTCAATTGTGAATTTGCAGTGTCGATAAGTTCTAGTGTGCATTAACAGTACCGATAACGATATCGACGACAAATCGAATTTATTAGCGCCAAATTAAAGTATGTTTGAAAAAAGTAGCTACATTTTTTCACAAAAATATTTTGGTGCAGAAACTATTTTGCAGCCAATTATGAATTGGAATTTATTAAATTAACTTATATATATATATACTTATATATATACGTATTTACATAGCCAGAAATAAAGTGTATGTTTGAATCGCAGTTGGATTACCGTAGATTAAATTGTGATGACTACAACTATAATTATAGTCATAGACTATAATCAACTGATACAATTTTGTTGCAATGATAAGCGCAAATTTCTTAGAAATTCTTAGAATTTCGATCAAGTCAAAATTCCCACTTGTACAATTAATCTTATCGAAGGTCGGGGACTTAACTTATCAACAGCAATTCATTCAAAAAGAAAAAAATAAATAAAATAAATAAATTCATTGTTTACTTCTGCTATGAATGGCATATTTATTGAATGAATTTAATGAGTTACCCTTTAGCCCGCATTTCTGTTTACCATTTGTCATATGCTCGATACGGCGCTCTAACAGAACGTCGCTTGCGTTTGCCAACTATCGCCTGTCCCAGTCCGGAGACAGTGCCCAATTGCAGCAGCAGCGGATTGCTTACCAATGCGGCGGCAATGCCCAGCACAGCTGCACTTGCCAGCGGTATTAGGAAACTCTTGGCCAGCAGGGCTTTCGACGAGACATCGGTATGCCCCTGGCCCTTGTGCGCGGCTATATCATGTGCCTCCACAGGATAGTGATAGGCATACTCTGGGCCAGCAGGCGCATAATGCGGATGGCCCAAGCCAGCGCCATGGCGCGATCCATAAACGTCGAATGGTATGCCACCAGCTTCGCCACTTGAGCTGCCATAATTGGAGCCCCCATGGCCGTGCGGGTTGTACTCGTAGGGATATGGATGGCTATTATGGGTATTGCTCTCAAAGCTAACGTGGTTCTGTCCATGCGATGCTACACCGCCTCCATAGTGGCCTGATAATATAAAAAGATCCATTTGTATGCAGCCAAAAGACATTTGTGAACTCGGCAACTTACCCACAATAATGCGCTTCTGCGCACCGGCTGCAGCTCCCTGGCGCCACTTGCTGTACGCCTCGCTGAGGCTCTCACCCAACCTGCCCAACGATGGGTGCAGACCTGAAGCAGCCTGTGACTCGGCTGAGTGGTCGCCGCCACCTCTGTAGAACTCTTCCGGGGTGGCGAAACTTTTGCCTGATGCCGAGCTGTCCGAGTCTATGCTATTGCTGGCTGGATCAGGCGGGCTGCTTGCCTGCTCTGCCAGAGCCACTGAGAGCAGACTAAGCCAAAGGCTCAATGCTGGCTGAACCTTTCGTTTGGTGGGCCACATTATGACTAAGCTCGCAAGGCAGCGATGTCATCGACTTTATAATAATGCCTTTTTGGGGGATTACTTGCATTGGAGTGGCGACAAATTGTGCTTTGTGCTTTGGCAATTGTCTGCTTCGTTGCGCCAATCAGTCTCGCTAGACCGTCTGCTGGAATTTCACTTTTTTTTTTTTTCTTAAGAGGTTTCATCAGTGTGTGAGGAGTCGGAGGAGAAGGTGGCGGGTGCTGCTTGAAGCTTTAGCTTTTGGGATTTGTCAATGGTTTAATGGAATCACATGCTATCCAAATGGCCATGTTAATGTGTAAGAGTAGATCAAGAGATGTCTGTAGCGAGAAACTGCTCGAAGCAACCAGGGGAAATGATTGCAGGTCGCGCAGCATAGTTAAGAATCGTTAGGAAATTATCGCTGTGTTCGTTTCTGTTGGTTGCATTCCGGCCCGACAAACAAGACCAATTCCATTAGATGTTTGTCTAATTTTTGAACGCAGATCCAAAACAGTTAGCGCCTCTCTACCGCACCGCCCCGCCCCGCCACGCTGGTTGTATGAAATTTCCGGCAAACATTTAGCAAAATGTCTGAAATTTCCTGCTGGTTGGTAGTCTACAAAAAAACGTGTCAGCGTCTTATCAGACTATTGAGAATTGCGGTAATATTTCGCGGAATTGCTATCACAAAAAAAAAAAAAAGAAAAAAAGAGTAACATTGAAAAGAAATAGAAACATTTCCCCAGACTTATCTATGCCTCGATGCCAAAAGCGCTACTGGAACTTTTTGTAGTTGATTTCTGTTATCTTAAGCCTGTCGCTCAATTACACGTGTATTACAGCGGTGGTAAACAATACAATGCTCCGTGAATGAATATTTATTTTCTATATTTGCTTAGTCTGTTGTTTATTCCGTTTATTGAATGGAACTAACAAAACCATGGCCTACAGCAATTACCTGCTGGGTTCGGTGCATTTTGTGGTGGGATATAACAGCAGCAATAGTTGATGTACTTGCAGGGCACACAACATTTCAGGGGCTTCAACATCGGGGGGCTCGGCGTGTTCCTCGCCGACGATGTGGTGGATACTCGCCGTTTGCCATCCTTGGAGGATGTTCTTTGGTTTGGCTCTTTGGATGTCCTCGTCTTGCCTTTTGCCAGCGGTTGGCTGCTTTGGGCGCCGCCGCTCCTGGAACTGCGATTGCCGCCGAGTTTGCCCACGGAAGTTGCTTTCTTGTTGGCCAAACCTTGGGCACGGGAAGTGGTTTTCCGTTCTGTGGCGTTAAGTGGGCCACTGGGAGAATTCTTTTGGACCGTATCACTGGCTGGGACAAGGCCGGCATTTTTCTGTTCTGCAACACTGGCTGTAGATTTTTCACTCCTAATGGATTCACGGGGGGAATTCTTCCGTTCCGTAACACTGGCTATGGATTTGCCACTCCGAATGGATTCACGGGGGGAATTCTTCTCTTCCGCAGCATTGTCAGCATTCTGTACACTGTGGATGGAGCCTGAGGGAGAACTCTTCTGTTCCGCATCACTGGTTGAAGCTACAGGTACAGCACTCCGAATTGAGCAAGTAGCACTCCCGCACGTCCGTTGGGAAGCAGTGGCTGAGGTACGAGGAATGTTCTTCTGTTCCGCAACACTAGCTGAGGATTTGCCACTCAGAATGGATTCACGGGGGGAATTCTTCCGTTCCGTAACACTGGCTATGGATTTGCCACTCCGAATGGATTCACGGGGGGAATCCTTTTGTTCTGCAGCATTGCCTGAAGATTTTTTACTGTAGATGGAGCCAGCGATTGAATCCTTCCGTTCTGCAGCACTGGCTGTAGATTGTTCACTCCGAATGGATTCACGGGGGGAATTCTTCTCTTCCGCAGCATGGTCAGCATTCTGTACACTGTGGATGGAGCCTGAGGGAGAACTCTTCTGTTCCGCATCACTGGTTGAAGCTACAGGTACAGCCTTCCGAATTGAGCAAGTAGCACTCCCGCACGTCCGTTGTGAAGCAGTGGCTGAGGTACGAGGAAAGTTCTTCCGTTCTGCAACACTGGCTGAGGATTTGCCACTCCGAATGGATTCACGGGGGGAATCCTTCTCTTCGGCAGCATTGCCTAAACTGTGGATGGAGCCAGGCGGTGAACTCTTTGGTTCCTCAGGTACAGCACACCGATGCGAGCAACGAGTACTTCCGCACTTCCCCTCTGAAGCAGTGGCTGAGCCTCGAGCAGAACTCTTCTGTTCCGCAGCCATGCCTGAAGATTTGGCACCCTTGATGTTATCGCGAGAAGAACTCTTTCGTTCTGTGCCACTGAGTGAGACACGGGGAGACTTCTTCCTGTCCGCAGCAGTGAGTGAGACACGGGGAGACTTCTTCTCGCCCGTAGCACTGAGTGAGACACGGGGAGACTTCTTCTTCTCCGCAGCACTCAGTGAGCCACGGCGAGAACTCGGCCGCTTGGCAGCACTGGCTAAATAACTCTTCTGCTCGTTAGCACTGGTTGTGGGTACAGCTAAAGCACTGGCAGAGCCACGAGGAGACTTCTTCTCGTCTGTAGCACTGGCAGAGCCACGAGGAGACTTCTTCTTGTCCGCAGCACTGGCAGAGCCAAAACTCTTCCGTTTCGCAGCAGGGGCTGAAGGTCTGTTACTCTGGGTGGAACCACGCGCACTCCTCCTTCCCTTAGCACTCCCATCCGAACATCGTGTCGACTTTGTGGTGTCGTCTGGTGTTACCTTCGATTCCGACCGGGTGGACGGTTGCCTGGCCCCAAATCGTGAATCCGTCACGTCCAACTGCTGCTGTATCGATCTTAAAGTGAACGAAGAACTTTTCCCTGGGCTGTCCCCTGACTTCTTGGCCATGGATGCCGCTAAGCTGTTCTCTGCCGCAGCATCTGTGGGAGCTTCTTCTTGTCCAATGGACAGCTGTGGGTTGATACGCTCCGTCCTGATGCTCGGCTGGCTGTCCCCCCAGGATCTCGATTCGAATGGTTCCGTTGCCTCCGGTGTCTGTTCCATAAAGTAGCTCGACTCGCGGGTTACCCAGTTGCTGGCGGAACGACCATGCCCCATATTGGGGGGCAACTTTCCCGCTGCCTCCACAGCCGCCGTGGCACAGGCAACCATGGCCCGACCCAGCGACTCGCAGATCGCCTTTATGTACTCCAGATCCGGGGCTGCTGGGCATTCCTGTGTATTTGTATTGGTGCTCTGATCCCTGCGGTAGGCATCTTCGGTCTTCTGCTCCATTTGATCAGCATCGCTATCGAGCATTTCTTGGCTCTGACTCTGCTCGCTTGGCTCAACTTTGATGGCCTGATCGTCGCTCTTGTCTGGCACTGTGCCCTCCTCCTGTGGATTCGGTTGGCTCTCGCACTGGAACTTGCATTTGCGTGGTATATTTCCCATTGGATTGTTGCAATCCTGTTCCGCCTGTGAGTCATCCTGATCGGTATCGTCACAGGACTGAAGGCAACTGGACGATGTGCCGCCGCGCACGTCACTGAACTGATTGCAATATATGGCATCCTCTGGACACAGCATGTACTCCACTTTATAGCACACCTGTCTGCACCTTCGGTTGCCATTGGATCGGCCTCCGTCTCTGCCTGTGGGCATGGCCAGATCCTCCTCCGTGGAACACTCACAACAATAGGCCTGTACGGATGGTTGACTTTGCGGCGGTCTCTGCGCTCTGGTTTTGGATTGCCTCTGCGACATCCTCGATGAATAATTCGGATTACTGGGCAGCGCTGACAACGACTGTGGCTGCGTCTGCATCATGGTGTACATGGGAATCGCTTGCACGGATATGGGCATGCACTGTGTCGGTCCAATTGCGCCCTGTGGCGGCTGCACGATGCGTATCACGATGGTATGCTGACCCTGGGCGTCTTCTGACTGCACAACCAGCGGCGCACCCGGCTCCATTTCCAGAAATAATTTACTTTCAATTTTAACACATCGTTTGGCCACAAAAAAAACACTGAATGAAAGTGACATTAGTTTCTGTGTTACATTTGTCTTTAATCGGTATATATTTATATGGAATTTTCTGCAAGATCAAATTTAATTTTTGGAAAGTATTTCGCACACTTTATGCCCCGCTTAAATATCTGCAGAGTACTAGGGAATTGACTTGAGAAAGATCTTCTGTCATCATCTACCAGAGAACGCAGAAGGTACGAGTATCTTTTTTGTCCAAATTATTCCCCAAAAAGTAGACCCTTGAGGGGAACCCAGTTGCGATAGACTCCTCCTGTGTATGCTGTCAAATGGAGCAGCAAACATTGCAGAGCACATCCTACATAGGTACATGCCCTGCACTATACATAGCCCTGTACATAAAAGCAAAGATTATTACGAAGATGTTGCATGAGCCACCAAAAACCTTTTCAATGATCAAAGGAGAGCTCCTCGTACGATTTGGGATATAAGAACCACAAAATTGATTAACATTTCAACAGCCTAGACATACAGAGATATTTTACATGCTCCTATTGGTCGGTACAAAAGGCCGTGTAATATTTAATAATTATAACGATTTAGTTTACCAAAATAATTCCCCCAGAAGTATGCCCTTATATGCCCCTGGGAATGCCAGTGCCAATGCCAAGTGCTTGAGAAAGTTCTTTAAACTTAGAAACAATTCTACTAAAGGTGGATCCTAACTGACCTTGCTAAACCCCCCCCCACACACACACACACACACATACATGTGTACAGCCATATCTGCAGACTGCGTCAATCGGGGAGCGGGTAACATACCACATCCGAGACACTAATGCCGGTAGTGAGCGATACATAGTGTGATTAATTTTGAATGCTTGAACTGAGAGTGTACATACACCCAAAATAGAAATTATCAAGGAGCGGGCCCATGCAGATACCACGGTATCAGGTGTGGAGGAGCGCTCGGGTATAAAATGTGGAACATTTGCAGTTTCAATTCACATTCGTACGAGTATCATTCAACATGAAAGCCGGTAGGTGTTTAGTTCAACCAAAAACCAATAATAAAAACAAAAGAGGAATCGAAAACTGATTGAAAATTGCTTTATACCTGCAGCTCTAGTATTCCTGCTCCTGGCCGTGGCCCTGTTCGTGGCTATCTGCTATGCCGATAGCGACTGCAATCCCGATGGCAATGGCAAGCCCGATTGCGCGGGCAACGTTGGCAAACAATTCCGCAACTTCTGGGATCCAACCCGCTACTGGCTGTGCTCCACGGCTGGTGAGCCCGATGTCAAGCTTTGCAATCAGACAGGATACGATCCCGTGTCTCAGGCTTGCGTCGACTGGTCGGAGTGGCAATGGTATGCACCATGCCCCTAAGCAGCAATGAAAACAAAACAAAAATAAGAATAAAATGTGAAAAGAAAATTATACAGCGATGGGCTTTGATTTCAAAGTGGATTCAAACACTCCTCTTGTAAAAGAATGTGACATAAATGCCATGGAGGGTCAATGGAGGCATTTATAGACACAGATAGAATTATTGGAATGTAGCAACAGAACTGATTCGGGGACTACCATGAGGATATGTACATTGGGCTTTTGTTGCTTTCAAATTTTTGGCAAGCCTCCTTCCTTTCCTTCCTTCATGCATTTTTCTAACTATTGGGTAATTGTGACAAGCATTTTCCTTGTTTTCTGTCGAGATGTTGCCCTTGGCAGTGCTGTTTTGGTATGAAAGTATTGTCTCCGCTTTTAATTAAAAACGAGAAGGAACGTGTGAGTCGCAACGTGGGGACGCGACTCTACTTGTACCCAGTCAGTATATACATTTTTGAGCTTATGATTTTTTAGAATTTAAAAATTAAAAAACAATTTTACATTTTACATTTTTTTGCTACATCTGTTATCTACGTCTACAATGTATACTATACATCTAACATGTAGATTGTACATGAACCATTTAGATTCTACATCATTTACGCTAGGGGTTGCTCGCGCACTGAACGCGGCAGAGTGTGCGAGCGAGAAAGAGAATGAGCATCGTGTCTCTGGCTGGCGGAGGCGGGGGAAGCAACTAAAAATTAAATTTCTTCATTCTGGCTATAATTATGATCTGATCTGATTCAGATTCGGCAATAGATATAGGCATTCTCTACGATACTGCGTTTTTAGTTTTATAGTATCTTTAAAAATATGCCTGCCACAGATTTTCGTCCTTTGTGGGGCGGAAGGGGGCGGGGCGAAATTTTGAAATACATTTGTACAGTGGGATATCACATGAGTATGGAAATCAAATTTGGTTGCCCTAGCTCTTAAAGTCTCTGAGATCTAGGCGCTCAACAAGACGGACAGACAGACAGACAGACAGACAGACAGACGACAGACAGACAGACGGACATGGCTATATCGACTCGGCTATTGATGCTGATCAAGAATATATGTATATACTTTATGGGTTCGGAAACGTTTCCTTCTCTGCGTTGCACACATCCACTTTTACCACAAATCTAATAAACCCCTTAACTCTGTGTTGAGTACGGGTATAAAAAATAAAGTTAAACAGAGAATATCTATAAAATGAGATAGATAGTACGAGTGTATCTGTATCTGTATCTACTTGACACATGTACTGCAAAATAATCAAAGTTTGGCAGGCGAATCCCCACACGATAGATTATGAGAACATTTTTATAATAAATAAATATTGCGACATTATTTGTTAACAAAAGTTAATTGAAATATCTCACTATAAATATATGAAGGTCATACCAGGCAGCCAGAAAGCCTTGTTGCGCTGGCTATAACTGTTAATAAATAAAATAATAAGTACGGTATTATTTTCTTTTATTTATAATAATATTAAATCATGTTTTGCATATTGCAACAACTAAAATTAATTGATACATATGTCTAACTGATGATTCCTAGATGGTTAAAGCTGCTAAAACAAAGACCAGCCAATATTTAGTTTATATACTCCATCAGCATTTTATTTGTCAAAGTTGCTTAGGGGCTCCTGCAGTTATACGCGGCATGGGAGACAGCCAAAAATAGGGCCAGGCACAGGAAGAGCTGCTTTAATTTGGGTGGAACAGGCGCGTATACTTCTGTATGTTTCCCGATATGATACGCTATCTTACAGAGTCTCTCTCTCTCTCTCTTGGGTAGATAATTCATATTTTGGCAGTAACATGAAATTGTTTGCATGTAATTTGGATCGAATTGTGTGCAAAAATGATAGCACTTGCCAGCTTAATCTGTGGCAAAAATCTATATAGAATCTATAGAACTATTCCTGTAGTTGTATCAACATTGCACACGCTTCCTATAACCAACGATGGCGTCAACCAGACGAGCCAAACGTGGGCCACGAGCCCGAAACTGAAGGCAAAGATTATTTTAAAGCGATTCCATGTTACGGCCAAAATAGAATTTATCTAGACTAGCAAGTGTGAGTGTCCGTATGCCGGATGGATGTTGAATTGTAACTGCCGACTATATAAGACAGCGTATCAGTTGGGGAAAGAAACATTCCGAAGACCAAAATGAAAGCCGGTAAGTCGCAGGCCCAGCCACCAGTGAGTACCAGCAATACCTCATGACGTTTCCCTCGATGCAGCTCTTGTTTTCCTGTGCCTGGCGCTGCTCGTGGGAGTGTCCTTTGCCGCATCTATTTGCAATCCTGATGGCGACGGCAAACCCGACTGCGTTGGACGTGCCGGACTCGTGAGCCGCGACTACTGGGATCCCACCCATTACTGGGTCTGCGATAGCTCCGGCAATGCCGTGCTCGCGGCATGCCAGCAGCAGGGATTCGATCCCAAGACTGGCGAATGCGTCGACTGGTCCCTCTGGCAATGGTATGCCCCATGCCCCTAGGCAACTTTGACAAATAAAATGCCGATGGCATCTATAAACCAAATACTGTTTGGCATCATTATCCAACTAGACATCATCGCAGTGACACAAATTTTCGTACATATTTTTTCTATACATTTTTGTTGTGTGTGAATTTGAAATGGGAAAACTAGGGACTGGAGGGGAGCTGCCTGTGGCGCCCTGGCATCGGGGTTTTTCGCTGGCCCAGATCAAAGCGGCCTGCGAACTGCAGACTGAACTGAGCCACGACCTGGAGGAGGAGACGACGCATCGGGTGTACGATTGCTTGCGGCGCCTGGGCGTTTCTGGCCAGCTCGATTGTTGCCTCCTGGACAAGATAATGCAGCTCAGTCAGGGCAACAATTTGGCCTTTCTATATTTTCTGTATACGCTGCTGTACGCATCGCAGTGTCCGCACAGGAAGTACACACTCAATGAACAGGTCATATTGTCGGCCATTGCGTACCTGGATATGCCGGCCACGATTGAGGCCTTGGACAAAATACTTCCCATGCCCGAGAAGCGTCTGAGTACGCGGCCCTCAAAGCCGTTTCCAAGCGCAAGAAGAGCCAAAGCAGACACCAAACAGGACTCCAAAGTGCTGCCCTACTTTCAGAAGCAACGCAGACCCCAGCAGAAGAGCAGGGACTTGCTATCCGCACCGCTGCCCTACGCGGTGCGCTTGCCCAACGAGTGCAAGGACTCGCAGCAGCCGGAGAATCGCTGGTTTGCCGACTTCGAGTTCCATCCGGTGAAGCGTATCGTCAAGTCTGTGATCAGTCAGGAGATTGTCAAGCTCTTCGATGGAATAGATGAGTGCGGACGGAGTGCCGAAGCAGCGCCGCCTGCTAGCATGTGTGAATATCATCAGGAGAGTCGTACGCTGGAGCGTGCGGCGTATCTGGAGAAGCAGCGTCAGCAGTGCCTGGCCATGCTGGACTTGGATGAAGAGCGAAAGCTGGTGAGTGTGGGCAGAGCTACTCCATCTACAGATAAATCCCCTACTCCTGCCCATGCCACAGCTAACGAGGCAACGTATTGCCAAGCAACTGCAGCTGGATGTGCACAAATATATGCAAAAGTTTGGCAACAATCGCTGGAGTCCCGGCGTGCCAGCGTTTCGGCAAATCGGATGCACTGCCTGCCAGCTGCTGGGTCCCACACCGCTGCCCGTAATGGTACTGGACGGCAATCGTCAGTGGCAAACGCAGCTGAACGACAGCATTGAGCCGCAGGAGCAAGTGCTGCGGCTCAGCGGCGGGCAAGATGCGAAGCGACCCACACCGAGCATTAACTATTTCCAAGGGCCGAAGCTGCATGCGCCCTACATATTCGATTATATTGGACTGTTTGGCCGCTACAGCCAGATGTCTCTGGCTGCCGGCGAATGCATTGATGGCGCCGTGCTAAGAGCCCTCGAAGAGGATAATGTCAACGAAAAAGAGAGGCCCATAATGGTCACACGATGGCACATAAACGATGCCGTCAATCAGTGTGTCCGGCGAATCTATGAAAAGAGTCTGATGGCTGTCAAATACTGTGACGAGCCAAAGGAGCGTCTCAGCTATGGGGAGCAGCAACACTTCGATCCCGACGATGAGGTTTTCATGGACCGCATGCTTGCGGATGCCTTCCGGATACTGCAAAAGAACAAGAAACTTGTGCTGGCTACTCTGTACAATGGCCACCAGGTGCCAGAGCTGCGCGAATGGATTAGGCGGCGCTATGGCAAACGGTATACGGTGGCGACGCGATCCGAGCTGCGTGACTCGGGGCACACAATGCAGCAACTGTCGGAGATGCATCACGAGCTGTACACCATTTTGATGGGGCAACGCTCGGAGTCCAAGCAGCAGCGGCGCAGCATTAGCCATACGGAGTATGACCTGTTCCTGGCACGGGCCCAGAAGTTTCGGCTTAGCTTCAAGGAGCACGTCAACGAGATTGTCATGGAACGGACGCGTCTCTGCTGGCGGGAAATGCATTATCTGCGCACCAGAAACTACACCAATCTGCAGCAGACCTTCTTCTCGTATCTGCCGGGCTGTGCCTGTGAGACGGCGCCCATATTCGCAAATGCCAAAAAGGTGAATGGAAAATGCCATGGCAAATCACTGGGCAAATGAATATCGCCCACATTAATGTACAGTGCACAATCGATTAGGTGAACGTTATTTCGCACCCATCAATGGCATTGTGCATTAATTGGGCACATATTTAACAAATAATAACCCAAAATGTATGCGAATATTGCTGAATTCATAAACAATCGAATGGAAATGTTGCGCTAACTTTGCATTTGATTGTTTATGAATTACGAGAAATTCGGTTTTTTAACAAAATTAACAGAATTATTTTACATTTTTGACTTAACCAAAATTGTATAATATTATTTAACTATTGAACAATTTTGGCTTTTCATCAAATAAATGACATTAAAATTGCCATTAAACTATTTATCAGACATGAATTAGAATTATAATCATTAAAAATAATATTTTAATTTAAAAGAAGCTTTAAAAAACATTGAAAATTGCATTAATATTTTTAAAATCAGCCCGAGAATAATAATAATAATAATAATAATCATTAAAAATAATATATTAATTTAAAAAGCTAAAAAAACATTAATATTTTTAAATCAGCCCAGAATTATCAGATATGAATTATAATTATAATCATTAAAAATAATATTTTAATTTTAAAGAAGCTTAAAAAAACATTAAAAATAGCATTCAATTTTTAAATCAGCCCAGAATTATCAGATATGAATTATAAATATAATCTTAAAATACATTTATTCATTTTAAAGAAGCCTATTAATTTAATTTAAAAAATTTAAAAAACATTAAAAATTGCATTCATATTTTTAAATCAGCCCAGAATTATCAGATATGAACTATAATTATAAATCGTTAAAAATAATATATTAATTTAAATTAAGCTTTAAAAAAACATTAATATTTTTAAATCAGCCCAGAATTATCAGATATGAATTATAATTATAATCCTAAAAATTAATATTTTAATTTTAAAGAAGCTTAAAAAAAACATTAAAAATTGCATTAATATTTTTAAAATCAGCCCAGAATTATTAGATATGAATTATAAATATAATCATTAAAATACTATATTCATTTTAAAGAAGCTTTAAAAAACATTAAAAATTGCATTCATATTTTTAAATCAGCACAGAAGGTCTTGTTGCTCTGGCTATAACCATTAATTTGAATGCATGATTTATCTTAAGCTGGGGGGATAGTTAATAAATTTGTTATATGTATTTATAATATTAAAATTATAAAAACTTGAAAAAAAAACTGGTGAACGGCTTTCTTATGTGCCAGCCGCTCGTTTATGTGTTCCATCCTTGTCTAGGGGAGTGCTAACTGGCTCTCCTTCCAAACAACACGCTAATGTTCGGACGGGCAGCACTCTTATATACGCGCGCGGCCGAGAAAAAAGACTTGGGAATTAGAAGCGCATGTGCAATGCATTTCCTCGGATCAGAACGTTTGACTGACTGAGGGCCGCTATTTAAATGCGTTGAATAGAGAAAAAATGCTTGGGAATTATTTGAAGCATTTTCGAAAGGGCTATAATTATATTTTAACTATTTTAAAATAGTTTTGCTGTATTAATTATAATTTAAATAATAATTTTTGACACTGAAATTAATTGCTTTGCTTGACTTCCCATTTTGGGGACCTGCAACGTGTCATGATGACCGACCGACCGACCTACCTCATATACAAGGGCCCCTCAATAATTAACCATTAAGCCTAAGACCACGTCTTAGCACCCAAAAATTAACCAACCCAAACACGTAGCCCCAAGTTCGGCATATAAATAGGCAAGTTTCCAGCACCAAAATATCAATCAACGAAGAGTTTTCGAACAGTTTGGTTGTCTGTCTACCAAATCGAAATCATTACAGAATTCTACCATGTGCAGCTACGCCAAGAATGTCTGTGCCTTGCTGGTGCTGATGCTGGCTCTGGGATTGATTGGAGCTCAGCCAGCGAGAACCGGCAAACGGCTAGAAAAACAGCAGGCAGCGGCGCCCTACCCAACCGCCGAGGAGCTCAAGCCGGAGACACCCTTCGAGGAGGGTGTGCCCGATCAGACGTATGGCCCGCCCGATCAGACCTATGGCCCGCCTCCCACCGATCAAGTGGAGCAGCTGCCCAGCGCTGATGAGCCGCAGGACTTTACACCCGATCCGGAGGCAGAAGAGGTGCAGCCCATCGATCAGGCGCCAGCGCGGCTCAGCAAGCAGCTCAGACGTCAGCCCCAACGATTGATTTTACTCGCCGAGCGTCCCCTGCGACTGGTTAGCCCACAAACAGTGCCTCTTCGCGTTCCAGTGCTGTGGTAGAGACGTGAAAGAACAGACGTGATATTGTTTGATTTTTATAAACATTACATTAATTATTGTCATTTGTTACTTGTGTTTGAACAATTAAAGAACATTATTTGTGGATACACCGAGTACGTATACTCGTATATGTATATACAGGAGCTTGTTGGGGGAACGGAACGGCACCCTTTATGGAGTGCATAATAACGATAAAATTATGCGGTTAAAAGCTATAGCTAATAATATTCATTTTCTGTTTTTTCTACTTCTGGTTAGCCGTCTTAGCCGTTGCTTTGGAATGATCTGCCCTGAACCTAGTATTAAGACTACTGGGGCGTGGTGGTGGTCGGGGGGGGATGATGCAGTTAGTAAAATCTAAACAATAATTTATTTAAGAATACTACGACAACAAAATCACTTTTGGCATTGTGCGTTGCGGTCCTCGAATAAAATCAAATCCTCATTCAAACTAATATACTAAATCAAGCAAGAGAAAACCTACATATGTATATATGTAGGTATAGGTATATATAAAAATCTATACTTAAAATGCTAGTTATTGTCTGGTACAAGAATTGTAGCTAATTGATAACACAGAATTGCACATAATTCGTGGACAAACAAAATAAATAGAAACATATTTGAGCACCGCCACGGGGTCCGGATACCCGTTTAAAACAAAAAAAGGTGGGGGGTTGGGGTGGTGTTGGGGATGGAGAAACAACCTAATTGTATAACTAATCGTAGAGACTTGCGTGAAATTCTCTACATAAAGCCTTCGTCATTCGTAAATTCGCACACCACTTTCATGTTAGCCATATCTAATGGGTTCTGTCGTTTAAAATTTGAGCCAAGCTTGCCCAAGTGCCAAAGACAAAGCCACACAGTCCAAAAATTAGGATGAGAAAGTCCTTCCATAGCATCCAATTGTAGCGGCCATAGCCCACATGATAGAACGTAATAATCTCAATGATAGGCGGCGCAATGAGAGCCAGTGCCGAGCTGCTGACAGCGCCCACCAACGAAATGATGGAGCCCAGATTGGGAATGCAGGTGGCCAACAAAACTGTGTAAAGCAAGAACCAAATTAGAGGAGGGAAAATCGAAAACGATTTACATTGATACGTACAAGTAAAAGTGACCAGCACCACGCGCAGAATAGTCGCTGACAAGTCCTTGGCGCGCGTAGTGTCAAAATGGCTGCGCACAAACGGCTCGACGATATTTACGGGCACATAAAACTGCAGCGTATACGAGAGGAAGATGGCCACGGCCATGCTGAGCCGCACCAGCTGCGAGAGACTGCAAGAGAGTATAAGAGTATGAGGGACAATGAGGGAATGGTGAATGGAAAGTTTTTTTTTGGCAACTCACCCATCGCCCTGCGGCAGATTAAGTGTAACGCTGCCCTTGACATCTTCGCCGTACTTCAGGTAGCCAAAGAAGCCCACAGATGTGTACAGGCAGGCGACGACAACCATGCCCGTGTTGAGGACGCCCGTGGTGCCGCCAAAGTCATCGGGCGTGCGCATATTGTTCTCAAGCGGCAGCACCACACCGATGCCCTCAAAGGCGTAGATGGCGGTGCCAAAATAGAGAGGCAGTGTGGCCCATGTGGCCACCGGCTTGACCGTATGCACATCGGGCAGATCGTGCAGCATATACGAGAAGGTAATGGCCAATCCGGCCACCGTGAGTATGGCCGCAATCAGTGAAACGGGCGTCAGATACTTGAGATTTCGCACCAGATTCAGCACAATCATGGGCATCAGCATAATCAGCAAATAGATGTGCACATCGATCTTGTAATAGTGATCCATCACATCCTTAATGTTCAGTGCGACAAACAGAAAGTAGACGCAGCAGAAGCCAATCTGTGTGATGAACAGAAACGTGGTAACGATCCGCCTGGCCAGTAGAGAGTATCGCCGCAGACCCAATGGCCCCGTCTCGAAGCTGCAGTAGGCCACATCCGAGAAGTCCAGGGCCGGCTGCTGCAGCCGCCGGCACAGCTCGTGGGAGCAGTTGACCAGCATGTGCATGCAGTGCGTGCAAATGACGCCCATAATCAGGGTGCCAAAGAGACCCACATAGAGGCCGGCATTCTTGAAGGCATCCGGCATGGCCAGAATGCCAGTGCCAATGTTGCCCTTCAGCAGATGCACCAGCGTCTCCGAGTTGGATGTGGGATGTTCCAGCGTGCGATGGAGTGTGGGATTGTAGCTGGCCTTGTCCACAGCCGTCGACTGATCATCATCACCGGATCCCGAGGCCGATCCCAAGGCTGCCGCATGCACTGTGGGGGTGAACTCTTCATTCGAACCATTGCACCTTTGGCACGCACTTACCTGCCATGCTGTCCTCGCTGTGCACATTAACCAGCGTGTTGTCAGGCGGTGAGCTGCGGGCCGGTCGTGCTGGTCCGCCCCCCCGGCTACCCTCATAATCGGATGCATCGCTTTGGAGCAGCAACGGTTGGCGTTCTGTCATCTTTTTCTTGTGTGCCGCACTCTCCGGAATCGGAATCTATAAGAGACGTACGAACTGATGCGTTAAGTTGATCAATTGAGAGCGACTGGGACTGCGACTGGCACTGGCACTGGCACTGGGACTATGATCGGTGTAGATGTACTCTCTTCGGTCGCATCGAACGTACTGAACCTATGTGCGTTAATGATGCCCGCTTTTCGACTTGTAAAATTTTCCGCTGACTCAGTTTTGTTCCACTAGTCCCCGATTTCAATGCATGGGCATAATAACAAATTTTCTGATAGTGCAGAACAATGTGCAGCAGCGGAGGGAGTGGAAAATTTCGAGACACTCGAAACAAAAAAAAAAATAGTCAGACACACAGGCGCAGTCGCCGTCGTCGTCGCAGTCGCAGCCGCAGCCTTGGACTTGACTCGACTCGAGGTTCGGCCTGATATAAAAACCTCCCGCCCCATGCATCCACAAATCGATATCAAATTTTTCGAGTCCAGTGACTCAGTTTCCGTATAGCTATGCCAAGCTCGAAAACACAAAAACAAGCTCTACCAGGGGCGCGATAAGACCTACATATTATCAAGCCAGGCCACCGATGCATCAGTATACCACCGCAATTATATAATATGTATATCCAAACAAGTTATCAAATATCCACCCATATTTTTAGCATTGTTGATTCAGCAGGAGCTTTTTTTTTTGTTTTGTACAATTTCTGTCACTAAGCGTTATTCAATACTTCCGATAAAGTATACACAAGCGGGAATATGGTTTTTTGAGAGCAAAAGAAAACGAAAGAATGGCCATGAGCCGCGAAAACGTTCTAGCAGAGATTTAGATACACATTAGAGATAAGTTAAAGTAGGTAAAGTTAATTTACTTGCATCTTTGCAGGTCCACCACAACTTTATCGCTAGACGTTTGGGGTGCTGTTTTCTAACATCTCCCTCATAATTAAACTAAGCTTTGTTTGTGCACCATAAAGCATCGCGGTGTGGGTATCTCACTTATCTGCACCGGACCTTGCACCACCGACACTTGCGCCATAAAACTTAAAGCCATTATAAAGATATGCATTATTTTTTGTTTCACTTACGGGAGAATAAGTCACAAAATATGTATAGTGGGAATGCCCAGCAGTTATTGTGGAATTATTGGAACTAAAACTGTAAGAAATTATAATTAAACAGAATGAAAACCAACTGAAAATATATTAAATCATATTGAATGCATGCAAATATACATATGTATGTATGTTATGGTGTATGCATTTTCTACCTGTTGAAGGTTAGTTAATGGTGTCAAGTCCTCCATTGATTTTTCCTTCTTTGACACTGACAATGAAAGCGGTGCAGAAGAACACACGAAACGAAACGAAACGAGACCCCACTCCTGCGAAGGTCACACCGTGTAGGGTACGGTACCAATTTATAGCTGGGTGCAAAATCAAATTAAAATTCAAGTACTCCAAGATTCCAGGTGATTCCCCATGTGAGGTGTTCGGTGCAGTGTGGGGGATGCGTGTGCCAGTCAGTGGGCGTAAATCGCGTGCATGTGCTACCTATGGGATTTCGATCTGTGAATCTGTAAATCCAAGCAACAAGAAAGCAACAACAATGAGTTCACGTTGTCATCCCACTATATTTTCATTCATGAAAACCAATTTCTGGTAACAGCTTGCAACGCTTTTCAGCCAGCAACATCAGTTAGGCTAGTGTTTTTTGTTATTGTCACCAAACACATCACACACTTTCATTTGCATACGTTACGAATCATGTTTTGAATCAGTTTACATTAATTATTATACCTGCGACCACCTAATCTGCTCTGCCAATTAAATCAACAACTATCGCTGAACAATCGAAATCGCTTGTGGCACAATTTTCCATGCTAGTGCTGCAAAATGGTTCAAACCATCGATCTATCGCACAATTCCATAAACCATCGATTGTTTGTCAGCTCTATTCGTGACGTGTCTGGGCGAATTTAATAAAAATTCGACTTTTTCGTTCAATTGCCGTGTAAAACACTTGAACAAAAAAACACCAGCAAGATGGTCGAAATCACCGGCGTCATATCCAAGTTCTACAACGACTATGTGCAGAACACCACAAAGAAGCTCAAGCTGGTGGACATCTACCTGTGCTACATTCTGTTGACCGGCATCATACAGTTTGTTTACTGCTGCCTGGTGGGCACCTTTCCGTTCAACTCGTTCCTGTCCGGCTTCATCAGCACCGTCAGTTGCTTCGTCCTGGGAGTGTGCCTCTCGTCTCCAGGCCAATCCGCAGAACAAGGCCGTGTTCGCAGGCATCTCGCCGGAGCGTGGCTTTGCTGACTTCATCTTTGCCCATGTGATTCTGCATTTGGTGGTGATGAACTTTATCGGTTAAATGGACGAAAACAACAACATGTGTAGTGCTCCACCATTCGCATATATTAATGTATCGTAAAATAAATTATAACTTTATTTGAAGAGTTTCTTGTACGCCTCGAGAAAGTTGTACGGCTCCGGTTTATACTCCAAATGAAGCTCTGGCTCTGGTATAATCATTTGCCTGGGCGCTATTGGCTGCACATAGTCCTCAAGTTCCGGCTCTGCAGTCCTTGCTCTATTCTCCTTGGAATGTTTACTCTTTGACGGCTTGCGTCCCATCTTCTGGGGCGGCAGTATCGATTCGTTGACGTTTAGAGGAACTAAACCCTTGAAGACAGCTTCGTCTGGTAGAAAGTTCATCTTTTGGGTAATCTATTAGAATTTGGAACGTTTAACAATGGCACCGTTTATTTTATGGCACTACACCCTCACCTTTGGAGCCACTGCAGCCTGGGTCTGCGGCGTGAGATTCAAGTCTTCAATGGCAGTCCGAATATCTTTTGCCATGCGTGCTATTTCCTCCTGCGAGCGCACAGCAGAATTCAAAGCGGGATGAGCAAACACATTGTTGGGCTCCACGGCGGTTGCGTGTGACGGCGACTTTGGCCGATCTGGATTAGGATTTCCTCGAAATTTTCGTTTTTGAGGCATTTTCAAAACAAGCCAAGGCACGACAAGCCACAGTGATTTACAGGTTTTGCAACACTGTGTCTACAACAACATTTCAGGAAAGGCACATTTAGTTTGTGCGTTTACATATATTATATAGTGCGGAGGGAACTTAACCGAAATGTGAGAGTGAAATGAATCACAATTATCTTAAAAGAATGAAAATCTGTGATAAGAGTTCTAACTCAAAAACTACAGCAATAATTGTATTTGGAACTGCAACACCGGTTTGTCTGCTTCACAACACTGCCATAAACTGGTGCAACAGCTGTTGTCTGCCGCTAAATAGTTTTATTTATTACAAATAAAATGGCATTGTCGCGCGCAAAGCACGAGCTGTTACCCGAAGATGCCGTTGTAATCTCCGAAGATCAGGCCTTAAAGTACCAATGGAAGATAATCACAGCGTGGGACAAGATTGGAGAGGTGTACGTGTCGAACACACATGTGTGTAGCTTACCGCTTACCTAACAACTAAACAAAACCCTTCTCTACAGATGGTCCCTGCGCTATACGCCTGGGATTCTGAGTGCTGTGGCTGCTGCAACTGGCGCCTATATCAATAATCACTACCGCACCAAATTGCGGCTCGGCAGCCATGGACGGCTGTCCAGTTATATGCCAATTGTGGTCGTACCCGCCATATTCACCATGCTCACGCACAAGTTCTTCATACAGCGCCCCATACTGTTGGATCCGCTGGGCGAGTGCCCCATTTGCAGACAAGTACGAAGTGCAGCGTTCCAAACAAGTCTCGGGATCGTGTACCCCACGATACTGGCGCCCTTTGCAGCATTTATGTTCGCCACCCGCTGTTACACATACCGGCTTCCTTCGATTACGGAGAGCCCCAAGGAAGTGTTTATGCTGTGGCGACAAATTACGCGTCCCTTAGTACCCTCACTGGCTACCATTATAGCCTTCCAGGCTTTCCTGGCCATGTACTTGACATACAAGCAGGAAAAGCAGAACTTTAGTGTGATGCTGCGCATGAAGGAGATCGAGTATCAGCTGGAACAGGATCATATGCCGCAGCGAATCGACTTTTAATTGCTTTGTTTTGTTAAATAATAGTCAAAAAGTTTCTATTAATCCAACTGCATTTTTCAATTTAACTGAAGTATCGATAGACGATAGCATCGTTCGATGCTAGATTTGCCGCAAAAGGTATCGGAACGTAGCACACGTTGCTGCAGTCGGCTGACGAAATTTGTTTGCATTTGCATTTATTGTTGAAAACGTGAGTAATACACAACTTGTTTTGATACGCAGAGCTCTGCTGGTATCATCTGCAATGGGTAATCAAACAACTGCTTGTTAAATTGCCTGATAGTTGTGTAATTTCATCACGTAGAGCAGTGGAGACTTTCACTGCCTTTGGTTATTGGACCTCCGTTGGGGTTAGGGGAGCGCCGCTGCGCTCACAAAGCCTTAGCCAATTGTCGCGTGGCAACCATTTTTTTTGTATTCACCAACCTCGTACTCCTGTCGTTGCAGCAGCGCCCAACAAAATGAAGTACTTGACCGCCAAGGAGGTGCGCGACGCTTATCTGGGCTTCTTCAAGGAGCAGAAGCACATTTATGTGCACTCATCCAGCACCATACCGCTGGACGATCCAACGCTGCTGTTTGCCAACGCTGGCATGAATCAGTTCAAGCCCATCTTCCTGGGCACCGCCGATCCCAACAGCGAGATGTCCAAGTGGGTGCGTGTGTGCAACACACAAAAGTGCATCCGTGCCGGTGGCAAACACAACGATCTGGATGATGTGGGCAAGGATGTCTACCATCATACGTTCTTTGAAATGCTGGGAAATTGGTCATTCGGCGACTACTTCAAGAAGGAGATCTGCACGTGGGCCTGGGAGTTCCTAACGGATCGCCTTAATCTGCCCAAGGATCGTCTGTATGTGACGTACTTTGGCGGCGACAAGGCCAGCGGCCTGGAGCCCGATCTGGAGTGCAAGCAATTGTGGCTGGATTTGGGCCTGAAGCCGGAGCACATTTTGCCGGGCAGCATGAAGGACAATTTCTGGGAAATGGGCGAGACCGGTCCCTGTGGACCCTGCTCTGAGCTGCACTTTGATCGCATCGGTGGACGCAGCGTGCCGGAGCTGGTCAACATGGACGATCCCGATGTGCTGGAGATCTGGAATCTGGTGTTCATCCAATACAATCGCGAGTCCGATGGCAGCCTGAAGCAGTTGCCCAAGAAGCACATCGACTGTGGCATGGGATACGAGCGCCTGGTCTCGGTCATCCAGAACAAGCGCTCCAACTACGACACGGATCTGTTTGTGCCACTCTTCGAGGCCATTCAGGCGGGCACTGGTGCTCCTGCGTACCAGGGTCGCGTGGGTGCCGATGATGTCGATGGCATTGACATGGCCTATCGCGTTCTGGCCGATCACGCACGTACCATCACCATTGCCCTGGCTGATGGCGGTACACCAGACAACACTGGTCGTGGCTATGTGCTACGTCGCATCCTCAGACGTGCAGTGCGGTGAGCAAAGAAATTGCAGAGCGTTTTAGAACCCTTAAGAGCTTATCTTTTCCCACAGCTATGCCACAGAGAAACTGAATGCCAAGCCTGGCTTCTTTGGCACGCTGGTAAACACCGTTGTCGATCTGCTGGGCGATGCCTTCCCGGAGGTCAAGCGGGACCCACAACACATCATTGACATCATCAATGAGGAGGAGTTGCAGTTCCTGAAAACGTTGACGCGCGGCCGCAATCTACTTAATCGAACCATTGAGAAGCTGGGCAGCCAGTCCATCATACCCGGAGATGTTGCATGGCGACTCTATGATACCTACGGCTTTCCCGTGGATCTCACCCAACTGATGGCCGAGGAGAAGTCGCTGGAAATCGACATGGCCGGCTATGAGGCGGCCAAACAGAACTCCTATGTGCTCTCGCAGGGCAAGGGTGCCAGTAAAATTGATGAAATCAATCTGGATGTGCATGCCATCTCACAGTTGCAGGAGCAGGGCGTGCCACCCACAAACGATTCGTTCAAATACAAATACGAAGCTGTGTCGGAGGAGCGGGACTCCGCCTACAACTATCAGGAATGCACAAGTAAAATTGTGGCTCTCCGCTACGAGAATCAGTTCGTGAACGAGATCAGCAATGGCCAGAAGGCGGGCATTGTCCTGGACAAGACGAACTTCTATGCGGAGAGCGGTGGCCAGATCTTCGATCAGGGTGCATTTGTCAAGCTGAGCGACGAGGCCAATGAGTTCCTGGTCGATCGTGTCTACAATCGGGGCGGTTACATTCTGCACATTGGCGTTGTCGAGGGCACCCTGAAAGTCGGTGATGAGCTGCAGCTGCATATCGACGAGGAGCGTCGTTGGCTCACCATGAAGAACCATTCGGCTACGCATGCCCTCAATCACTGCCTGCTGCAGGTCCTGGGCAAGGACACAGAACAGAAGGGCTCGCTGGTGGTGCCAGAGAAGCTGCGCTTCGATTTCAACACCAAGGCCGCCATGACCATCGAACAGGTGGCCAAGACGGAGCAGCTAACCAAGGAGATGGTCTACAAGAATGTCCCCATCTACGCCAAGGAGTCGAAGCTGGCTCTGGCCAAGCGTATACGCGGTCTGCGTTCGGTCTTTGACGAGGTCTATCCCGATCCAGTGCGAGTCATTTCGTTTGGCGTGCCTGTGGACGAGCTTGAGCAGAATCCCGATGCCGAGGCCGGAGAGCAGACCTCGGTGGAGTTTTGCGGTGGCACTCATCTGCGACGTTCGGGACACATCATAGATTTTGTCATCAGCAGCGAGGAGGCCATAGCCAAGGGTATTCGCCGTATTGTTGCCTTGACCGGACCGGAAGCCCTGAAGGCCATCAAGAAATCGGAGGCCTTCGAGCAGGAGATTGTCAAGCTGAAGGCCACCATAGATGCGGACAAATCGGGCAAGGATTCCAAGGCGCATGTCAAGGAGATTGTCGAGCTCACAGAACAGATATCCCATGCCACGGTTCCGTATGTGAAAAAGGATGAGATGCGCAACTTGCTGAAGGGTCTGAAGAAGACGCTGGACGACAAGGAGCGCACCCTGCGGGCAGCCGTCTCTGTGAATGTGGTGGAGCGTGCCAAGGAACTGTGCGAGGCCAATCCCGGTGCAAATTTGCTCGTTCAGCAGCTGGAGGCGTTCAACAACACCAAGGCACTCGATGCCGCACTCAAGCAGGTGCGCACCCAGCTGCCCGATGCTGCAGCCATGTTCTTCTCCGTTGATGCGGACTCCAAGAAGATATTCTGCCTGAGCTCGGTGCCGAAGAGTGCTGTCGAGAAGGGTCTGAAGGCCAATGAATGGGTGCAGCATGTCTCCCCGACTCTGGGCGGCAAGGGTGGCGGTAAGCCAGAGTCCGCACAGGCATCGGGCAGCAATTACGAGCGCATCGAGGAGATCCTTCAGCTGGCCACCAAGTTTGCCCAGTCAAAGTTGGCCTAAGCGCTCACAGATATCCAGAGAAAGTCCTATAATTACTCAGAAATTTTGCATACTGCTTTGATCTGTTCCAAACAGCATTTCAAACGAATTTTTATCGCTTATTTATAAAACTAAAGCATTTTGTATACACTTATTATAAGCCGTTGAGCCGTTTTTATTTATTTATTCGGTTTTAGGTTTGATTTTTCTTGAGTATCCAATCAACTGCCTCGGCGAAATTCTCCACGAGAGCTGTGGGTGGCGGCGACAGTACGACATCTGGCAGATATTTTCCAGTCTTCACGAGTATGCCCTGTAGGCCCATGGCCATTGCACCGCCAATATCATCATTGGCATCCTACAAACAGAATTTAAAGCCACAATCGAACATTTAAAGGTTGGCCTTTGCCTACATCACCTATCATGACGCATGAGGATGGGTCCAGGCCATCCAGAGCCCCTTCGAAGAAGTATGGATTCGGTTTGCCAATCAGCTTGGCCGTGCATCCTGTGGCATACTCCAGACCCTTGACAAAGCAGCCGGGACCCAGGGCCATGCCATCCGAACGTTTGTAGTATTTACCCTGATGTATGGCCACCAGCTGGTGCTCCTTTTGCTGCAGCAGCACACTGCGGCAGAGAAAGGGACTCAAATTAATTAACCATACCAGAAGTTGCCCCCCCTTGGGACACTTTTCGTACTTGAAAGCCTTGTTCATTTGATCATAGTTGAATGCTTTGGGCGCCAGGCCAACAACCACCGAGTCCTGGCAACGATTGGGATCCTTTGGCGGAAAGTCCTGGCGTGCATCTTCCGACAGGAGATAGTATGGATTTAATTTTCCAGTTTGCACAAAGGTGACGGCGGCACTCAAAGAACTGTAGATCTCCGAGCGGTCCAATTGGAAGCCAATCCTACAGAGACGTTCGTGCAATGTCCCCTTTGAGTCCTTGGTGGTATTTGTGACGAATTTAACCGTCACTCCAGACTCACGCAATCTGTATATGGGCATACAAAATTACACACGAATTATATTGTTAAATATGTTTTGCTTCGATAGGTATACCTGACCAATGCCTCAACTGCGTTCGGTGTGGGCTCATCCTCCACGTGCAGCGTGCCACTGAGATCTATGAGCGCCGCTTTAATGGACATCCTTCTTAGTTGTCCTGCTATTCCAGTCCCACGCCCACAAAAAAACATTTAATAAATTTCCGACAAGGCATCGATACTTTTGCCATGGAAGTATCGCTCTTCTGCTGCATACCAGCTGTTCATCTCAACCGGTACTTTCAGCAATGTTGTTTTCCACCGGCCGATCGCTTCTGCTGCGCCAATTTATTGAAATATCTAAGAATGCTGTTGCCCAAAGGGGACAGCAATTAAACTACTGCAAAGCAGCGATTGCGCTGCGTCCAAAGAAACCAAAGTCCACCCGCAAAGAGGTTCGAGGGCCCAGAGTCAATGTGGAATTTACATAACTGTTTCTGTTCATTTTTAGGCGCAATACTTTTCGGATGCCAAGCGGGTGCGTGCTGTTGGCGGGAAGGGCGGCGATGGATGCGTCTCCTTCCTGCAGCTGTGGTGCAACGAGCGTGCCGGACCGGACGGCGGAGATGGCGGCAACGGTGGCCATGTGGTCTTTCAGGCCTCCAACGATGTGCGCAACTTCAATCACGTTGGCAGCGTGCTGCGTGCCGAGGAGGGGGAACGTGGAAACGCCATGGACTGCCATGGCAAGAATGCCAAGCATGCTGTCATTAAGGTACCAATTGGCACGGTCATCCGGAACTCCCAGGGTCTGATTGTCGGAGATCTGGGGCACGCGGACTTGATGTTCGTGGCGGCGCGCGGTGGAGCCGGCGGCAAGGGTAACCGCTTCTTTACCACAGACAAGGAGACCAGTCCCAAGGTCTGCGAATATGGACCAACTGGCGAGGATATCTCCTACACCATTGAGCTGCGCAGCATGGCCGATGTCGGCTTAATTGGCTATCCAAATGCCGGTAAAAGCACCTTGCTGAATGCCCTAACCCGTGCCAAGCCAAAGATTGCGCCGTATGCGTTTACCACGCTACGGCCGCACCTGGGAACCGTCCAGTATGACGATCTGGTGCAGCTCACCATTGCCGATCTGCCAGGACTCGTGCCCGATGCACATCTCAACAAGGGCCTGGGCATACAGTTCCTCAAGCACGCCGAGCGTTGCACTCTGCTGCTCTTTGTGCTGGACGCCAGTGCACCCGAGCCTTGGACCCACTATGAACAGCTTATGCACGAGCTGCGACAGTTTGGCGGCAGCTTGGCGAGTCGCCCGCAGCTGGTGGTGGCCAATAAAATCGACATGGACGACAGTGCCGCCAACTTTGAGGAACTGCAGCGCAGGCTTCAGAATCCAGTGCTCGGCATTAGCGCCAAAATGGGCAAAAATCTCGTCCAACTGCTAAGCAGCATCCGCTTGAACTTCGACCGCCACAAAGCGCAGGAAAGATCTACTAGTTAGAGAGAGAGAGCGAGAGAGAGAGCAATCCATCCTGCTGTAAGTTTTCAGATTTTATTTTTATTGTAAAAGTAAATATTATTTTATCCTATAATGTACGACAAATGATAAGCTGCAATTATTTACGGGCCCTCCTCTGATGTGGGCAGCCAAAAGGCCATGTTTGTGCACGCCGAGGCCAACATCATGTATTTTGGGTTGAACTGAATGCACTGCACAGGGCCGGGATGATCGCCGTTTAGCACAGATATTTTATTGCCCGTGTCAGCATTCCAGATATGCACACGGCCATCTGTGCTGCCCGAGAATATGAACTGCGAGTCCGGACTGAAGCTGGCCTCGATGGCCAGGCCTTTGTTATTCGGATAGCCGGTGAATGTTTGCAGTGGTGTGCCATGGAAGGCGTCCACCAGACGTATAACCGACCCATTTGTGCTGATCAATATAGTTTTGCCATCCCGCGAGAACTTTAGGCCGGTCCAGTCGCACTCCTTCTCCTGGTTCAGCTTGAAGGTGACAAAGGGACCCTTGTCAAATGACCGCAGGTCGTATAGTTTTATGCTCTCCGAATTGACGCCGGCTGCAAAGATCAGTCCCTCTGGATCGTAGGCGGCAATGGGGCCGTCCCGATAGGTGCATCAGGCCCTGGCAATTTGGTGAGCGAAGGTCCCACAGTCGCAGTGTCTTGTCCAATGAGCCGGATAGGAAGGTGTCCTCCACTGGTGAAATGCACAGCGAGATGACCTTTTTGGTGTGGCCGGGAAAGTAGCGCAGATATTTGTTGTCGTGCAGACTCAGATATCTGATGGTGTCGTCCACTTTGGTGGAACTGTGTATGGCCGTGTTGTTGGCATGTGTAAAGTGTATCAAATCCACTCCGTACTTCTTTGAGTTGACCGTGCGGGACTGTGTTCCCTTTTCGCAGTCGTAGATCACAATTTGGTCGTCCTCGCTGCAGGAAATTAAATGCTCTCCGTTTGGTGCAAAATCGATTGCATTGATTTTGTCGGTGTTTTCGCGAAATATTTTCGCCACCTTGAAGCTCCGCACAACTGAATCAATTAGTTTTATTTTCATTTTCGCACCCAAAACAATTTTTTTTTATTTTCAATAATTTTTTAACGCGAGGCTAGAGGTGTCAAACCTTTTAATAATTATTAGAGCCCGATACTATCACGATAGTATCGATTGTTTTTTCAAAACATTCAACGTTGATATTCCTCGATCTTTATATTCGGTTTAATATTACTAGCTAGCTGGGACTCTCAACCCAAAACAAATAATTTTATCCGATAGATAGATAAATTTTCTACAAGATTGGCAAGTTTTTAGAAGTCCTTTTTATTGGATTATTTAGATATTAAGGTTCAAACAAAAACAACATAAAACGAATGTGACGTCGTTTTGTGGCGTTGCCAGACTCGTGCAATTCGTAGTTGCAGCGGGGTGCCATACCATGATATTTTGTGATATGAAATTCGTCAATTTTGATATTCAGTTTAATATTACTAGATAGTTGGCCCGGTTCAGGATCGCTGCAGACATCGATGATTTTTCTCAAACATCGATGTTTTTAGTTAAATAGAATAATTTAAAAATTTTCATATTTTAATGATTAAAAAGTTGATTTTTAGTTGTACATATATACTAAATAATATACATATATGGAACTGTATATACACTTTTAATATACATACATTCACAAATTCACATATTCAATTTAACCCACTAAGGGCTGATTCTTTACGGCTTGATGAAATTTTATAATAGTTTAATGAAAAAATAATTGTACCTCCACGAATACCCAAGAATAAATGAGTATTTAAGCACCATAGTTATTTTCTTAGAAACCAATAACTATGTTTACGACCAAGTTTTGTTATTACATTCTTATTAAAGAATCAATTTTATGCAATCTAGCTTTTTTAAGGAAAGCCATTGTTGGATTGGTACAACAAAGAGGGTACACAAAAATGCGCACCAAAGTTGTTTATTGTAATTGTTTAAACGGAGTTATATTTTTTTTGTGTGTGTATTCAGTTAATTTTGTTATAAATAAAATTCAATAATATCCTGTTGCACTGTTTGCTGTAGAATTTTGATACATTTCGTGCACAATGATGACATATTTTAGCTTTGACTGAATTTGGATAGCTATAATCGTTTTTCAGCAATTATTTAACTATTGAAATATCCTTAAAGAGGAGTACTCATTTTACGGTTTTGGTCTTATCATCATTTCAGAAAATAAAAGGGAGTTGTTGTAGTCACTCGTGTAGTTACGCCAATAGCCCCATTCAAGGCCAAAACGTCGAGAGGCAGTTCTTTTACCACCGTCATAATAAATTCCATTGAGGGAACTGTAACAATAAGAAAATAATATGATAAATTCGTCTTATTTAAGAGCGTTTATTTTGAATAAAATATGAGTACCTATGAGCGCAGTTTTTAAACCACCAACCACCTCCATGACTTTCTGCGCAATTAAATTTACTTGCATGGTCATTATCCCGGTCCAATGTAGAAAACTTCCCGTCTAGATGGTAAGTTAGTGAATCTCCGGTTGTACCTGAAAACTTTCCCACCGATTTCAGTTTGTAGGCTTCATTTTCGCTGCCTACTTTGAAATCATCGTAGCGAGCATATTTGGTGGTTCCATTCACGTCTCGAAGTCGGATGTACAACTCGTGAGGCTGGGTCAGGGTCATTAGATGGATTTTTTCCAGTCCCAGGAAAAACTCTCCCCGGATGTCTCCAAATCCATCTTTGTAAGCCTTCCACTTGCGATTAAAATTAACACTTCCGTTGATACGCCGTTGAATGACCGTCCATCGAGACAAATCGCAGCGACTTTGGAACGGCTCCATTCCCTTGAAAGTCATCTGAAAAATGCCATCTGGGCCACTATTGAGACAAGAAATAATCTTCACATCATCTATGAGATAATTGATTTGTTCCGTTGATTTGCCGTTGATTTGCTCTTCATTGTCTTTGATTTGTTCGTCCTTCAGATTAATTGGTTTGTCTTTGTTGTTGATTTGCTCTCTGAGATCCTTGATATGTTCGTCCTTCAAATTGATTTGTTTGTCCTTGATGTTGATTTGCTCTCTGAGATCCTTGATTTGTTCGTCCTTGTCTCTGATTTGCTCGTCTTTTACCTTGATCTGTTTATCTTTGCCGTTGAGTTGCTCTTCTTTTACCTTGATCTGTTCGTCTTTGCCCTTAATTTGCTCTCTGAGATCCTTAGTTGGCTCGGCCATCACCTTCATTTGTTCGACATTGTTTTTTATTTCAGTCATGCTTTTTAGTAACTGACTCTGCAAATTCATTTCATAATTGGCCTCTTTAAACTGGAGTAAATGATCGAGGAATGGCTGGAGGACTGAGAAACAATATCCATGGCACTGCTCCAGGATGGTAACTTCCTGTTCCATTTTGTATTCACTGGCGAGTGAGGATTTCCCTTGTAGAAACATCCAAAGGATGATGACCAGAAACGTCGAGAACTTCATATTTCACTGGACTCTCGCACTGTCGATGCAAAACTGAACTGATTTCAAAATTCAAGTCCCATGCAAATATATTTATTGCTATCACTTTGCTCATACGACATGCTTAATACAGTATACATACAAGGGCGTAACCAGGATTTCGCGAAGAGGCGGCGGCACCTCTTTCACATAAAATAACTTAAACAAAAGAAATTTCATTCAATTAAAATTTGTTTTTCTTACCAAAAAATTTGCTTAATGGATGGGGGCAGCTTCATCCCTCCCCTGCCAGGGTACGCTCTTGTACACATATACATATTTATATTTAAAACTTCAGCGAACAGCGTTGAGAAACAATTTTTATCTTTTTATACATTATGTATCTACATATGTCTTTTTATATATTTAAGTTGTTCGACGCATCCGGAATGGAATCGAATTAAAATTAAAAGGACCAAGGCCGGGTTGCTAATCATCTTATAGCTTTCGTTCTTTCAATTATAATATTAAATTAAATGAAATTCCATATCATTGCCATTATTTCCATATCCTCAATTTAGAACAGATCCTATACAAGAATTTAGGAACTTATCTGTCATAGAATCAATTTAATAGCAAGAGTATCTGAAAGTTGTTAAAGTTATCCGCTTTCTTTATTTTAATCGGTATTTGCTGTAATCTCTGGAATACTAACTCAGACTTTGGCGTCTTTAATGGTATTATTTTTCCCGGAGATTCTTATAAATAGAAACAACAATGAAATTGTATATTTCAAGGCCGATGTTTGGGATCTTGTGCCTTGCGCAAATCCATTTTACTCTATACTGTTTGGCTGCAAGCTAAAAATCTTTGATGGATTATGTTGGCAATCATTTTTTGCCATGTTTTCTCACAGCGAATACTTTTTCTCTCATTTTCTCTCCTACGAAATGTACCATTTTAATGTGTTTAAAGATCAGGATTAAATTGTTTTAACCATTAGTTTCTAGAATGGACTTCAGTCTATCTCTAATATTCATACAAGCGCAATCAAATGACCGGAATGCCACCGAATACCCATTAAAATGTTGATAATACGAGCAGACGTAGACACCAAAGATCACCTATTTTGATCCCTTCTTTGGGTTTTTTCCATCAGACTCGAACGACTTGACAAAAAAATAGCCAAAATAATTAAATTTTTTATTGGACAGCAAAGAAGCCATACCGATGGCTATGTCGCCTCTAACTTGTAATAAATCCATCCAAATTCTTAATAGAATAAAGAATGAGTGACTTGGAAGTTCATGATTATTTATATATTTATCGTATGCAATAAATATTTGTGTTGTGAAGTATCTTGTATCTTATACATATAAATAATTCTTGCTCAAATGGGTCAAAGATGAATTATGGGATATTTATACCCGTACTCAAAAAAGAGTTAAGGGGTATATTGTATTTGTGGTAAAAGTGGATGTGTGCAACGCAGAGAAGGAAACGTTTCCGACCCCATAAAGTATATACATATATTCTTGATCAGCATCAATGGCCAAGTCGGTATAGCCATGTCCGTCTGTCCGTCTTGATGAGCGCCTAGATCTCAGAGACTATAAGAGCTAGAGAAACCAAATTTGGTTTCCAGACACATGTGATATCACACTGCTACACTGCGCCCTCTAGCGGAGGAGATGTAGAATCTACATTTTACATGTAGAATCTACATGTTTGATGTAGAATATACATTGTAGATGTAAATAACAGATGTAGCAACAAATTTTAAATGTAAAATGTCTAAAAATTCTACATAACTCATAAGCTCAAAAATTTATATACTGAATGAGTACGGGTATAAAAGTAGAGTCCCGCCCCCAGAAGCGTTTCACACGTTCCTTCTCGTTTTTATTATTTAATTGTTAACTTTTTAGCAGAAATTTTATTTGTAGAGGTATAATCGTCTTTCAGCATTAACTTAACTATTAATCCATCATTAAAGAGTACTTATTTTATAACGGTTTTGGTCTTATCATCATTTGAGAAAATGTGAGCGAGATGGTGTAGTTATAGTTCTTCCAAGAACCCCGATTGGTGCCATTATTTAGATTTTTGGATTTTGTCATAATAATTTCCATTGAAGACATCCCTGGGACTGGAAAAAATCCATCTAATGACCCTGGCCCAGCCTCACGAGTTGGACATCCGACTTCGAGATGTGAGTGGAACCACCAAATATGCTCGCTACGATGATTTCAAAGTAGGAAGCGAAAATGAAGCCTACGAACTGAAGCCGCTGGGAGAATATTCAGGAACAGCCGGAGATGCACAATAATAACAATGAGAAAATTAAAATAACAAAATCAATTAGCAGCGATTGTTTTGAATAAAATATGATTACATACCATCTATAGCAATTAAAAAACCAAAACCTCATTCGTGTCATTATCCTGGTCCAATGTGGTAAATTTCATGTTTAGATGGTGAATAAGGGCATCATCTCCGGCTGTTCCTGAATATTCTTCCAGCGACATCAGTTCGTAGGCTTCACTTTTGCTTCCTAATTTGAAATCATCGCAGCGACCATATTTGGTGGTTCCATTCTCGAAGTCAGATGTACAACTCGTGAGGCTGGGCCAGGGTCAGTAGATGGATTTTTTCCAGTCCCAGGGATGTCTTCAAATCCATTTTTGAAAGCCTTCCAGTTTTGGATTTTCTGCAAGGGAAATCCTACCGTGGTGACGGTGGATTTCCCTTGCAGCAAAATCCAAGAGCCACATGTTTCACTGAACTGTCGCACTGTCCATGCACAACTGAACTGATTTCAAAGTAAAGTCCCATACAAAAATGTCTATGAATTAAATCCCTTTGCTTATACGACATGCTTAATACATACATATGTACATGTATTTGTGTAGATATGTTTGTAGATTTACCAACGTCATTTTAATCTCCAGGGAACATACGAACATACGCAGAGCAAACATACTAATCTGTACTTTTATATACATATATATATATATATAAAGTGGTTTGAAGGAACAAAGCAGGGTATACTAAATATCTTATCGCTTTCGTTCATTCATTTATAATACTAAATTAAATAAAATTCCATATCATTGCCATTATATCCATATCCTCAATTTAGGAGAGCCACAAGAATTTATGGAATCTCTCTTATCTGACATAGAATCAAAAGACTAGCAAGAGTATCTGAAAGTTGTGCAAGCTATCCGCTTGCTTTCTTTCTTTGAATCGTTATTTATGTATTCATATTGTAATCTGTAATCTCTTGAATACTGACCCAGCCTTTGGCGTCTTTAATCGTCTTCTTTTTGCACCGAGTTTCTTATGTAGAACTAAAAATATTTCATTATTATTCGTTATAATTTCAATATTTACTTAATTTCTTGGAAACAATTGCAACGGATATAAAGAACAATAACATGTACATAGTATACTATCAATTTATATTGTTGAACTTTGGTGAGCTCTGGAGAGGCGAGCCTTGTAAAAATCTTCGACGTTTTGCCTTTATCGGAGTTTTAATTGCAGGGCTGCAATAAATTTAAATTTCAGAACTAAGATCAATAAGTCCGAGACCTTTTGAACTTCTCGCCACTTAATTGATATGGCAATAATTTTTCTGTCAACAGGCATCTATTAGCTGATACCTTTCAAAATTTGAAGCAGCAGCGCCAGTTGGTTTGTGTTTTACAGCCACTGATAGCCAGCTTCCTCGTGCATTATTTTTGCGGAAAAAACACCACCACTGAAACCAAGGAAAAGCTTAATACATATTATGGGATCTTTCTTTTTTTTATTTCTATATTAATAAAATTTTTTTTTTTTTTTTTTTTTCCCCCCCCCACCCCCCCCCCCCCCCCCCCCCCCCCCCCCCCCCCCTCCTTCTTTTTTTTCAAAAAAAAATTTCCACATTTTTTTGCCGCCCCCCCCCCCACACCCCCCAAAAACCCCCACCCCCCCCCCCCCCCCCCCCCCCCCCCCCCCCTCCCCCCCCCCCCCCCCCCAAATCCCCCCCCCCCCCCTTTTTTTTCCCCCCCCCCCCCCCCCTCCCCTTCCCCCCCCCCCCCCCCCCCCCCCCCCCCCTTCCCCCCCCTCCCCCCCCCCCCCCCCCCCCCCCCCCCCCCCCCCCCCCCCCCCACCCCCCCCCCCCCCCCCCCCCCCCCCCCCCCCCCCCCCCCCCCTTTCCTTTTTTTCCCCCCCCCCCCCCCGCGCTTTTTTTTTTTTTTTTTCTCTTCTTTTTTTTTTTTTTTTTTTTTTTTTTTTTTTTTTTTTTTTTTTTTTTTTTTTTTTTTTTCCCTTTTTTTTTTTTTTTTTTTTTTTTTTTTTTTTTTTTTCTTTTTTTTTATTTTTTTACACCACCCAAAACCCCTCCCCCCCCCCCAAACCACCCCCTCCTCTCCCTTCCCTTCCATGAATTAGGCTACGAATTGCTCCCTCACCCACCCTATTCTCTGGATTTAGTCCTTAATGACTATTTTTTGTTTCCAAACCTGAACAAATGGCCTGCCGGAATGAGATTTGAGTCCAATGATAAAGTCTTCTCCCAAAAAAAGCCTATTTCGAGAACCTGCACAGATCCTTAATTTTAGGGTATACAAAATTGGAGAAATGCTGAAAAAAGTTTATAGAGCTAAAATAAATAAAATTATTGTGTACCAAAAAAACCTATTTTTAGTCCAAAAAGGTCTCGGACTTATTGATCCGCCCTCGCAGTTTGCAGATTCAAATTATAAAAGAAAAAAACAGCTTTATGGTCAACAACAAATTTTAAGTATATATTTCTGGTGATCTGAAGAAGTTTCCATTGAAGTAAGCGAAGATTCCGATACATTTTATAAATGTACAAGTATCCGTAACTAAAACGAAAAAAAATCAAATAGGTTTGATTGAGTGGCGCGGCTCGCACGAGTAGCCATGGGTATTTTCCAGCAGCTCCTTGGGATCCACATATATTGTACCCTCCTTGCCCCGGGCAAAAGGTGTTTGGCCATTGGTTTGTAAGTAAAAGTTGCCATGAATCCTGCAAAGCGAAAATAAAACAAAGATTAATTTAGTTTTACGCTCAAGCAGCCACACGGAGATTCTTACGTTGTGGGACAGTGATGACCCATCACAACGGGGGGACAGGTTTCAGTGGTTTTGTTTTGCTTGAAATCCGACCAGCTTCTACAGGGTACGGCATCGAACCTTATCGGAAAACGATCCGAGACGCTTTCGGCCCAGAACCACCAGCTACGCCGATGACTGGACAGATCATTATCGCTGAGCATTTTGTAGTTTCTCTTGGGGCAGCCGGGCTGTAGGCTATTGCCGCCATTGGGCCAGAAATCCGCCGTACCCGTGCTCGATGGGGCGCCATATAGCCAAGCGTCTGTATGTATAACATCCACAAATTCGGCATCATTGGCAGTTAAATGTGCACCCAGAGGATAGTACAGCGGAAAGGCGGGATCTAGGGCAGAAATTCTACAACAAAATTGCTGAAATGTATATATTCAACTTTGCATAGTTATATAATTTGGTGTACCTTTTTATCTTGCGAACACCTTTGGTGCGCTTAAATATTTCACGACCAATATTACCGGCCAGTTGTCCGCCCATTGAGTGGCCGACTATATGAAATTTATCAATATCCAATCCATGGTCAAACATCTCTAGCAGTACCTTGGCCAGCTCGGGTCCCAGTTGCTTGGCATTCACCATGGCATCGAATATATAGTTGCCATCCGCCAGCTCTCCCCAGTCGAGGACAATCAGGTTTGTGTCCTTGCGCTCCAAATAGGCCTCCGCTATCACATGTATGCTCTCCACATCCGGATCTTCCAGATAGCCATGCAAATAGAGTACGGTGTTCTTGCCCAAATCCAAATTCTCGTCCTCCAATAGACTCTTGTGGTCTTTCAAATCATAGATATCGCTATCTGCCACCGTCGGTCTGTGTCGTTTATAAAGAGAGAGACAGACAGAGAGAGAGAGAGAGAGAGAGGGGGGGAGATAAAGCTTGACATATTTATCGGTATTCGTGTTACGTACCCGTAATATAATATAAACTTGGCCGTGGTCAAATCCGCCTTCGCGTTCTTCAGGCCACAGAGCAGCCCTACAAAAAATCATTAATCGAAAGTTAAGGCAAAGGAATTTTCCATTTTCCACTTATCTGAGTCCAAAACTTACTGGATTTATTTTTAATGGCCTTGTGCATTGTGGTGTGGTGTGTCCATAAAATGATTGATTACGAAGAGTACGTGTCCAAGTGGGCTATCCGGATATCCTCCGCTTGCAGGCAGTGATTAACCAAGACTGAAGTGGCGGCCACTCGACGTGCTGCCCCAAAAGCGGGCTGGCGTGGCGCGGCGTGGCGTGGCTGCGGCGCGGACTGGCCGGGCCTAAAACCGCATTCGAATTGATAAGTCTAATTAAATTTGAATCGTTTGGATAAGATTAAAGACGGCTAATACACTTCTACGACACACTGGCATTGTGATTCATGCCTAAACGAAAACCCACACCACTGGAAGCAAAGTCCTGTCCAAAACTTTGGCCTGTCTGTCTGTCTGTCTGTCCATGCATCATTCATGTGGACATGTGCTATTTATATACCCATGCAGAGGGCATTAACTATGTAGAATCGAATAAAACCAAAAGAGACCTAACAATTTCATTAGCAAAGCAAATTTAAATCCCATTATTTCTGTCGTCAAACTTTGCCATAAAACATTTTCAAAGTTATCTCAAATCTCAACGCAAAAACTAATTACAAAAATTACAATTTTTTACTGACCTGCAACATTAAAAAATTATAAAAAAGAATAGCAGAAAAATCGTCAGAATTAAATTTGTATGAAATTCGGAACTTCTTTCCCCAGTTAAACCTCTATATCTCACTCAGTGATCTACATTAAAGTCTGGCAGCCAATCTTGCAATTGCCTTTCGAATGACACAAGAACACGTCTCAATCGGCTTCAATCATCCATACATATTGCATAAGAATTATCTTAAGCAATGCAATTATTGCAATTAGCTTTGAAAGCCAAGTCTTTCCTTTCCTTTTCGGTCAGGCATGCAAGAACAGCTTTTTTGAAGCGCAGCTCAGTGTTGCTTTAGCATTCATTGAAATTTGAATCGATTAAACCGAATGCAAGAGATCGAAGTGCAACACCGTTTGAAATTGATCTGTGCTATGAGACATGCCATAATAGTTCCATCATTATTCAGGGTTTACTGGCCCATTCATTTCCACATAATGTTGAGTTCACTGTCGGCCTAATGGCATGGATTACCTTAACCCGAGCAGACAGGCAGACAGAGCAGGCAGGCAGGGCACTGTGTATGAACAAACCAAACAATAATGCTTAAATATGCACACACTCTTGGATATATTACAGCAATGCCACACACACATTTTCGTCATAGTTTTGTACAAATTGTTGTGTGTTGAAATCAAAGCGCGGCACACGGCCCTGCCTCGAGCACTCGAGCCCATTGTAATTGAAGTACCGGCTGTTTCATTTCGTGTTTGTTGTAAATTCGGCTTTATAAATAAAGAGACACTTCAATTTAGATTCACGCTTATCGGGGGGAAATTAGAGCATTGATAGGAATACATGCATGTGTGTTGGGGGGGGGGGACAGGACAGAGCACAGCGCCAAGCTCGGTCCATAAAACGCGGCAGCCACTTTAAGCACAGCGCAGCCAGAAAAGTAATATTAAAAGCGTATAGCAGTATAGCGGATTTCTGACATATTCTCGTAATTAATTGTGCGACGAGGCGGCCGGACTGTAGACACTTGTTGCGCTGTCGCAACGTTGGGGGGGGAACAAAGCGGACACGGACACGGAGATTGCGACAGCCAGCAGTAGGAATTTGATTATAATGAATGACCCGCTGTGAGTACACATAACAACAATGTACAGGCAATGGATTGATTGGTTCCACCCCGTTTAGCCAAAACCAATTTGCATCTGTTATTCCCCCCCATTTGACTTTCCGTTCCGGCTTGTACTTAGATGGGCAATATTCCAAGTCTGAACGATTAGATTATCGATTCAAAATGACACTTACGAAGGCACTCTGCGTGGTATTGTATTGCCCAGTAAATATTTACAGACGCTTTTCGAATGAATGACTTTTGGACCGCGTCGATTGCGAGAGCAGATGGAGAGGCAGCGCAGCGCAGGCCAGGCCAAACGAACCACCGAAATAGACAACAGAAAAAGCGGTCGAACCACGCCGTCGCAAAAGTTCGACTGATCTCTCGCTGAAGTGAAGCAACTCGCGCGGTCGCCGAAACAAAACCTGAAAACAGACAAAAACTATCGCACAGGTGCGATTATGATATCACTTTGGAAACTATCGACACGGGGCGGGTACTATTTGATTTTAAATGCTATCTTATGGGTGTGGTAGATTTTAGTAAAAAGCTTTCAAAGCAGACACAAACATTTAGCAGAAGATTAGAGATTAAATGCCATATAAACTATCTCAACACCATATGTGGGAATACATAGGGTTTTTTTTAAGGTTTTTTGTAGTCTTAAAGATACTTTTGCAAGTCTAAAAAAGAGATAGTAAAGGGAAACTTATGTTCTATTAATAGTACTCATTGATTTTAAGCTGGGTAAATAGATTTAATAGCCTGCAATTTCATACTGTTTTGCTACAATTTTGTTTTATTTTTACTTTTTATTTTTTTGCATTCAGATGCGCTCAAATGTTTCAACTCTACAATGCGTTTTAATAATGAATTTATGCTTATGTGGTAAGGTTGTTTATCATATAATATAAGTATGTAATTAAATTTTGTTTTCTGTGTTGCGATTTTTGTGGCTCTTCCTCCTTCTCCTCCTCCTCCTCCCATGCTGGCATTGATGGCTCCGCTACGCTCCGCTTCTCTTCGCTCTCCTTCTCTCCTCCATAAACTGCAAACTCAAAACGTGATTCGACTCCAACTCCGACTCCTTCGCCATCGTCAGCCAGCATCTGCTGCAGGCGTTAAACACCTCCTCGCGCTGTGGGGGCATGGGGGCATATCCACTACAAGTTTCCATTTTTAAGTGTTGTTGCTACATATAATATGTGTGTGTTTTGTTGCCGGCGTTAAATACATACAGTTTAAAAATAGAATAAAAAAGATGCAAGAAGATTGATTACGCTGTAAACAAAAACAACATTTCACAAAAGTACACAAAATAAAACGACAGCCACGTGGATGAAATACCGGGAAAGAGACAAGAAAAGTATTTGTGATCAAATATTAGTTTCAAATTAGTATTTTTGGTAGATATAACATTTTAATTTAACAAACAATTGTATGTAGCAGCACTCGTATAATGATTGGGAAAACATTTGACTGTGTTGGTGAGGGGGCAGGGTGTTAAAAACATCATCACTGGCTTTGGCTTTGGCATTGGCAATGGGGTGGCACAGAACAGGCGGCACATTTCTTGATTTTTTGGCTACTCATCCTCTAACATTCCAATTCAATTCTCGACTCTCGATCCTGGCTGACCAATGCTTCATCATCTGCTGCTCCATCTCCTCCTAAAATGCCACCATCGTTAGGGCCCGTCATCAATGCCGGCGCTTCCGAAATCAGCTTCGAGTCCATTGCTGCTTCAATTTTAGCACCCATGCACGGCGGCACCGCCGTTCTAAACACATTCATTTCCATCTCTAATGGCAATGGATATCAATTTTAAATTAGAAATCAGACGGACAAGGGTTCTCTTGAAAGATGTACGAGTTTTGGGTATTCGGCGCGAATGGAATGCCAGCACCACTTGCCACCACATCTCTCTTATGAGGAAGTGAGCTGGCAGCATGAATCCCAAATTTCTTGATATGATCTTAGCGGGAATAGTTTTGATTCATCTGGTGGAGAGTGGGCATGTAATTATTCCGGAGGTTCTCAATACCCAATTCTGTACATCTTTTCTCTTATTGAAGAACTCCCGGGGTGGGGTGGGGTTGGTCTGGGGTAGGGGCATATGTGGCTTACCTGCTGCTATACCGGCTATAGCCTGCGCAGCGAAATGCTTAACATCGACATCTGAATCCACATTTAGTTTGTCGAGTGCGGGCTTGACTTGGGCATCGATGACGCTGGCCTCCAGGAACGGGGAAATCTTCTGCAATGTTTTGGCCACATTGAAGCGTACATTGGCCACGGGATCGGCGGCGAGCAACAGGACTGTGGGCAGCAACAGTTTAGTGGTGATATCCGTGCCACAAACCTCAGCCAGAACATTCAGGCAGAACAAGCAGGTCATTCCTAAAGCAAACACATTGGTTAGAGAATCTCTAGAGTCCGCGGACTTTTCCCCCCCACACTCACTGTGCAAATAGTTCTTGTTGCGTGACATGACCAGGATCATTGGGATGATGGCCTGCTCGGCCCAGGGGGCACCGAACTGCTCCACAAGCTTCTTCATGTTGAGAGTGGCCGCCTCGCGAATGGCATACACATGATCGTTCAGCCAGCCCATGCAGAGGCCGCGCAGCTTCTGATCGAAGAACTCCTGACCCAACTGACCGGCCAGGGCGGGCATGTACTCGATGATGGCCAAGCGCACGCGCCACTTGGAGTCCTCGGCCAGCTCGACAATGGCGGGCAGAAGGGACTGCGACAGCTGCTGAATGCCGATGACATCGTTGACGCAATCCAGGTTCGAGATGATATTGAGACGCACTTCCGGGCACTCATCCTTCAGCTGGATGAGGAAAAGGGGCAGCAGCTGCTCGACTGTCTGATAGGCGCCCAGCATTGGGCTCAAACCCATGATGACCGAGGCCAGAGCCGACTTGACATGTGGATTCGGATCGGAGACCAAATCGCGGACATACGGCAAGATGGAGCTCAAGATGATTTGAACTTGATTGGCCTTGTCCAGATTGGCGCAAAAGTCCTTGACTTTGGTGGCCACAGCAGCGCGCACCTCGGCCTCGGCATCCTTAAGCAAGTACTGGAATGCCGGCACCAAATCTACGCGTGTGATTTCCGGTCCCACAGCCTTTTGCAGATCAACAAACTTCTCGGCCACCATATAGCGGACGCGCCACGACGAATCGCTGGCACACTGACGCAGCGTGGGCAAAACCAGCTAAACGAAGACATATTAGCTATTAGTCAGATATGAAACCATTCTGGCAAGCTGATTGGACTTACGTGCTCAACATCATCCTGGGGCAGCAGCTGGGCAATGCTAACGCAAGCCTCCACAGCCAGCAGACGAACAGAGTCCTAAGGGTTGGGTTGTCTAAATGATAAATGTCTTCTAATATTTTGTGTGGTTTACGCACCTGATCGTCCTGGGCCAATTGGACAAAGTTTGGTATCAAGTCAGACTTTAGATATTCCGTCTCCACGACTTTGGCAAACTCGCCCAGCTTGTTGGCAGCTGCACGTCGCACCATCGGGGTCTCATCCTGGCAGAGCTTACGGAAATTGGCACGCAACTCCGACTTGACGGGCTGTGTGACGCGTGGATAGCAGACCGAGAAGAGGCCGCAGGCGGAGGTGCGGGAGGTGAACCAGTCACCAGAGACGAGACGCTGCAGCGTTGGCACCACATGAATCTCCAGATCCTGGGCACTGTGCTCGGCCGCCACCGTGCGTAGAGATTCAACAGCCTTGTCCCGCACCACAGTCTCCTCGACAGTGGCCAAACTCTCGAGGGGCGGTATTAAATACATGGCGAATTCGGGACCGCCAACAAGGCCTATTTACAAGCACAGGTATTAATAGAATCCGAATTGTTGTGCAAATCGGTTTGTCATTTGCTTACTTGTAAAGTTTCCCAGTTGGTCGGCCAGTGCCAAAAGAACCTCATCCTCATCGTATATGGTCTCGGTTAGGAACGGTATCAACTCGGAACGTGTGCGCTCTTCGCCCAAGGCCAAAGCAATGGTCGACAGCTTCTTTATGGAGTTGAGGCGCAGCTGCGTATTGGCACGGGTGGGGTGGAATGGGGAGAAATTTAATTTAGTTGCTCATTAAAAAAGTACACAAAAAATCATCGATGAAAATGCGAGCGACACCCACCCACACATACATAGCTATGCATACAAATGACGCATTTTTTTTGCACCAATATACAGACGGTGCAGGACACTGCCATTTTCTTAGAATTCTAACTTAGGTTTGCGGATTTTGGTAACTAACTTTAGTTTATGCACACCAAACGGATACTAACCTGCACATCCTCGTTCTTTAACTCGTCAATTAATACCGCAATGGGATAAAGAGAATCATCGACTGATTTGTCGCTCGCTGCCATTTTTTCTTTTCACACACACGCACTGAAAATCTGTTTTTCTAGCAAGTAACCAACTTGATTTAGCTGCCTTGCCGCTCACAATGTGGACTGTACAGGGAAATAATTTCGCTAGCTTGTTGAATTTCTATTCTCAATTGTTCACATATATTACAAAATATTCTTTCGTTTGCTGAAATTACTATTTTTTCACTCTGACGTGACCGTGACGATAACGATAAAAAATACCATCAAAAAATAGGGCCATAGTAGCCAGGGCAGAAAAACCAGGGCAATCCGGCGATCCGACGAGACTTAACCTACTTAACACCCCTCTATTTAAAAAGTTGAGCGCCCTTTGTTAAACCGCGGAAAATAATACTGTTTGTGAAGGCTCCTTGTAGCTCCATCCTCCTCTTTGCTTACAAAACAAAAATGACCACCGACATCTTTCACCTGTAATGCGTAAAATATGTTAAAGTTACGTAAATTTCGTGGAAATATTAAATACCACCCTGGTCGACAATGGGTTAACGTTCTATTTTATTGATTGAAATCGTATTCCATGATTTTGATATTCAGTCTAGTATTACTGGCTAGTTGGCCCTCTCAGCACTAAACAAATAATTTTATCTGATAGATACATAAATTTTCTACAATATTGGCTAGTTTTCAGAGGTCTTTTTCATTGGATTGTTTACATAATAAGGTTCAAGCAAAAACGGCCAAAGCGTAAAACGTAAATGTTGACTAAATGTGACGGCATTGTTATTGGTTAACCCACATAACATAAGGCGATAAGGCGAAATCATATCTAACAGGTAAAAAAAAACTAGTCAAAAAGGAAGAAGAAAAAAATGCAGTGAAATATCGATGATAAAAAAAAACATCGATGCATCGCACAATTATAAAAATATCGTTATTAACATAGCAGTTTTTGCAGCTCTAGTTCTCACAGGCAAAATACTAAAAAAAATACTGGACGCATTTGCAAAATACCAAAAATCCATGGGTTTAATTTGGGAGTGAATTTTATTCATTTAATTCTCTAAGAATGTTACAAACTCGGTTAATTTGAGCAACTGATCATCGTTGCCGCCTGTGGGCGGAATTTCCTTGGCCTTGGGCAGCCAGATAACATCATCTCCATCCTGTTCCCGGGTCCAATCTAAGGCTTCGCCGGCATTTTTCAGCTCATCCTCAGTCATTTGTGCCATTTTAAGCAGATTGTTCTGGTAGATGGAAACATAGGCGTTTCCGGTCAGCAAGAAGAGATCCTCCCGCTGTTTCACTGTACAAATACAGTTTTAAATCGGATCACACTCATAGCTGGCACTCCTTACCCAAGAGATCCTCCATGGCTGGCTTGACGCACTCGGACCAATCGTACCTGATCTTTTGAAAGAATTCGGCAAAGTTATTGTTCTGCAGGGCAAGATTTAGCTGATTTAAATGTAGCAGCTCTTTGTCCTCCTTCAACTTGTCTGGTATACGCATCCACAACAATTTGGCATTGGCACTAAAAAGAGATTGAATGTTGCAAATATTCGGCGTTGGGCACAAAGCATTCGTTTCACTAACAGTTTGTTTTGGTAGAGATAAATCGCCAGCAGTTGTTGATAGACTTCAGCTCCCAGCTCGACTTGCTGTGGAAACGCATGTAAAAATAAAGTTAAATCATTTGCTTTATGCTACTCACCTCCAATTCCTCATTTTCTAGTCGGTCCAGCAAATCGTTGTATTTATTTGATTGCATTTTTATTAATTTATGTACGCGATGAGATATCGGAAAACACCAGCCAAAGCAACTCTGAAACTTTGTAGAGATTAGCTGTCAGAATTGTTCTTAAGCGATAGTTGTGCTCAGGTATTTTGCAACTTAACGTCTCATTATATTCCTGATTATAAGGTTTATTTGAAAAGTTGCTGGATTAATTTAAATAGCATCACATTGATTATACTTCACGACACAGTGTCAAACCGATACTATCGATACGTCCGTCAGAGCAACTCCAAAAAGTGTAGAGCTGTCAACGTGCCAAAAGTCTCCACTTTCTTTTCGGTAAAAAAAACTACACTATCAAGATGGGTCGTATGCACGCTCCTGGGTAAAAATGCAATTTTTTATGGTTTCAAATGCAGCTCCGCGCAGAAATACATTTGCAAAATGTGCCTGCCCCAGGGGACAATCCAATTATTATGTTACATTTAGTGCGTGGGCCCTGGTCTCGGCCTAAAATTGTTCTCCAAGGCAAGCACATGGTGCAGACGTATTCACACTGACAGAGCAGCCGCCTGTAGACATGAACTAACAAAATTATTTTCTTCGTAGCAAGGGTATTTCCCAATCAGCTCTGCCCTACAGACGCACAGTGCCATCCTGGCTGAAGCTGAACGCTGAGGATGTCAAGGATCAGATCAAGAAGCTCGGCAAGAAGGGTCTGACCCCATCGAAAATCGGTAATTTGTTTGTGTGTGTGTTTGTTGTTTGAGGTTATGTTAACGTTCGTGTTGTGTTGCTTCCAGGTATCATCTTGCGTGACTCCCATGGCGTTGCCCAGGTCCGATTCGTCAATGGAAACAAGATCCTGCGTATCATGAAGTCGGTGGGTCTGAAGCCCGACATCCCCGAGGATCTTTACCACATGATCAAGAAGGCCGTTGCCATCCGCAAGCATTTGGAGCGCAACCGCAAGGACAAGGACGGCAAGTTCCGTCTTATTCTGGTCGAGTCCAGAATTCACCGTCTGGCCCGCTACTACAAGACTAAAAGCGTTCTGCCACCCAACTGGAAATACGAGTCGAGCACCGCCTCTGCCCTGGTCGCCTAAGTGTTCCCGATTCGCGCGTTAGTTGGTAATTTTCTTTTTCAATTTTGTGGGAGCATACATTTTACCAATGTACAACCAATAAACCCAACAGAAATAAACTGGAAATCATAACTATTTTATAGAATACTAGAGAATGCAGAGGATTTTTTGATAAATGTGCTTCCCAAAGGCGGGGGAGTGGAAGCTTTTTAAAAAGTTTACAGGAAAATGCAAGAGGTGGTAGAAAATATATTTTTTGGAGATTGCACATGCGATAAACATTTGTACATATGTTAATGTACATATGCATTTAAATTATTTACATATGTACATTGATTACACTTGTTGATTCCTCTCGTGTGCAATCGGTATTATTCGGAATTGTACATTCCCACATACACAAACACACCCGCAAAAAAGCTTATGTACATGGCGGCGGGCATTCGTTAAAACCGCTGATAGTCGCCAGCTGCTCGTCATTGCCCTTTTTTCCGTGCGGACGGACGGTTCTGTTCTGTTCTTCTGTTTATTTAGTTTTTATATTTTTGCGTTGCCAACGCCGCATCGCACCGCACAAACAAAAGGCAGAAGCAGTGGACAAACGCTTCTCACGACCAACGGGGAGTAATTCGCCTATTTTTGTTATTGTTAAATGTAAACAATATTTGAAACAAAAGTACGTAAACTTTTCAGCTAGCGCCAATTCATGGAAATTATTCTAATTGTGTGTTTAAAGATGATTTTGTAATTTGTGTACGCGAAAAAATCCATGTGATTAGATAATTTACAGGCAAGCAGACAAAGCGCAAACCTCATCGAATTGGGCTTTATCTGAATTATATTTTAGTTTATTCGGCGATTAAGTGATTTTCGGTGTTACATGCTCTGTACATACGTACATATGCTACTTTTTCGTTCAGTTACAACGTGGTACGGAGCAACGGTAAAGACATGCCTATTTTGGGTGCAAATGAATGAACCAAACGAAGGGGGAAGGAAGGAAAGAAGAGAGAGCGAGAGAAGCAACAAGGCGAAATGGCGCCCGCGGGCATTTCAATAACTGTTCTCTTCCAGAATGTTGTGCGTGCCCGGGAAGGAAGGAAATTAATTAAATATCATCCAAATGACGCATCGCCCATGTGGCCCTATGACGGCGTTGACCCCCACATACATAAATAAGTAGATACATCATAAACAATAGCGTAGATATACATGAATGCCAGTCGCCAAGCCAACAAGAATTCGATTCGCTTTGCTGATAAGTAAGTAAAAACAACAAATGACTTGTTTGGATAAGACAATTCGCGGTTGTTTTCAAGGAAAAGGGGCGATGCCGATTACGAGTCCATCCACATCCACTCAGCAGAATTGGTTTTATATCTACATATAAAAGGGTTGCGTGTTTTGTGTTCCGACGAAAATGCAAGAGCGGCTTATAGTATCTTGGCCCTGATGCTCTTAACGAGTGGCAAACAGAGAATTAATGCACACACCTTATGAGACAACAAGATAGCTGGCTTCTGCACACATATTACATTATCATCTGGAGACCCTGAGCTTAAGCCTGAAATATATCTACCATTTACACGTATTTTTTATTTTTATTTCAGAATTCCCTTAGCTAGAACACAAAATGCAGTCGATTAAGACGGCAGATTTGCCGGAAAATCCGCGAGAGAGTTCCAATTTTATATCATCAGCATGCTTCTGGTAAGTATTAATTAGTCACCCGTTTATTTAAGGTATATCAAATAAATAATTCTCTTAATTTTTGTAGGTATACCATGCCCATATTTATTAAGGGACGCAAAAACACCTTGGATACTACGGATCTGTATAGAGCTCTAAAGGAGCACAAGTCTGGTATGGTTAAAAATTGTGATGAAATTATACGGACACCACATGATGGAATGATGTCTCAAAAAAATCAAATTCCATTATCAACGATCCATATCGATTGTATAACATATCAGTTTAATGGATTAGACAATGAGTTGGGTTTGCTTGTCGTCACATAAGATAGGAAATGAGGAAATTAGATATTGTGGCCCCCATTGTTAACTGATTTCTCATTTCCTAGATTATTTGTCTACTCGGGGGCAGCTGCCTTATAGTTTCGCCCCGTACTGTATGTAATCACGAGAATCATTAATTTGACTGATCGATGCACATAGTATGTTCGTTGACCGCGTAAATTGATGTTGTTTCTTCTTTGCTTTTTATTTGTTGCTTTTAATTGTTCCACGGGCTTTGCATTTTTTTTTATTTTCTCAAATTGATAACTGTCTGGTCTGTCCTCTCTCTCTCTCTCCCTCTCCCCCTCTGTGGCGGGTCATTTATTGTTTTCGTAATCCGAATAAATAGAGCCAATCCGAAGCGCCCAATCAATTCCGTATCTTTGATTAATTTGCATTACTCTCTGCAGAGACACTGGGCAACAAATTGTGCGCCGCCTGGGAACGAGAGCAGCAGCAGGGCGCCAAGAGGCGACCCAATCTGCTGCGTGCACTGCTACGCGTCTTTGGCTGGTACTTTGGACTGCTTGGCCTGGTGCTGTTCATCCTGGAGCTGGGTCTGCGCACCCTGCAACCGCTTTTCCTGCTTAAGCTGATTGCCTACTATTCGCATGGCTCGGAGTCGATCGAGGCGGCGTACTACTATGCGGGCGGTGTGATCCTGTGCAGTGCTCTCAATGTAATCATCATGCATCCCTATATGCTCGGCACCATGCACGTAGGTCAGTAATCAATGGTTTAATTCCCCCCAAAAAAAAAAGGCAACTAATTCGTTTGTGGTTTTCCCTACAGGTATGAAAATGCGTGTGGGAATGTGCAGCATGATATATCGCAAGGCTTTGCGGCTTAGTAAAACCGCCCTGGGAGACACCACAGCTGGCCATGTCGTCAATCTGATGTCCAACGATGTGGGACGCCTGGATTTGGCCACCATATTTGTGCACTACCTGTGGGTGGGACCAGTGGAGACTGTTTTCATAACGTTTCTCATGTACCAGGAGGTAAACACAGCGAGAGAGAGAGAGATAGATGAGAGATGATAATCTTTTGACCTGGCCTTTGACTTGCACTTAATTTCTTTCAGATTGGTATTGCCGCCGTCTTTGGTGTGGCCTTTATGCTGCTGTTCATACCCCTGCAGGCGTATCTGGGCAAGAAGACCTCTGTGCTACGTCTGCGAACTGCATTGCGGACGGACGAGCGGGTGCGGATGATGAATGAGATCATATCGGGCATACAGGTGATCAAGATGTATGCCTGGGAGCTGCCCTTCGAGACGATGGTTGCGTATGCGCGCAAAAAGGAGATCAATGCCATACGCCATGTGTCCTATATACGCGGCATTCTGCTCTCGTTCATCATCTTCCTAACGCGCGTCTCCATATTCCTCAGTCTGGTGGGATATGTGCTGCTGGGCACATTCCTCACGCCCGAGGTGGCCTTTCTGATCACCGCCTACTACAATATCCTGCGCACCACGATGACGGTCTTCTTTCCCCAAGGCATCTCACAGATGGCCGAAACACTGGTGTCCATCAAACGCGTGGAGAAGTACATGCAGTCCGAGGAAACGGACGTATCGGACAAGAGTGTGGATTGGCCGCTGGACACGCCGGGCAGCAATCAGGCGACAGTTCACGCTGAGACGGAGGAGGATCACGACGAAGTCGAGGATAAGTTGCTGCCCTCACCCCTGGCGATGCCTGTACCCCTGCCGCTGGGCAAGATCAATGAGAATGCCGTGCTATCCGAAGCGGGTATTGCCATCAACGGGCTGAAGGCCAAGTGGGATGTCCACTCGCCCGACTACACGCTCAATGGCGTCAATCTGCGCGTCCAGCCAGGCACCATGCTGGGCATTGTGGGACGCACTGGCTCTGGCAAATCCAGTCTCATACAGGCGATACTCGGGGAACTGCGCTCCGAGGCGGGAGAGATCAAGGTGAATGGCTCAATGTCGTATGCCTCCCAGGAGCCGTGGCTCTTCTCCGGCACCGTGCGCCAGAACATTCTCTTTGGCCAGCCCATGGACAGGCGACGCTACATGAAGGTGGTGAAGAAGTGCGCCCTGGAGCGGGACTTTGAGCTGCTGCCCTACAAAGACAAGACAATTGTGGGCGAACGCGGTGCCTCGTTGTCCGGCGGCCAAAAGGCGAGAATCAGTCTAGCGCGAGCCGTCTACCGAGAGACATCCATCTACCTGCTGGATGATCCGCTCAGCGCCGTCGACACCCATGTGGCCCGCCATCTCTTCGAGCAGTGCATGCGCGGCTATCTGAGGGAGCGCATTGTCATTTTGGCCACCCATCAGTTGCAGTTCCTGCAGCAGGCCGATCAGATCGTCATCATGGACAAGGGCCAGGTGAGCGCCGTGGGCACATACGAGTCGTTGCGCGATTCCGGTGTAGATTTTGCCTCAATGCTGAACGAGGAGGCCCGCGAAGAGCAGACGGAGGAACGCACACGCTCTCGGTCGGGCAGTCAAGTCGATCAGCGACGCAACAGCGAGATATCTCTGGTATCTGTAACCGATTCCGTGCTAGCTGCCGGCGCAGATCAGATGGTCAACCAGGAGCGGCAGACGCAGGGTCGCATCGGCCTGGGCCTCTACAACAAGTACTTCAAAGCTGGCGGCGGTTTCTTCGCCTTCTTCGTGATGATGGCTTTCTGTGTGCTATCGCAAGTGCTGGCATCGTTGGGCGATTACTTTCTATCATATTGGTAGGGGATCCCTTGTGTAATCAATACCAAAAGCTTGTTTAATGTTTCTCCAACTCTTTTCTGTAGGGTAACCAAGAAAGGAAACGATGCCGTGCTCGCCAGCAATGCAGAGAACGATACAGTGAGGATTCCTTTGCTAGAGAATCGACTATCCAGCTGGCTGAATGAGCAGGGCTTGCCGGTGGACGCTGAAATGCTGGATACCTATATATTCACGCTCATTACGATTCTCACCATTGTGGTGACGGTGGCACGTTCATTTCTGTTCTTCAATCTGGCCATGAAGGCCTCCATTAGTCTGCACAATTCCATGTTCCATGGCATTAGTCGTGCTGCCATGTTTTTCTTCAACACGAATCCGTCCGGACGCATTTTGAATCGTTTCTCCAAGGATATGGGCCAAGTGGACGAGATACTGCCAGCTGTGATGATGGATGTCATACAGATATTTCTCGCACTGGCCGGCATTGTCATTGTGATAGCGATTGTCAATCCGCTGTTTCTCATACCCACCGTTGTGCTGGGAATTATTTTCTATCAGCTGCGGACGTTCTATCTGAAAACCTCCCGCGATGTCAAGCGCATGGAGGCCATTAGTAAGTGTAGTAGCTATCAATCAGTTGCGTGGGTTTTTCATTGTTTTTTTGTTATGTTTGCTGTAGCTCGCTCGCCCGTCTACTCACATCTGGCTGCCTCGCTGACGGGCCTGTCCACCATACGTGCCTTTGGGGCACAGCGTGTGCTGGAGGCAGAGTTCGACAATTATCAGGATATGCACAGCTCCGCCTTTTACATGTTTATCAGCACATCGCGCGCCTTTGGCTATTGGCTGGACTGTTTCTGTGTGATTTATATAGCGATAATCACACTCAGTTTCTTCGTCTATCCGCCGGCCAATGGCGGCGACGTGGGTCTGGCCATAACACAGGTGCGCTCCGAACAGCTGCCCTCACCGTCTATCACCCAAAGCCATGTCTTACTTATCTTTCCCACTCTTTTGACAGGCCATGGGCATGACGGGCATGGTCCAGTGGGGCATGCGACAGTCTGCCGAGCTGGAGAACACAATGACCGCCGTGGAGCGAGTGGTTGAATACGAGGACATCGAGCCAGAGGGAGAACTAGAGGCAGCCGACCCGGAGAAGAAGCCACCCAAGTCATGGCCCGCAGAGGGAAAGATTATGTTTGACGAGCTGAGCTTGCGCTATGTACCAGATCCCAAGGCAGAGTACGTGCTCAAGTCCCTGAATTTTGTCATCAAGCCGCGTGAGAAGGTGGGCATCGTGGGACGCACGGGAGCGGGAAAATCCTCGCTGATCAATGCCCTGTTCCGGCTGTCCTACAACGATGGATCCATCCTGATCGACAGGCGGGACACGAATGAGATGGGTTTGCACGATCTGCGCAGCAAGATCTCAATCATTCCCCAGGAGCCGGTGCTATTCTCCGGCACAATGCGCTACAATTTGGATCCCTTTGATGAGTACAAAGACGAGAAGCTGTGGCGCTCCTTGGAGGAGGTGAAGCTAAAGGAAGTTGTGGCCGATCTGCCCAGTGGACTGCAGAGCAAAATAACCGAAGGTGGCACCAACTTCAGTGTGGGTCAGCGTCAGCTGGTGTGCCTGGCCAGGGCTATACTCCGCGAGAATCGCATTCTGGTGATGGACGAGGCCACGGCCAATGTGGATCCTCAGACGGATGGCCTCATCCAGACCACCATTCGCAACAAGTTCAAGGACTGCACCGTCCTGACGATAGCCCATCGCCTGCACACCATCATGGACTCGGACAAGGTGCTGGTCATGGATGCCGGCAGAGTGGTGGAGTTTGGTACGCCGTACGAGCTGTTGACAGTCGCAGATACCAAAGTGTTCCACGGCATGGTGAAGCAGACGGGGCAGACCACCTACGATGGCCTGCTCAAGGTAGCACAAAAGGTAAGCCCAAGTCATATTTACTTGGTAAACAACTGAATTTACACACCAAATTTACATGTTCAGGCCTTTGAAGACGCCCAGAAGCAGAGTCAGCGTCTGTCCTCTTGAGACTCGACAAATACCGAACAAAATGTGTCTAGGAATTGCCTAGGAATTGAGCCGAGGTGCTTGTAACCCCATCCGTCGTCGGCATTATACTATATATATATAGCTTAAATATTCTTAATGTTTTTGAATCTGTGTGTGTGTGTCTTTGAATGAATGTTTCGTGTTTTGTGTGAATGAATGTATTTATGGATATGGATCGTCGTCTGTATCGAGCTCGAAATGATAGATAGCATCCACGAGTTGCTTTGGAATCTGTTGCTATATTTAATATTTGTATTTAATTAAATGTTCTATAAGTGCAAAGAATAAGTGCCTTCGCAAAGAAATAAAGTTATATATTGTATATTGGGAAGTGATTTCAAATTGGTTCTTTTTACATCGATCCATTCATCATTCATCAAAAAATGTCCACCCTAAAAAATAGAAGCGCCTTGAAAAATAAATCAAATGTACCACATACGTTCGATGGCACTTGCCGTAGCTTTATCAATTTCAATTGTTTACTTATTAATTGAATACCACTCCAGCCATAATTTGATTGTGTATTGATGTTATCGATTGGCTGGACTTGCTTTTCAAATTGTTTAATCTTTTGGCGCCATACATGTGTAAATAAGATACATACTAAAAATGCCCAAAAATACATACATACAATGCCATGCACTAAAAATGCCCACACACAGCACATATATTAGAGATATGGTCGTATGACACTACGCTTAGCTAACTCTCTTGTATGAAAGACAGAGAGAGATGGGCATACATTTCCCGTAATTAGTGTCATACGACCAAAGTCCAAATGGCGAACAGCTGACTTCAGCTTCGATTGATTTTTTTTTTGTTTTGCCAGCTTTTGGAGCGGCGGCGACATGGAACGAACAGAGTGATTGGAATAGTGGGGCGGCGTGGTTGAGTTGTGGCTTATGTGATTAGTTTTTTTGATTTCAACTTGTTGAATGGAAAGTTTCTGTGTGTTTAATTAGCTATCACGTGGCCGCGCTTAAATAATACATAATTAATTCAACACCCACATCCTGAGGCTGCAACTGTAACCTAACGGTATCAGCGACGGAACAGCCTGTGATGAAATTCTACCGTTTTGTGTAATGATGAAATAGCATCCTGCCTCTCCCGGAAGTGAAACCCAAGCATATATTTGTGTTCGAATAGTTTTAAACAAAGCATAATCATGCAGGCCAACACATTGCCAACAAATCCACGCGAGTCGGCAGGTATTTTGTCCTCGCTAATGTTCTGGTACGCACAGGTTTACAGTTACCGTTAAGAATGAAATTATATACATACATACATATGTGTGTGTGTGTTTATCTATACGCCGCCATTTGTGTTATCACATATGGGAATATGTGATAAAAAATACGTTTAAATTACAACAGAAGCTGAAAACAGACACCAAAGAAGACAACTCTTATCGATATCGACATTGTTCGTAGCATATTTTTGTAATTATTCATTATGACGAAATAGATTTACATAAGATCCTCTCTGTTGCAGCTTTGCCCTGCCCATACTGTTCAAGGGGCAGAAGAAGACGCTGCAGCCGACGGATCTGTACAATGCCCTCGAGGAGCATAAGGCCGAAAGCCTGGGCGATCGCTTCTATCGCACCTGGCAGGATGAAGTGGAGGCATGCCGCCGCAAGGACTCGCGCCGGGAGCCCAGTGTCCTGCGGGTCGTCGTTCGCGTCTTTCGCTGGGAACTCTTGCGTTCTGCCGTAATTCTTGGCGTTCTAGAGCTGGGCACCAGGTGAGTGGAATTTAATTTAATGGGAAATAATGATTCGAATTACTCTGTTCTTGCAGAGCCACTGTGCCTCTGATCATGGCTGGACTTATATCCGAGTTTAGCAAACATGGCGAAGACAGCAGCAGCAGCAGCAGCAGCAGCTTAGCCGCACAGCTCTATGCTGTGGCTTTGATCATGTGTGTGCTGGCCAGCGTGCTCCTCACGCATCCCTATATGCTGGGCATGATGGTAAGCAACTCCAAAATGCATCCAAATGGCATCCATTTACTAATCTCTAATCCCGATTTCAGCATTTGGCCATGAAGATGAGGGTGGCCGTCAGTTGTGCCATCTACCGCAAGGCTCTCCGCCTCAGCCGCACTGCCATGGGCGACACAACCATCGGCCAGGTGGTCAATCTGTTGTCCAACGATCTGAATCGCTTCGATCGCGCCCTCATCCATTTGCATTTCCTGTGGCTGGGTCCGCTGGTGCTGCTGATTTCCGCCTACTTTCTGTATCAGCAAATCGGACCGGCCTCCCTCTTCGGCATTGGCATCCTGGTGCTCTACTTGCCCCTGCAAACGTATCTGAGCAAAGTCACCTCCACGCTGCGCCTGCAGACCGCCCTGCGGACGGACCAGCGTGTGCGCATGATGAACGAGATCATTTCGGGGATACAGGTGATTAAGATGTACACCTGGGAGCGGCCCTTCGGCAGGCTCATCGAGCAGCTGCGACGCAGCGAGATGAGTTCCATTCGTCAGGTGAATTTTCTGCGCGGCGTTCTGCTGTCCTTTGAGATCACCCTGGGACGCATTGCCATCTTCGTCAGCCTCATTGCATTCGTCCTCATGGGCGGCGAACTCACGGCGGAGCGGGCCTTCTGTGTGACGGCCTTCTACAACATCCTGAGGCGGACAGTGGCCAAGTTCTTCCCCTCTGGCATGTCGCAATTTGCCGAACTGTTGGTCTCGCTGCGCCGCATCAAGACTTTTATGATGCGCGACGAGTCCAATGTGGATCATATGCCGTATCAAGTGGAAGAGGAACCCGCCGAGAGCCAACATTTGCTGGCGGAGAAGGAGCAGCATTCGGATCCGGAGATCGGAGACGGCTATAAACCCGATGTGCTGGTGGATATCAAGGATTTGAGAGCACGCTGGAGTCCAGAGTCACAGGAACCAGTGCTGGACAACATCAACATGACGCTGCGACGCCGCCAATTGGTGGCTGTCATTGGACCCGTGGGCGCTGGCAAATCCAGCCTCATCCAAGCCATTCTAGGTGAACTGTCGCCCGAAGCGGGAGGTGTCAATGTGCATGGAAGATTCTCCTATGCCTCGCAGGAGCCCTGGCTGTTCAACGCCTCCGTACGCGACAACATTCTGTTCGGTCTGCCCATGGATAAGCAACGCTATCGCACGGTTGTGAAGAAGTGCGCCCTGGAGCGAGACTTGGAGCTGCTGCATGGCGATGGAACGATTGTGGGCGAGCGTGGAGCATCGCTGTCGGGTGGCCAGCGGGCTAGGATCAGCCTGGCCAGGGCTGTGTATCGCAAGGCGGATGTTTACCTGCTGGACGATCCCCTCAGCGCCGTCGACACCCATGTGGGTCGTCATCTGTTCGATGAATGCATGCGGGGATTCCTGCGCCACAAACTAGTCGTTCTGGTCACCCATCAGCTGCAGTTCCTGGAGCAGGCCGATCTGATTGTAATCATGGACAAGGGAAAGGTCACGGCCATCGGTAGCTACGCGGAAATGCTTCAGAGTGGCCAGGATTTTGCACAACTCTTGGCAGAGAGCACCCAGAATGAGGAGAGCGGAGCTGGCGATGCCGCGGAGGTGAATAAGTCGCTCTCCCGCCAGAGCAGCACTCAAAGCACGGCCAGTGCCTCCTCCCAGGAGTCGTTGGTGACCCAAGAGAAGGAGAAACCGAAGCCGAAGTCGGCGCAGGTGCAGGTGCAGGAATCGCACAGTGGCGGCAAGATTGGTCTGGCCATGTACAAGAAATACTTTGCAGCGGGCTGTGGGCTGCTAACGTTTGCCCTACTGGCCGTCCTGTGCATTGGCACACAGCTGCTGGCCTCTGGCGGGGACTACTTTCTGTCCTATTGGTGAGTAGGGGGATGGATATATGTATATACCCAGATAAACCTTAAATAATTATAAATACAATGTTCCAACAGGGTCAAAAACAACGCCACATCTTCCTCGTCGTTGGACATTTACTACTTTGCTGCGATCAACGTTTCGCTGGTGATCTGTGCCCTGCTGCGCACGCTGCTGTTCTTCAGCATGACCATGCACTCGTCCACAGAGCTGCACAACTCGATGTTCCGCGGTGTGTCGCGCACGGCATTGTATTTCTTTCACACGAATCCCTCGGGCAGGATCCTCAACCGTTTCGCCATGGACCTGGGCCAGGTGGATGAGATGTTGCCCGCCGTAATGCTGGACTGCATTCAGATCTTTCTAACGCTGACGGGCATCATCAGTGTGCTGTGCTTCACCAATCCCTGGTACCTGGTCAACACCATCGCCATGGTGTTGGCGTTCTACTATTGGCGGGAGTTCTACCTGAAGACGTCGCGGGATGTGAAGCGGCTCGAGGCGGTGGCTCGCTCGCCCATGTATTCGCATTTTAGTGCCACGCTCAATGGCCTGCCCACGATACGGGCCATGGGCGCCCAAAGGACACTGATTCGGGAGTACGACAACTATCAGGATCTGCACAGCTCCGGCTACTACACGTTCATCTCGACCAGTCGCGCCTTTGGCTACTATTTGGATCTGTTCTGCGTGGCCTATGTGGTTTCGGTCATTCTCAATAGCTTCTTGAATCCGCCGGTGGGCAATCCCGGCCAGATTGGCCTGGCCATCACCCAGGCTCTGGGCATGACGGGCATGGTTCAGTGGGGCATGCGACAGTCGGCCGAGCTGGAGAACTCGATGACATCGGTGGAGCGTGTCCTCGAGTATAAGAATCTGCAGGCAGAGGGCGACTTCACCTCTACAAATGACAAGCAGCCGCCAAAGAGCTGGCCGGAAGAGGGTCGAGTGGTGGCCAAGGATTTGAGCTTGCGATATGCGCCCGATCCCGAAACGGATTCCGTGCTCAAGTCCCTGAATTTTGTCATCAAGCCGCGTGAGAAGGTGGGCATCGTGGGACGCACGGGAGCGGGCAAATCCTCGCTGATCAATGCCCTATTCCGGCTGTCCTACAACGATGGATCCATTCTGATCGACAAGCGGGACACGAATGAGATGGGTTTGCACGATCTGCGCAGCAAGATCTCAATCATTCCCCAGGAGCCGGTGCTGTTCTCCGGCACAATGCGCTACAATTTGGATCCCTTTGAGCAGTATCCGGATGAGAAGCTGTGGCAGGCCTTGGAAGAGGTATGATTTGGAGTTACCCTCATAATATATACAGCATATACTCATGTTCTTAACTATTTGCAGGTTCATCTCAAGGAGGAAATCTCTGAGCTGCCAACGGGCCTGCAGAGCAGCATTTCCGAGGGTGGCACCAACTTCAGTGTGGGTCAGCGTCAGCTGGTGTGCCTGGCCAGGGCTATACTCCGCGAGAATCGCATTCTGGTGATGGACGAGGCCACGGCCAATGTGGATCCTCAGACGGATGGCCTCATCCAGACCACCATTCGCAACAAGTTCAAGGACTGCACCGTCCTGACGATAGCCCATCGCCTGCACACCATTATGGACTCGGACAAGGTGCTGGTCATGGATGCCGGCAGAGTGGTGGAGTTTGGTACGCCGTACGAGCTCTTGACCGCGTCCGAGAGCAAAGTATTCCATGGCATGGTTATGCAGACGGGAAAATCCAGTTTCGAGCATTTACTTAAAGTGGCCCAGGATGTAAGTATTAATTGCTATTAATTTACTATATACTATATACTAATTCTTATGCAATTTCAGGCCCAGAAAAATACCATATAATATTCATAGCCGAATACCTCTTCAAAACTATAGCTATAGCTATAGAACGTGCTTAAATGACAATATAAGGAAAAAATATCTTCGCGAGCATGGGATTTGTGTTCTACATGAAGAGTGTTACTTAACAGAGTACAGAGTGTACTTAAACTTTTAAAAATATATTAAATAAACATGTAATTTTTACCCACGCCTAGATTATTAAGCATATATAAGTATAGTAATAATGGTTAGAACTGGCCGCATTTTCAAATTTGCTTTCAAAAATTTTACTCTTTTTACAACACTGAACGGTGTTAGCAATGCCGAATTTGGTATTTTTGAACAGCTGATATTTCGCACAATTTGGCAGTCAGTATGTCAGTAATTTCTCGCGCCAATTTCATTTGCCAAAAGTTGTCAGCCCCTGCATATTATTTACCGTTCATTTTGCATACCACGTTTTATTTATTTGCAGCGCGCGTTTTGTTTAATACTTTGCTCAATAAAGTTCGTTTTGTTTAGTGTTATTTTCGGTTACGGTTATGTTGAAAAGTGTTTCGAGTGTGCGCGATGTGCGGGGTATTGGAAAAACATGCTCAAGTGATCTTCTGGCTTGGAAAATAAGCTGCCGGCGCGTGGCTGCACGGAGTGACGCCATATAAGCATGCTGATCACGTTCTTGTGTGAATTTAAGATGGAAAAACACCTGAAATCATTGGGTAAGTCATATATAAATATGCGCACACATGCCACAAACATTTTGGGGCAAAGTTAGGAATGTCTCAAAGCTGGGGGTGGTCCGCCAGCGCCGCTGTGTCAGATCCGTGTGGCGTTCTCCCTGCGTGGCGTTCCTCCGTGCTAACCTTTTACGACGAATTATTGAATAAATAGTTTCTGCACACCGAAAAGGGGTTTACTACGGCAAATGAATTATACAACATGCAAGCCCGGAGCCGGACCCGGACCCAGACCCGCACGTGACACCCAAAGACCCGACCCATAGTCATAAAGTTATATATTTTTGTTGTTGTTGTTGCTTTGCTGTCCTGAGCTCATCATCGGCTTGGTGGCGTGCGTGCGCACTCGACTCGACCCCGCCGCCGCCGCCGCCGCCGCTGCCGAGACAATCTGTGGCCTAGCCGGGCTTATGAATTATGCACACAGGCAAGGGAGTGGGTGGCCACGGCCACGGCTGTGTGGGTGTGGGTGTGGGCCGTGCTTTCTGCGGTGGTGGCGGCGCAGACGTAACTCTTAAGTTCGAGACTTCAACGCTTCGATTGTCGGGCTGTAATTCAACGCCATTTACGTGACCCCCAACCTTCGCAGTCGTCGTCCTCGCCGTCGTCGTCTGTGCTGGCTGCTGCCGCCAGGCAACGCAGCATGCTGCCAGAAATGATTGCTCTCTGCAGCATGGGTGGTGGCGCCTCGTCTCGTCACGGTCCCCGCCCACTCAATGCGCTTTTGGGGGTGCGAAGGCAATGCCATGCCGCGTGCTGTAACACTGGATAAGGTCCTTTGACAAGGACTCCAGCTCCAGAAAGGCTTCTGCAAGGCTTGCATAATGTGTCCCCATGCCTAATGTCATAGTCGTGGAAGGGGGCTGTGCAGGACTCCCTGCAACGCTAGTCAAATGGAGTTGCAACTTGCCTCACGGACTCGGGCATCTAAGAGTTAATTGGACAACTGATTGGATTACTCAATCCACTGCGATTCTAGAACTAGGTAGGACTTCGGTGCTTGAAACAGATTCCAATTAAATATACACGTAACTTGCGTAACATCTGGGGATCCTGCCAAGCCTTGAAAGTCCTGTTGGAATTTCCTAAAACTAACAAAAGTTTCCCCCATCGCTTAAACATTTGATTGCCATTTTGAGATGCCTCAGAAAAAATTCACCTTTTGATTAAGAACAAACACCATGTCGGACGTTGAGGCGACATTCGATCGCCTGTTGAATCTGCCGGGCGTCATGGGCGCCATACTGGTGAATGGCGAGGGCGTACCCATGCGCACATCCATGGATACGACGTCTAGCCACATATTTGCCGAGAAAATGGGACCCATGGTGCGGATGGCACGCGCCATGGTGCGCGAGCTGGAGTCCACGGATGATCTAACGTATCTGCGGATGCGCACCGTCAAGAGGGAGATTCTGGTGGCCGCCGAGAACGAGCACATGATCATACTCGTCCAGGATTCGAACACATTGGATGAGGCGCGACGGAATAGCACATCATCGTCCAAGAAGAGTGCGTGAATGAATTCCAAATGTGACGTGTGACCATCAATACGAAACTTCAGACACCAGCCCCATCCCACCCAACCCATCCACCATCAGGTGAAAGAACTAAAAAAATATAAAAATGAACAAAAAGTGCGCAGTGCACGTCATGTGGGCAGCATAAACAAAATGGCATAAACAAGCTGTGCCAGCGGGGGGGAGGGGTGTGGAATTTTTGGGGAGATGAAAAGTCCTTGCACGAACTCTCCTCTACCTTCCCCCAGCGCCGCCGCCGCCGCCGCCACACAAATCGCAAGCACAGAGCAATACAACAAAAGTAAAATTGTGAAAGCAGAGAACAAAAAAAAAAAAAAAAAAAAGTACGCAAAAATAAAATTCACATCCAGGCGAGGCAAATTGTATTTGCTTTTTTTTTGTTTGTTTCGTTCATCGGAGTCGTAGTCGGTGGCGGCGTTGGCGGCGTCGTCCTCGTTGGCTGCCTGACTGTGCTCCCCACACATCCCCCATGCCGCGTTCGTTCCAATTGCTGGCAACAACCGGCTGCCGTCACGCCATCAAGCATTCATGCCAGCAACAACAGCAGCAACAACAACAGGAGCAGGGCAGCCTGTCGCCTGCACACACCCACACAGACATACGCACGCACGCACGCACACCGAGGCAAAAGCTTTACACGCCTCCGCACGCGTCACACGAAAGCACGAAACCAATTTAAGCACCCACATTCTCTCACCCAATTAGTCGCACACAGCACAGCAGTAGCAGGCAGCAGGCAGCAGGGAGCAGCAGCAGCAGGCAGCACATCCTCCACCCCATCCCCTATTTTCGTCCCACGCCCACACACACACACACTCTGTCCTGTCGGGCTTGTTGGCGTCCTCCGTCGAGTCGTTATCCTCGCGTGCGCACGGCTGGGGCTCGCTGCTGGATGCGATGTCTATGTTGGGCCTTGGCACAAAATATGCCCCATTTAAGTGCACGGGGGATGTGTGTTAGCTATCCTCAAATATGCCTCAAATTCTTCTTTTTTAAAGCATAAACAGTTCATCGATCGTTTACCAATACTGTTTACAACACTGCGAAATCTGTTATTTTTAGTTTTTTTAGTAAGTGAGCTCTGGGTATCATTTAGTCGACACCTGAACTAAAGTATTGGTTGTTGTTGTCATTGTGCCATCATCAACGCCATAAGTAGCAGTCAGCAGTTGCCTCCGTCAGCGCGCCAGTAAGTTGTCGGAAGAGATGGTGGACGGGGGGGTGGACGGAGGATACACTGGCAGAGTGGGTGGAGAGCTTGTGCGCAGCCACAGAAAACACCAACAACAAAGGGATGGGGGGTGTCTGTGTATGGGTGTTAGTGTTAGTGTACGGATGGGGACGACCAACAAGCGACACGATAATCTCGCACGTCGCATTTTTAGTTGCCGTTGCCGCACACCCACCGCACTGCTGGCACAGGCAGCACGAGTCCTGGAGTCTGGCCCTGGCAGAAAGCCAAATGTGGCAAGTGGCTGCTGCTGCTGCTGCTTGCTTCTGCCTCAGTTGTGTGCCGCCACTGAGGGGAAGCAGGGAGGGAGGTAGTGGGGGACCGAGAGTCCTGGAGTGGGGCCCGTGTGGTTGGGTGTAGGATTTTGTGTCTGTGCGGGGCGAGCGACCGACAAATGCTTTCGAATTGCCATGACAATCAAACCGCTTACAAGTACAGTGGGATAATACGCAAGGATTTTTGCCCAGTTTCTTAGCCAATAATGTGAGCGCTTTACAACACTAGCAATGCTTCAAGTTCAAGTCCACTTTAAGTGCAAATTTCGATTATTTTTAGATCTATGATGAAGATCCAGATAAAAATGTAGCATACTTTTTCGGGTTTTTTTTTTTTTTTACTTTTCCTCCTAATCAAGGGACCAGGACACGTCTTGTGGCCTACAAAGTCACACTTCAGTGTTTCAGTGTGCGCGCCTTTTTCATGCCGTTTCGCCGCTGGCTCTCGTCTTGAGTGGTGGTGGCGGTACGGATGTGTGTGTCTCGCGCTCGGTCTGGGTCTGGGTCTGTTTATTATCGCCAGCACCCATCAACGACCTCAACTCAACTCGCACCCCGCCCGTGGCAGTCACAGCCACAGCCACCACCCCTCTGCAGCGCGGGTGCAGAACTTTGTCGTTGTCACCGCCAGCCACTGCCACTGCCACTGCCGTCGCGCGTCGCCCGTCTTGTTGTCAGGCGAATTCCGTTGCCGCCAACGACGACGATGACAAATAAAAAACTTTGGCACGGCACGGAAGCATGCTGGCGGCATTCGCATAACGATGTCGGTGACTGCGACGATGACTCCTTCTCCTCGCAACTCCAACTGCTCCTACTGCTCCACATCTACATGTATACGTATACTCGTATCTACCCAATCGCTGCCCATGCTCAAATCCTACTTATAGCCATAGCCCAAGCCCCGAGACCAGAGACCAGAGCCCCAGACTGGCGCACTTTTGAAGTTTGAGCTAAGTGACATGCTGTTTATTGTTGAGAGTGTTAAAATGTGCGCCCTGAATCTACACGGTGGCGTTGTATGTACGAGTATGTACCAGTATGTGTGTGAGCTTCTATGCGGAGCAAGAAATTATAATGCCAAGCTTGAACACCGCACGCGCAGGCCGCAACGCCTTACCCGGGATACACAGCAACAAAATCATTAGCTATTTGGATTGATTGATCTATATCTGTTAGGATTAAATCCAGGCCTGCAGAAAGATTGCTCTCCATGGAGTTTGGTTTTTGTCTTTTCCAACACTATTCCCATTCAAATTCGAACTCGAATTACAAGAAAGAGCGGATCATCGATCTTTCGCTCTCTCTCTCTTTTATTGGTATGTGGGGACATTTTCTTTTAGTGTATCTTTTCACTAAAGGTTCTGCATGTTACGGTTCACGTTCTCGCCGCCATGCCGCCATGCCGCCAAAATATACAAACAGACAAGCGACGATGGAATAGGAATGGCTGCTGCTGGTACGACTAGTAGCTATGTAATCCATGAATGTGCCACAGCACAGCACAGCAGAGCAGAGCACAGCGCCAAAGTTGCCTGGCGGTTGTGGCAAAAGATGGCAATGGCTGGCAATGGCGCTTGGCGTTGGCTGGCCGTCCATTTGTCCGTGGCACGTACTTTAGAAATTCCATGCAGATGTGCGCCGCACGCCGAGACGTGTGTTTTGATTTTCAGGCAAAAAAGGACCATGGCAAATAGCATGGTGAATGCGGGAAGGGAGCGGCGAGGAGAGGAGAGGCCATGGAGAGCAGGCAGCCAAGCCAAAGCTCAACGAACGACTGAGCGCGAAACCCCAAAGAAAAACAAGCAGTAGGGGGGGATTGGGTTCGGGGTTGTGGATGTGGATAGGAGATGGGGGATGCGGTTGAAATTGTTGATGGTTGGAGCTGGAGGAATACGGCTTTGGCACTGGGACTGCCACTGCCACTGCTACTGGCACTGGCACTGGCAACGCACGAAAGAGCAGCCAAGCGAGCAAGCCGTGAAAAAAGTGTCGACAAAAACAGCAACGGCAAGCGGCAACAGGACGACGACGACGACGACGACGACTCGCATAGGATGAGTGGAAGGCCCAAAGGAAAACAGCAGCTGCACTTGTTGGTGTGAGTAACGAGCGATGCGGACGCGCCTTTTCTCCTCTGTTTTGTTGTGGATGGATGGATGGTTGGAGTGGAGTGGAGTGGAGTTGCGGGGGCAAGAGAGTAGAGTGGAGTGAATTGGTGAGTGGGAGGGGTGACCCAACACTAACGGAATAATTGCAGCCAACTCTCCGACAGCACATGCACATACACACAACGGAAGCCAGACGAACAGGCGGCTCGCTCACACCTACACAACGAACACACACACATGCAGACATGCAGACATGCAGACATACAGACAGACAGGCAGAGGTCGGAGTGCGGGCCGAAGGGTCGAGATGGAGCTTACTCCTTATTGTTGTGGCTGTGGGCGGTGTGGTGCGGAGCGTAGAGATGGAAGTGGGTGGGAGTATGAGTGGAACAGCAGCAGTTGCTCTCCATTTCCATGGTGTTTGGCGAGTGTCGTCTGGAGCGTGGATGTTGCTCTAGTAGTATACCCTGGTATTGTTCAATGTGTAGGGTATATTAAATCAGGGAAGCGACGAATTTCAAGCCATTTAGAGCACACAAATTACAAATATTCCCACTGAATTCCAATAAAGAGAGGACGAAAAAAAGAACAGTTAAAAACAGTGTTAACAAAGCAAAAGTGCCGCTGATCGCTTAATCGATAGTTCGACTATTTCCAACACTTGAGCGTTCAAATTTAAATTCAAATTCTTGCTTAAGCATTCTACTGGGTATTCCTATGGTCGAAAAGCCTACCCAATCCGCTTGTTGTTGCTGTTGCCGTATTTAGGCATTCCATGACTGTGCTGTGGCTGCTTCTGGTTGCCTTGAAGCACTGGCATGGCATGGCATGGCATGTCATGGCATAGTATGGCTTTTTAGCCGCAATGCCGCTGCAGTGGTGTGAGTATGAGTGGTGAGTGGTGTGGAATGGAATGGCATGGTGCTCCACGTCCGCCCATTCATCCGTTACGTGCGACCGTCTGCTGGTTGTGTCGCCCCTTGGCATGACTCTGATCCCTGCCCGTTACGGACGCTTCCTCCCGTGGTGGCTGGTTACATGAGAAAACTTTGAAACTGGAGACATGATAACGGGATCGGAATGGTGAGACGCAGCACACAAAACAGTTGGACGTTGGACAGCATGGGACGGACATGGACACGGAATATACGGACAAGGGGACACGGGGACACCGACATGGACATGGACACGGGACACGGACATTGGCGACCGACTGGCCCCGGCCTGCCGCAGCAGTTGCAGTAGCAGCAGCAGCAGCAGCAGCCTCAACGAGTGGCGGTGGCAATGTCTGATTGTTAGTTGGATTTAGACTTGGGGGGGGGTTGGAGGTGGCTTGGCTTGAACCCCAAGAGCAGAGCTCAAGGGACAAGGCAAAGGGGAAAGGAGTGTCGCTGAGCAGTTGCCACTTGCCAGCTATAGAAAATTGTCATAGGAATCATCATCGGCTTCGTTAGATGTGGATGTGGATGTGGCCTCAGTGGTAATTGTGGGACATTTTGTTGCCAAAGTGGTGGAGTGGAGCCATGTGGTTGCTGTTGCTGTTGCTGCTGCTGGCTGTGCTACGGGTGAAGTGTGGCGGAAATGATGGGTGGTGTCTGTGTGTGTGTGCTGTGTGCT